AAATTTGAAAAAGTTCAAAAATAGCGATTATGACAATTGTCACCTATATATGATACTTCCTCACTGAATTTTTAATTTAACATGTTTAGAATATATATTTTTAGCTATTTCCTTTAAAAAAATTTGAAAAATTTCTAAAATAGCGATTATGACAATTGTCACCTATATATGATACATCATCACTGAATTTTTAATTTAACATGTTTAGAATATATATTTTTAGCTATTTCCTTTAAAAAAATTTGAAAAAATTCAAAAATAGCGATTATGACAATTGTCACCTATCTATGATACATCCTCACTGAATTTTTAATTTAACATGTTTAGAATATATATTTTTAGATATTTCCTTTAAAAAAATTTGAAAAAGTTCTAAAATAGCGATTATGACAATTGTCACCTATATATGATACATCCTCACTGAATTTTTAATTTAACATGTTTAGAATATATATTTTTAGATATTTCCTTTAAAAAAATTTGAAAAAGTTCAAAAATAGCGATTATGACAATTGTCACCTATATATGATACATCCTCACTGAATTTTTAATTTAACATGTTTAGAATATATATTTTTAGCTATTTCCTTTAAAAAAATTGAAAAAAGTTCAAAAATAACGATTATGACAATTGTCACCTATCTATGATACATCCTCACTGAATTTTTAATTTAACATGTTTAGAATATATATTTTTAGCTATTTCCTTTAAAAAAATTTGAAAAAGTTCAAAAATAGCGATTATGACTATTGTCACCTATCTATGATACATCCTCACAAATTTTAAATTTAACATGTTTAGAATATATATTTTTAGCTATTTGCTTTAAAAATTTGAAAAAAGTTCAAAAATAACGATTATGACAATTGTCACCTATCTATGATACATCCTCACAAATTTTAAATTTAACATGTTTAGAATATATATTTTCATCTATTTCATTTAAAAAAGTTCAAAAATAACCATCATAACAAATGGCTCTTTTCTATGGTGCATCTTCACTTAAAAATTTTAAAAAATAACTATGATGAATAGTTAATCCAGAGCATTATAATTTAAAGAAGCTTTAAGTAACTTTCCCGCCGTTAATATTAATATATACTAAATGTTATTTGACTTTTGGTCAAAAAAAATGATCTAGATATTGGGTTAAGGGTGAAAAAAAGCAACCCTAACTTTAAGTCGTCTTTAAAAAGAAAGATCCATATTTTGAGTCGGATTGAATAAAACGACCCGATGTTTGAGTCTGAGTCAGAAAAACGACCCAAACTTTGAGTTGGAGTCGAAAAATACGACCCAAACTTCAAGTTTGAGTCGAAAAATATGACCCAAACTTCAAGTTTAAGTCGAAAAATACGACCCAAATTTCAAATTTGAGTCGAAAAATACGACCCAAATTTTGAGTCGGAGTCGTAAAAAACGACCCATATTTTGGGTCGAGGTCGTTTTTTTCGGCTTGGACTTGGGTCGGAGTCGAAAAAAACGACCCAAACATTGAGTCGGAGTCGAATAAAACGACCCGAGCTTTGGGTCGGGGTCGCGACTCGCGGCGTTTTAACAACACTAATGGCGATGGATCACAAATCATGAGATATCAGAATTTAATTAAAAATATAATATGGATATGAGGTTAAAAACGGATATTAAAAAATATATTTTTAATTTATGTATTTCCATTATGAAAATTAGCATATTTTCAATAGCCGGTTTTATTGAGCAGGAATAAGAAATGAAAATTATTGCTATATTTACTATATGCAAAATGTTAAATAGGGTCGCCGCCACTGTTAAATACGTTAAAAAAATTTTTTTTAAATTTCAATTTTCTTTTTTTTTTCACTTAATTTTTTATTTTAATCACGAATTTGCCGAAAAATACAATTTCAAGAATTGATCAAAAAAAAAATAGTAAAAATTCAAAAAAATCGATTAAAGAAAATAAAAATAATTACAATTCAAAAAATCGATAAAAGAAAGTAAAAATAATTACAATTCAAAAAATCGATAAAAGAAAATAAAAATAATAATATCACCCTCTATGAAAAAATTTAATAACATCTTCCTTTTTAAAAAGATTTTTAAATTTAATCCTTATGTCTCTTCCACTGGCCCTTAGCGGTATCCACAGTATATATGAACTTCCCCGGCCCACTATAGTCCCCTTGATCCACTTTACTTTATCACTATAGGTTTTCGTCCATATTGATTGTCTTAAATGTACCTCTTTGACCTGCATGCGTATCAACTTGTTTGCTCTCATGGATTTCTTTAACCATTTCAAGATCATTCCGAGCATTCCGTCTGAACATCATCTGTGCTGGGATTTGTCCCGTAGTCGTATGCTGGGTGTTTCTATAAGCTGAAAAGAATTCGTTTAGTATTTTTTTTATTTTCGTATCCTGCTTCCATTTTCTTCCCCTTCCGAAGTCATATTTGTTGATCTTGGAAGTGAGTTTAGTCTTGTTGGAATTCGTAAATTTTTTCCTCTTCGGTAGCTCTATTTGTTGATTTTTTTGATCGTGAGTCTCTTAATCTTTTTGTTGCCGATTTCTTCTAATTTTATCTGAGATGCGATACATATACGTCCCAGATATTATGTTAAAATATTTTTAATTTACCTATATTGCCGATTTCTTCTAATTTTATCTGAGATGCGATACATATACGTCCCAGATATTATATTAAAATATTTTTAATTTACCTATATCGAATTTGTATTTTTTGATTTTGGGTAAATATTTTCTCTTATTTTTGTCCTTTGAAATATTTTTCATTTTTATATTTAAATTATTTGACTTGATTTTTTTACTATTTTTATCTTTTTACTATTTTTATCTTTTAAAATATTTTTCATTATTATATCTTGATAATGTCTAGTTGGAGACTTAAATATTACATCAATTTTATTACACTCATGTAAAATTTTAGTGGTTTTAACTTGTAATTTATCCTTAAATAAATACTTTGAACATTTGTTTAGTTTTGATGTGACTTGCTCTTTTTTCTCGATACTTGATACAAGTGCTAAACTGTCAGAATTTACAGAATCGTTAATGGAAGTCATATGACAAGGCATAAAAGCTGGTAATTTTTTTGAGTGGGGTGCTTTATCCCTGAATTTTTCATTTCCTTTATCCATTTCGTTGACATTATTATCCTTTTTGTATTCGTGTTTTATTTTATCAATAATTTTGTTTTCTTCAAATTTTTGAGAATAAATTTCATGGTCTATAAAGGGAATATAACATGCTTCCTTCCTCTTTAAAATATTTAACATATCATAATACTTTAGATCCATCATATTTTTCGGCACAGCTTTTTGGGTTAGAATTGGATTGTAATGAGAGTATAATTATCGCTTTTTTCTTTTTTTCATCTGTAATATTGTTCAATGTAAAATATGTCTCTAATTTAATAAGAAATGTTGAGAAAGAATTAATGTTTTCCTTAATGGGAATCAAAGGTGTCATCTTATATACTTTTATATCGAATTTTAGTTTTTTCTTTTTTATATTTCAATTTTCTTTTTTTTTTCAGTTAAATTTTTTATTTTCATCACGGATTTTCCGAAAAATACAATTCTAAGAATTGATCAAAAAAAAGTAACAATTCAAAAAAATCGATAAAAGAAAATAAAATTAATAACAATTCAAAATATCGATAAAATAAATAAAAATAATAATATCTCCCTTTTAAAAAGATTTCATAACACAAAATAATAAGTACATATGCAAATTAAAATGAATATTATTTGGAAAACCAATTTGGCAAGCTTTCGATAATGTTGGATCCTTGAAATATAATTTTGTTTTAAAGTATTTATTTAAAAAAATAAAGATTTACCTTTTTGAATTGGAACTTTCGCATTTTTATCGGAACTGTTCCCTTTTTCCTTTTTGATCAAACTTTTAACAGAAAATTACAGTTGCTTGGAAGAAAATGGCAAACCAGAATATAAGAATGATAAGAAAGAAGGGGAAATGAAAAATATAAAGAAGCAGGTAAAGTGCAAGGAATTATTCAATAATGGAGAGAAAAGAGAAGGGATTAAAAAGAGGGAAAATATTAATTAGGAAATTAAAGAATAAAAAGGGGTAGAAAAAGAGAAAGAAAAAGGTGACGAAAAAGAAAGGGAAAAGAAAAAAAGAAATAGAAGAGAAGGCAAATGTAAAAATAAAGAAAGGGAAATAAGGGGTAGGAATTAATTGGGAAATAAAATAGGGAAATTTAAAGGAAAATTATGCTAAAGAGAAAAAAAAGAAAACTAAAAGGGAAGAGGGGAAAGGGAAATGAAAAGATTAGAAAAGGAAAGATAAGAAGAGAAATTAAAAGGGAAAGAAGGGGATAAAGGAAATGGAAAATGATAAAGAAAAGGCTAATGAAAAGAAAAAGGTTAAAGAAGGGGATAGGAAAAGAAAAATGGAAAGAAAAAAGGAAAAAGCAAAAGAAAAATAAAAAAAGGAAGGAAAAGAAAAAGGAAAGGTGTAAAAGAAAAAGGAAAGGGGTAGAAGAATAAAGGAAAGGAGAAACGAAAATAAAAATAAAAAGGGAACGAAATATGTAAAGGAAAAGTGAGAAGTAAAAGCAAAGTGGAAAGGTTAAGGAAAAGAAAAAAGGAGGGGGGGGGGGTTGTTAGGATTGATAAAATGTCTGAATTGGGTCGATTTTTTAAAACAAACCAATTAAGAATTTACCTAAAATAATATGCAAGATTGAAGATTTTCGAAGGTGGCAGAAATGTTTGAACCCATATGTTGCCAAATCTCGAGGCGTTTTTGTAAATCGACCCTTATCTTAATAACCATATGAAAATTTTAAAAAATTTTAAGGGGACTTTTTAAATTTTTCAGGGGACTGGAGCCCTTCCCCCTCTTAGTCACGCTACTGATATTTAGTATAAAATTTAAATATAGAATAAAAAATATAAAAATTGACATTAAACATTTTTTATAGTAAACACTTTTTAGTCACATGAATAGATTTGACAGGTCTCGTGACCTTTGATGAATTGCCAATCGTCATATATTTTGCTGTCATTTATCCAAATATTATTGCCGAACTTTTTATTCACGGTATATTAAAATTAATAATGGATACTGGAAGAAAAAGATTACCCAAATCAATGCAGGTAAATGATTAACAAAATCTAATTTCATTATAATATCAAAGGTTAAAAATAAAACCCCTGCGGATATTCAAATTACTGCAGAGCAGTTATTGAGGGAAGCTAAAGAAAGGGAACTTGAAATCGTTCCACCTCCACCCAAACAAAAGATATCAGATCCTGAAGAACTAGAATCCTACAAACTCCGTAAACGAAAAGTAAATATAAAATAATTCAGTAATTATAAAAATTACTTAGACATTTGAAGATAGTATCAGAAAAAATAGAAATTCTCTTACCAATTGGATAAAATATGCTCAATTTGAAGAGAGTCAACAAGAAATACAAAGGTAAAATATTATTTGACTCTTATAATTACAAAATTTTATAAATAATTAATGAGATGGAATATTATTTTTAAGATAAATATACATAAAATTAACAATATAATATTTAAAATATAAATTATGAAATATGGTTTTTTATTATTTGATAAAATATATTTTTTACTCTTAGAGCAAGATCTATTTACGAAAGAGGATTAGATGTTGACCATCGGGGTGTAACATTATGGTTGAAATATGCCGAGATGGAAATGAAGTTATTTATTTTATTTTCATTGTAGTGCTTACTAAATTGGGCTGTAATGATAATTACATCATGTTTTATATATATTTTTTTTAAAATAAATGTTATTTTCTAATCGAAAATAATTGAAAAAAACAAATTAATACACTTTAATTTGTAAGCCCTATTAGCCTATATTAGTGGTTATTGCCTTCATTATTAAACAATAATAGTGGCTAATGCCCCAAAAATGATAAATAACTTTTGTAAATTAAAAATTAATATTAGACTACTGTATTTATATATAAAACATTTCCAAATCAATATCTACAAAGTAGTTTTTTTTTAAATATTCTATATATGTTAAATTTAATTTTGTAATTTTCAAAATTTAATTTTAAAGGATAAATAAAAAATGATACTTATATCAGCTTGCCCCAATAGATTTATTAATATAGCTGGTATTTAAACAACTCAAAAATTGATATTAATATCTCATGTTATATTCACAGGTGTCATTAGCTGTGTAATGATGGTAAGGCATAAGAAAGATTTTGATAAGCATAGCACAAATAAATTTATGCATATGGAAAATTTTTGGAATTTTTTAATGCTGATCTACTCTTCCATCTTAATATTTAAAATAATAAAATTATAAAAAACCTGTAAATTGTTAATTTTAGCATAGACTAAGTGTCAATTTTATTTTCTTAGATCTTGATATCCCAAACTTTTATGCATAGAATTTAAATATTCAGCAAAAATTAATTGTGTTTAGCTATTTTATTCTATTTATTACAAAATGAAAATGAAAATATTCCCCACCTTCTGATTATTAACCACTAAAGCTATATCCCCCATTTTTTGTATTAGTATGGATTACATCACCAACATGTTTATTAAATATTATCTTTCCATATTTATATGCCATATTTAAAAAAATACTTTTGTGATTAATTTATTAAAATAGCTCATCTACTTTGATATAAAATCTGAGAGTATAAAGGCAAACAATATTTATCTATAAAATATTCTCCCAATTTATAACTTAAAATATCTTTTTTCATGATATTTATATATTTTATTTATTTTCAACATGGTCTTTTACATTATAGTCATTAATTTATTAAAATAACTTAATTCTCTAATATGGAATATACAATCTGATATTATAAAGGTAAACATCATTTATTTATATATATATGATCAATATTTAGAAATAAATAAATTCATGAATTTTAATGTCATGAATTTAATTTATATATAAAATACTATAATCCTACAATTTTTAAAACTTAAAATATCTATTTTCATGATTATTTATATATTTTACATTTATTTTCAACATTATCTTTTATATTATAGATAGGTAGCAAATTTAACTCTAAATTATATTTAAATAATGCTTTATCAACCTATGAAAAGCAAAATTATACTAATATAGTAGTTTATAAGTCAGATCTAATTAGGCCTCTATATAGTATATTGTTAATGACTCAATGTAAAAACAAATGAGTTACTTATATATGTAAATATGGCTTGTCAGAAATATCAAAAATTGAAAGGAATTAGAAAAACATACATCTAAGAAAGACTGTATTTTTAATATATTGATTTATGAAGAAGCTATTATTATATATATATATTTTAAAAATGATAATAATTCTTCATAGATATTCTTCTTAAATGTTTGAGATAAAACTTTTTATCTTTTTATTTTTCAAAAACCAAATATCCAATAATATATCAATGAATTACAAAATAAAATAATGTCCAAAATGAATATCCAAATTATGTCCAGGGCATAAATAAATAAAATCTGAAAATAAATTTTAAAACAACCCTTTATTCATAAATTAAATTGTGAAAAGAAATACAATCATTTGAGGCTTAATCAATAATCTAGAATAAAAATAGGTCTTATAAAATTTTATAAATAAAATACGAGGTTAACATAAAAACAAAATTAAATAATAATAAATCTTACAAGCTTAAAAAAATAATGTTGCTACCCGTCACTTATAAAGTGACAGATACAACATGTCCCTCTTTCTTTAGAAACCAATATGTGGTACAAAAATATAATTTATGCATTACATAAATAAAAATTTAAAATGCAAAAATTATAATAATAATTATTCTTTTTAATATAGCAATTTATATTATAGATGAACTGACTCCATTGCAAACTTTTAATAGAGAAATTCCAAAAATACCTTCCCTGCCATAAACTTAAATTTATGGGCTATCCTCTTGGGTTTAAATATACAAATAGATTATGTCATTTTCTTACCTTATTATTCTTACATTGCAATAACTTAGAAAATTTTTGATTAAATAAAAAAAACATAGATCTTTTAGTGCATAGTATTGCAACATATTTATCAACTAAAATAAACAGATAAAAGTGAAAATTTGCCTTTAAAAAAAAATTTAAACTTCATTTTAGAAACTTTTAAGCAATCTCAATTTTAATTCTTTAAATGCTGAGCACCAGAAAATTGTTAAAGTTAGGGCTGTACATATTAAAATTATATGATTATTAAATATTAATGGCTTATCATTTTTCATGCATAAAAATCTTGGAATATCGTTATGATCAGCATAAGCCAACCCAAACCAGATCCTCTTACTTTTTGAAAAGTTAGGATCAGTATTTTAACTCCCCGCACTTAGAATAAACTTTTGAACAATTTTCCTAGTCCATAATAATTATCGATTTGTTTAAATATATTTCAAAACTTTCCTTTTTTATAAATATTTTGCCTAATTTGTTCAGGCGCCAACCTCTAATCTTTATAACAATAAATAAAAATAAAAAAATTATTAGCATCAAGCATTGGAATCAGCTAATTAAAAAATTTCAACATTTTGGCCAAAACCGATCCAGAACATATACCAATTTCAACAGCCAGCAGACCCTTTATAATATTTTTGTGTTATAACTTATTTTTTTTTTGAAGTTTTATTAGCGTTACAAGAAGGTTTTATTAACGACCATTCATTAACAAATTTCGAGATATACACACTTTTAATAAAGTCGTTTTCATATTGGTTGCTGCTACTTTTGTATTTAAAAAAAAATATGATTGAGTACATTTGTTCTTTCTTCTATATTAGTTAATTTTCTTATTTAAAATAAAACGATACTGTCTCCGATGTTGAAGGAATAAGCAAATAAACCATGCTCGCAATTTGTGGGACAGAGCAGTTTCGTTGTTACCCAGGATGAATCAGTTTTGGTACAAGTACGTTTACATGGAAGAAATGTTAGGGAATATACCCCGAGCTAGGCAAATATTTGAGAGATGGATGGAATGGCACCCAGACGAACAGGCGTGGGCCACTTATATCAACTTTGAGAAAAGACACGGGGAATCTCAAAAAATTCGGGATATATTCGAGCGATTTTCTATGGTAAATGAATTTGGCCTATTTTTTTTATTTATTTGGGAATAAGAAAAGATATTTGGGTAAGGACAATATACCAAGATTTTTTACAAGGAAATATAGATGGGATGAAATGCGTTATAATTATAAAGTAATTTAGAAGACAGAAGACGGATATGTTTTTACAACAATTTAAATGGGAAATGGTATTTTTTAGGGCTGTGCCGATCCACATATTTTTCACCGATCCGATGATATTTTTCGATATTGACTCAAAAATGATCCGATACCGATCCGATATTTGTATAGATTTTTCACCACCCCCTTTGAACCAAATGTAATTAAGAAATCAATATTATTTATGCAAAAATTCATTTAATTTAATTTTTTTATTTCTACAATAATTAAAAAAAGTTTGCGGATATTGATAGTATTAAATGAATTTTTCATTATTCCTCCCTGTGAAATTAGAATTCCGCAGATAACGCATTTTGCAAAATTATAGGGATGTACCGATATTTTATATCGGATCGGGCCGATATTTCGCCCATTTTAAAATATCGGTTGTCGGCAAATATTATAAAATTTTCCGATCCGATATAAAATTGCGCTTTTAACAAAATTTAAAAAAGGCTATATCTAAAAAACCATTTATTTTTATAAATAAAATCGAAATATATTTTTATGTTTATTTTTTTTAATAGTAATAATTAGTTAATAAACATTCTGCAATGTAGTTATTTTTTTTCGCATTCTGTTTAAAAAAGTGTTCATTAATCTCTTCAGAATCTGTTTTTTTAAATATTAATTTCAAATTAGGTCCCCCTATCGGTTTTTCAACTTCCTTTTGTCAAAAAACTTTTGACAATTTGATCCAGTCCCTTTCCAATTCACTCTATATTTCTTTATTACTAATTATGTAAATAGATTAATGTTATTACCTTATTATATAAATAATAGCAATTGAATATAAACTATAACTGATCATTATAATATATTTAAATGACATATGTTATGGTATAGTAAAATTATAGATGTTCTACTAATAAAAAGTATATTAAAAATTAAAACCGTTATCTTTACAGAATACAAAATTAGATATGATATCGGATCGGTTATCGGCCGATATCAATTTAATATCTGAAATATCGGATCGATCTCCAAAAAGTGGTATCGGTACACCCCTATAAAATTATCTTTGTCTTTTGGGAAATATTTCCATTATTCAGATACCACATTTTAAAAAATTCCTTTATTTAAGGTATAAATAATAAAATTGGCGTTATTATTTAAAAAGATTTAAAATAAATAAAACTTTGGGTGTTCCTTTCTATTTTTATGAAAAAACTTTTAAAATACTAAGAATTTTTTTTAAAAAAATAAGAATCTATTTAAAAAAATAAATAAAATTTGTGCATTTGCATTGTTTAAAAAAATTATTTAGAAATGTAAAATAAATATACATAAAATAATAATAAAAAGAAGATTAAATCGGATCGGTTTTTATTGATATCGGCCCGATCCGATATATTTGGAAAACGCTAAATATCGGTGCCTATCCGATACGATATTTAATATCGGCACAGTGCTAATATTTTTTTGACTTAATGATTTTGCTCTGTTACAAAAATTTTGAGTGTCAAATTCCTAAAGTGTAATAAAATTGAAACTGTAAACTTCCCTAAGTTAGATTTGATATGATTTTTAACAGTAAAAATAGGGCGTTCATTTATTTTATATCAGCTGTATCCAGAATGAGACCTTACCATTATACAATAATGAACCTTTATAATACTTGAATCAAGCTGAAACTTTATGCAAACATGCTAAAAAGGGTGAGCTGTCTTAACCAGTTTATAACCGTTTTCTTATATATTGTAAATTTAGATGATATTTGATAAGTAAGACTTTCCTGTCCATTTTTTTTAAAAAAAATTATTTTTATAAGGGAATTAGATTTTTTAAAATTTTGCTAGATAAATATATTTTATTAGTTATATATTTATATTTAAACAATGAATGTATATAAATGCTTACTAAAGATGAGAGACCTGCAGAGGTTACATTAGCATGGCCCGGCTCAGATTTTATTAAAAAAATATAATATAATATTTATATTCTTAATAATGGGATTTAAAATACGACCTGTCCTGGGTATTTTCTTAGTTTAAATAGCACGATTCACTTTAAGCAAACCTATCATAGTTTAAACAGCTGAACAGTGACCAAGATAATGGTTTGGGTCACTGTTTTTTTATTTTTTAAATACTTAGCCTATTTAAAAATAAAATGAAATAGCTAGTAATTAATAAATCATATTTTAAATTTATTTAGGTCCATCCCGAAATTAACAATTGGATCAAATATGCCAAATATGAAGAATATAATGTAAATTCTTCAGAATCAGGAAAAGCCGGTGCTATAGCTAGAGCGAGAGCCATATATGAAAGGGCCCTCAACTTTTTTGGAGACCAAAACCTTAATTCTAGATTATGTATCGAATTTGCAAAATTTGAAGAACGGTGTAAAGAGGTACAAGATATTATATAAAATATTTCTTTTATTTCGTTTCCTAATTTTTATTGCTGAAATTGATAAGGCTAAATGAGTGGAAAAGCATATACGTTTAATTATTTTAGATTGAAACCCTTTGTACCATATATGAGAAAAATGCTCAGGCTTGCATAATATTTTTCTGAGTATGAGTTAGCCTGCTTTAAAATCGGCAAAAGTCTAGCTATTTAACAACATTAAGAATCATAATGTCCTTCATAAGTGAAATGCATCTCAATCTTATACGATAAGTTCTCTGATTTTTAAATATAAATAAAATCTACATATTAAAATTTTGAATTTAATATAAGTGGTTATTTGGAAAAACTTAATTCTATAGTTGGCATTAATAATAAGTTCTTAATAAAAAAAAATATAAATAAAAAAAATTAAATTTCCTCCTAATAAACATATTTGTTGCTAGATATTATTTTATAAAGATATAATATATGAAAAAGTGCTGCAAGAATAATCATAGTAAGAATGGGGTGATTCTTATATCTCTAATCAATCAGAATAAAATTTTTCAAAGTGTTTACATTTATAATTTATGATTATTGTTCATATTTCGATTAAGTTTTTTAATCTTATTTAATCATTTTAACTATCCCCAAATAATTTGTTATATAAATTTAATACAGCTATCGTCTCTTAGTCTATAAGTATGAATAAAAGAATTAATAGCAATTGTTTCGGATTATGTTTTTTGTTTTAACCCTCTTGATTTATTCACCATTGATTTTTGGTACTTTAATAAAGAGTTTAATTAAATGTTATATAATATTACATTTTGTTTGATATTGCTTTGTTAAAATGTCCTGGAGAAAAATAAATCACGATGAAAATTTATTAATGGAACATGCATTTATTTTACTACATTGCATCTGTTTCCCTACGAAATTTACCAAGAACCATTGTTAAATTAGCAATTATTCAATTGCTAAAAAGTATTTTATCATTAATATCAAATATTTAATGTTTGTTAATTAAAATTTAAATGTGAGATTTTTTTTATTAAAAATATCAAATATTAAATATCTAAAATTTAAATAAGAGATTAAACCCTATTATACTTAAAATTATACTTTATTTAAACAAGGAATATGTTTAAAACCATTGAATTAAATTTTAGAGATAATGAAGGTCTGGGACAACAGGTTTTCGACGTTCAGTTTGACATATAGAAATTATACTGTTAATTATATAACATACTTTAAAAAAATGGATATTAGCACGAGAGAGTAAGAGTGATCTACAAATATGCACTGGAAACTTTGCCTAAAGATGAATGCCAAGACCTATACAAGGCCTACAGTATTCACGAAAAGAAATATGGGGATCGGCAAGCGATAGAAGATGTGGTCACCAATAAACGAAAACTCAAATATGAAGAGGTTTTTTTCAATATATAAAAAATTAATACTAATAATTATTTATTTGTCTTATTTATATAAAATGTGAATTTGGATATTTATGTTTTTAGTAAACATAATTGATTTTTTTTGGCCTCTTTTGTAATTTTATATTGTAAACTAATCTAGATTGAACAATGTCGATTATGTTCACATGGATGTAATAATGTAAAATTTTTAATATTTAGCTTCAATCTAACTTTTACAACCAATCATCGACTTTCTTGTATAATCCACTTTAAAATTTTTACTTTACATGTCCTGCTCTTGTTTTAAAAATATAAAAATGTCTATAGGCAAAAGGCTACATATATCCCTTTTCAATCAATGCCATTCCTACTTCACCTTTATTCCTTAATATTCTTTATTGATCTTTCTTCCGTTCCCTGCGATCTATGGTGATATTTGTAATTTTTTAATCGGCCAAACCCCATTTTCTTACAATTTTAAACACGTCGAAGGCAAGTGGCCTCATTTTCCAAATCCTTTCCCTTTGTCTCGCAAATCTCTGATTAGATCGATTAAACCAACAATGTACTTTATAAATTTAACAATGTCTAACAACTCAAGATAGAATTATATCAAACATACCTTTACTTTAGCATCTGCTACCCAATTATTTGTATTAGATGTCTCACTTGTCCGTCCGTTGCCACATATTGAAAGTTTAAAATTTTAAATCAAAGGATTTTTTCTATGATTAGTTACAGAGCCTCTTCTAACAAAGTTTGACTTTTATCTTATCTTAATAATTATTTCCCGAAAATATCTCAATCTTTTACCATATTAAAAGATCAGATTACTAATTTCTCTAAAATTAACCCCTTCCAGAAACCATCGATTATTTCTTCACATCGTCAATGATCAACCTTAATCTAAATATGAAATAGTTTCCCATATCTTTGCATTAAGCTTGAAATATTTCCATGACCCATTTTTACAGTTAAATAGATGGGCATCTTATCAAAATTTTAGTGTAAAAGTTTTATTAACTATGATAAACTTTCTAATAGAATGTCATTAATTCTTTATGTCAACGGGCCAGGTAATTGTTTATCCATTTATCTTTCCAAAATTGATGTTTTTCTTGATTTATCCATATCTCTTGTTTACAGTAGTGTTGTTAAACGGCTGAGCCAAGCCGGCTTAGCCGAAAACTTAGCCAGGTTTTGAGCCAAAAATTAGGCTCAGTTTCAATCCGGCTCATTGAGCTGGCTGGCTCAGCCGTTAGCTCAAGCTATAATTGGTATTGAGGGAAATCACTGTACACCAATCATTTATGAAGAATACCTAATTCCAAATTTTACCCAATCTTAGTTCCAGCGATGGACTGAAAGCTCTAATAATATTAGAGAAACATTTAACATATTTGTAAATAATTATATGTAAATTTTTGTATACATTTATTTTTTAATTGCCATTACCTTATATTTCTTATGAATGTTTAAATTTGTCAAAGTTATAGCATTTATTTATAAATATTCAAAAAAAAGTGCAATAAAAAGTGTTGTTTTGATTATATTGTATAAGTAAGTATTTGTATTTAATTTAATGAGGAAGACTGCTAAAATGACTTAATTCACATTTTTTAATAAATCATTAAACATAATAATTTTTATTATAAAAATATACAAAATATGTTTAATATATTATAAATATGGTATTAAAAATTAAGATATAAAAATATACATAATATGTACAAAAGATTACATATAAAAAGATATCATTTCTGAAAATTTCATTTTCATATCAAAAATTTCTTTCTCAGTCATACAATTAAATGTTGCTTGAAAGGACTTAAAATATCCCTGAATATGATGTATATCATCATCATAGGATATTTTTTTTGCAAAATCTATTTCAAAAATAAATAATTATTAAATATAATAAATATTTACCTCTAAATAACTCCATCTTTTCAGCTTCAAATTTGTTAGTTTTGTTAGTTTTTTTTAGATTTAAGAGTCTCTTAATTTTTCCTCTTTGAGGTAGGATTAATATTTTCTTTATTTATAGAATTGTCTAACTATTATTAAATTAATAAAATATATAATAAATATTTAACTTCTAAAATTTCATTCTCAGACATATCCATTTCTATAGAATTAAAAGGATTAACAATATCATTTAGGAGATCTTGTGTATTTGGTTCATAGTTCTAAAATATAGATTATTATATAGTTCTAATTTCATGCTATAATATTTGTGGAGATATTTATATATCAATAGCATTCTTAGATTGTTTCAAACTGAAACTTGCTTCAGAATGCTTGCAAATATCTTCCACATTTTCTTTGAGCCAATAATAATCTTCAATAAATTTCAGTTGCTTAATGTTCATCATAGCAACATCTCAACTTAAAATATAAAATAATATTTTATATTTATTATTATAACTGATTTCCTGGAAATGGCATAAATTTTGTTAAATTTAGCCTTAATTCCAAAAAATTTTATCTTTATTTCTTCATCTAAATATCAAAAATTGCATCGCGCAATTTGCGCGAATCTAGCGAAAAAAATAATAAAAGCCATTTTCAATGGAAAATTAAACTGTTGGCCTAAATGATTTTTTTGATTTTGCGCAAATTACATCTTTTTATCATTAAACTGTTGCAAACGTGAATAAAAATGGCGAACGAATTTCAATTGATGGAAAATATAAGACCTTATAGACAATTTTTTAAATTAATTAAATGCAACTAAATCAAAAATTAGTTTTTTAAAGATATTTTGCTTACTAGAAAGGGACAACGCTATAATACTATAAGATGCAGTTAAAAGATTGTAGGTAAATTTGAGTCACAGTGAAAAAAATTAATATATATACTTCTTATGGTTAAAAAAACAAATATTTTGATCATTTAATAATTATAATAAATAACAATGCAGATATGGTAAAATATGTAATTACACCACAAGGAAAAAATTATATAATTATTTTATTTTGGTTACCCGGTTAACTTTTTATAAAGGTTCTTTTTACTCCTTCAAGAAATAAATATATCGGTTACAGTAGAGATATTTATTAAGGTTTATAGGCTTAACGGTTCACTCCAGGTTCCTGATCACGATACACTTTAAATTTTTTATGATATAATTAAACCGATGATCATTGATTTATTATTCAATATATATTTGTAGGAAATCTCTACGGACCCTTTAAATTACGATGCCTGGTTCGATCTTTTGAGATTACTGGAATCAGAAGGAGAAGTGGAGATCATTAGAGATAACTATGAACGAGCCATAGCTAACATCCCTCCTATCGAGGTTATAACAGTCTTTACTCTGACAAATATTATTCTTATTACAGTTTAAATTTTTATAATCAAAAATAAACCTTTAATTTAACATTTTGTTTAAAATAATCATTGATTATCATTAAATAGTTTTATCTTGATTTACTTGATAGACCAATCTATTTCTACACACAATGTAAATAAGATGCCTATATCTTTGAAATTTAACTAATTTGGCAGACTAATTCATTTTATATTTCTTTTATTGTTTGTGATTTGTTATTGTAAAAGTAAATAGATTATGAATTTTTTTAAATTTATCCGTCATTTAATGCCTAGATATAAATTTATTCCTCATACATAATCTTTTATAATTCCTCTTCAGTCACAACTATATGTATTAATAGTGTAAACTATTCACTATTAGGTGGAATTTTTTTGGGTGGTAGGAGTAAACCAAACTCTGTCGCCCTTTTATAAAACGGAATCCCATTCATATTTGTTATCAATTAATAATATTTTAAATACTTGTTAAGTTAACTTTATTATTTTTAATAAAAGACGGCTAAAAAATAAAGCAAACACAATCATAATATTTGTTTAGGAATTAAATTATATCTAGTAATGATCATATTTTAAAATAGGCATCAACATTTATAAGGAATCGGCCAATCAATATTTATTTTAGATACCCAACACTATTTACATTCCATTGTTATTCATTTCAATAATATAATCAATTTTAAATGATGACAGGGGCCAGACCTAATGGGTAGGAGGGGGGGGGGGTAACATCAATAGAATAACGGTACAGACCATGGCCCTAACCTTCCTATTCTTTCTTTTTTTGTCTGATTCTTTATTACAATTATTATATAATGAAATCTAAAATATAAGAAAAGTTTTATAAAAACAAATCAGAAAGCTGGTTAGTATTTACCATTCATTTTCATATCATATTTTATATTATATAGAATAAAATAATGAAAACGTCATTAAATTATAAGAGTATTGCTGATTATTATAAAATTTAATGTGATAATTAAAATAGAGAATAAAATCAAATATTTTGAGTTTAAAATTTATTCCCTATAAGCTTTTTTAAAAAAAATATTGACCACGATAGGCCAAGCCGGGTCTAGATCTAAAAAAAATTTGTAACTGGGCCCAGGGTAGTGGGCTAACATTTATTTAAATGTCTAATCATTAACATTTAAATATAAAAACAAAAAAATTTTCACAGGAAAAACGATATTGGAAACGGTATATATACCTTTGGATATACTATGCCCTCTTTGAAGAGCTCGAAATGAGAGACATGGAAAGAACTAGGCAAATATATAAAACATGCTTGAAGGTTGTCCCTAATAAGATTTTTACTTTTGCTAAGATATGGATCTCTTTTGCTCAGTTCGAAATTAGGCAAAAGAATTTGACGACAGCGCGCAAGATATTGGTATAAAAAATAGAATTTTTTTATATTTATTATTTAAATTTACGAAATTAAGTTTGGACAATGTATAAATGCGAGAATCATTTATTTATATTTGGAATTTTTTTTGACTTCTCTCATCTCTGCCTTATTAACCCTCGTCTAGTATTGTTAAACAGCTCAATTTAAAAAAAACAGCTAGCCCAATATTTTAGCCAATACATATTACGCAAGCCTCGAGATTTTGTTCAAAGGTGACTTTGGACATCTATTAACCTAATCTTAAGGCTTGCACAATATTTTTTAACTAAAATATTGGGTTAGCCATTTTAAAAAAACTTTACTAATTTAACAATACTATCCTCATCGGGTAAAATAAAGAAATTTCTTGTAGCTATTTTATTTTTCATTATATATATCTAATTAAAATTGAAACTTCTTACAAGATAATTAGACCTACGCTTCAAGATTTAAATTGGCGGCGATATTTTATTTTTATTTTACATTGGCGGTTATAGGTTCGCCAAATACGCTGATGACTTAATAAATTGGTGGCCATTTAAAAAATTTAAATATTGCGAAATAAATATTTATGTAATTAATAGAAATAAACTATTAATTAATTATTGAATTGATTTGATTTTAATATAGTTTAATGTAAAGATATTCTTTTGGCGTTTAATTCAAGATAAGATCCTTCACTATTTTTCGCATATGCATAAAAAATTTATCTAGCTAAGCAATTTAGGAGTTCCTTTAGCTTTTTTTCCCCCACTCTAAACAAATTATTTGGAGAATTCGGAACCCCTAGAATCGTGACCGATAGTAAACCCCCATTTTAAGATAACATATTTAAAGAATTTTGTGAAACCTTATTCATAAAATATTTTAATATCGGCATATAATTCGAGATCGAATCAAGAAGCTTTGTACAAACTTTTAAAATTCTTTAAAAAAATTCGATGGAAGAAATAGATAAATCTTTATTCGCCTACCGAAATACCCCTCATTCAATAACCAAATATGTATCCGCATCACATGTTCAAAAATTTACAATACAAGGCGGGTCATTCCATGACAAATCAACCACGATTCGGCCGACCCCCTTCGATTTTTTTAAAATTTGGTAAGCAAAGAAAGGTCAATGTAACTAAGAAATAGCCAAAATTTTAGCCTCGTAACATTTATATTTTTGGAGATATTAGGGTTCAAAGTGGCAAAAATGTCGTATTTTTACCATTATCTGCCTTCATTCAATTAAGCATATCTTAAAAACTATCTAATTGTAAATAACAAATTTAATATCAAAATTACTTACAAAGATTCTACTTTTAGATAAAAAAAAATTTTTTTTTTTAATTTCCGGCCATTTTATTAAAGGATTAAAAACGATTTTTTAGAAATTATACGACCTTCAATTTTTTTAAAAAATTTAGTAGACAACACTGAACTCTTCCTTTATATTTATAAAAAAAAATTGGTCTGGGACGAGGCCATCTTCATTCTCAAAATCGATAAAAATGTTTAGAAAAGTGTATAAATATTTTCCCGAAAGGGGGCGTCTTTGCATAAATTTATATTTAAATCAGTTTTTAATGGGTTTTCTTGGACTATTTGATATAATTTAAAGGATTATTCATCTTATAAATATAAATTATAATATTTTCTTCACTTATGGGGCTTTCATTCAAGTATAGAAATTATCTATCGATAAAAGAAACTCAATTTATTACATTATTATTTATAATTATTATATATTTGCCCATATAACATATATTTAACGAATATTAATAAAATATGATCCACCAAATATCGATCAATTTTTTAAAATAATGTGATCGTCGCAAAAAAAAAAAAATTTTTCAAAGTCAAGATATATTATATTTTTTTTGTGTCTCCATATTATGTACATTGTATTTATTGTTTTGTTTTTACCAAAAAAAAATAATATATGAAGAATTATAATTCTTCCATTGACGTGGAAAAGTAATAAAATATTACTAATATTAATTTATTATTATTATAAAATTATATACAAAATAAAAGTGTCATCAATAACCCAAACAATATAAATATTGGATCGAATTTTCTAAAATCGGCATAGCTTTACTTGTAAATAAGAATAAATGAGTGTTTCAATCAATAAAATAAAGAAAAATTTAAAATTGATTAATCATTCAATAACACATGCTCACTATATTAATTCATTTTTTAATTCATTTCTTGGTATTTTAAAAAAACTATAATAAATTCTAATTATTCTTATAATAAATTCTAATTATTCTTATAATATCAAAGGTAAAAATATTATTTAATTGAAGCGATAAATTTTATAAAAAACTAAATGAAAATAATTAATAATGTCTTATAAGGATATTTTTGGTTTTAAAACTAAATCAATAATTTTTTCAAAAATTAACCAGTTACTTTCTACATCAAAATAGGGTTTTTGGAACAAAAAATGATTATACCATATTTTTACTAAATTTTATATAGAATTTTACATGAATAAATAGTCCTGAAATACTAGGTTAATTTAAATTATAATTATTTGTTTTAAGTTATTGGATCAAATTTACCCAATTTAACCAAAGATGATATGTTGCCTATTAAAACATATAAACATATTTTACCCTTAATAATTTGTAATCCGCCTCAACCATCCTGTTATTTGGGCAAATGTGATAATTGTCCAGGGTCAACAAATTTACGCCACCAAATAGAAATATTGTTTCGTTCTAAGGACATCGAATTTATAACATACAAACAATGGCTATCCGTAGATAGAACCACTCTTGAAACAATAACCAAGCCAGTAGATGAATTTATCAATGCCTTTTTTGAAAAAATGGAATCTTTATTACCCCATTCTTTTATTTCAACGCAACAATCATTGCATCAAAAAAATCTAAAATTGAACTTAGACAAAGGCCAATATTTAATTTTATGTGATTTTTCAGAAAACTATAGCTTTATACTTCAGGATGAAGTACAAAGTTATCATTGGAATAGAGCTCAATCCACTGTTCACCCTTTTGTTATATATTATAAAGATAATTTAGCCAATATTTGTTGCCTAAATTATGTAATGATATCCGAATCTTTGCAACACAATACAATAGCAGTACATTAATTCCAAAAACATTGGTAAATTTTTTAATTAATAAAATTTGTATGCCAAATAAAATTTTTTATTTTTCCGATGGATCTGCTGCACAGTATAAAAATCGTAAAAATTTTATTAATATTTGCCATCATGAGATGGATTTCGGGATACAGGCAGAATGGCATTTTTCTGCTACAGCACATGGGAAAAGTGTTTATGATGGGATTGGTGGCACTGTTAAAAGATTAGCCGCTAGAGCTAGTTTACAAAGACCTTACTCAAAGCAAATAACCACATCATATGAATTGTACGAGTTCGCTAAAGAAAATATTAATGGCATATATTTTGAATATATGACCCAAGAAAATTATGATCACGAAGAAATATTACTCAGGGAAAGGTTTTCAAAAACGAGACCTATACCTGGAACACAGAAAATTCACAAGGTGATTCCCACAGGTCTACATCAATTTAAGAGTAAAATGTATTCCAATTCAATAGAAAGTAATATAGAATATTTATCATATAATGATGAAAGTATCATTTTTGGAGAGATATCAGAGTATATAACATGTGTTTATGATTCTAATTGATGGTTAGCCTTAGTTTTAGGGAAAAATCAAAAGGAGGAAGAAATATATATAAAGTTTTTACACCCATCCGGACCTTCTAATTCCTTTACATTTCCAAGTATAGACGACACTCTCTACTTGCCAAAATGTCATATCTTAACAATAGTTTCACCGTTAACTGCTACTGGCCGTAGTTACACATTGTCGTCACAAGAAAGTAAATGCGCTACCGAAAAATTAGAATCTTTTAAAAGTGAGTTATATATTAGATTTTAAAATTTATATTATATCAATTATTTTTAATATTTAGGGCGCCATATATGAAATGCTAAAGATTCTGATTCATATATTCAAGAAGTATAAATTTGGTTGAATATATTTTATTAATATTAATATATGTTATATTAGCAAAAAATTTTATAAAAAATTATAAATAAAGTAATAAATTGAATTTCTTTTATCGATAGGCAATTTCTATAATTGAATGAAATCCCCATTTATTGTTATTTTCACTTATAAGATAAATACTCCTTTAAATTATATCAAATAGTCTAAGAAAAACCATTAAAAACTGATTTAAATATAAATTTATGCAAAGACGCCCCCTTTCGGGAAAATATTTATACACTTTTCTAAACATTTTTATCGATTTTGAGAATGAAGGCCTCGTCCCAGACCAATTTTTTTTTATAAATATAAAGGAAGAGTTCAGTGTTGTCTACTAAATTTTTTAAAAAAATTGAAGGTAGTATAATTTCTAAAAAATCGTTTTTAGTCCTTATATATTTAATAAAATGGCCGGAAATTGAAAAAAAAAATTTTTTTTTATCTAAAAGTAGAATCTTTGTACGTAATTTTGATATTAAATTTGTTATTTACAATTAGATAGTTTTTAAGATATGCTTAATTGAATGAAGGCAGATAATGGTAAAAATACGTCATTTTTGCCACTTTGAACCCTAATATCTCCAAAAATATAAATGTTACGAGGCTAAAATTTTGGCTATTTCTTTACTACACTAACCTTTCTTTGCTTACTAAATTTTAAAAAAATCGAAGGGGGTCGGCCGAAAATCTCATTTTTTTTGCTCATTTGACATGGAATGACCCAGGCCCGTTAAATAAACTAAAAAGCATACATAAAAAATCATAATTTTTGGAAAGCGTCTGTGGCATAGTCGATAGGGGGCATGGCCTGCCAATCAGATAGCTCTTTGTTCAAATCCAGCAAGCACCATTCTTTTTTTCTGAAGCCAACTTATTGGTTCTATACTGGGGGAGGGGATGATATATGGTAGATCGGAGATGATTGCGTGATTCCACTAAGAATTTTATTGCATTGTAGGTTGCTTAGCAAAATAGGTTGCTTTATAGAAATTTATAGGTTGACATAGCAGTATTTCACATTAACCCTTTTAGGGTATTTTTTGGGAGTCCATTAAAATATTCATATGATTAATGATTGGAGATGAAAAGGATATACATCATATATTAGACATCCATAAAATTAATATTTAATAATAATAATATAGTATATATATAATAAATAATGCAATAAATTAATTAAATATTAAATACGCTGCTGCCCAATTATAAATAGGGGGCAAGTCTGTCGAATCTTAACTCAATTGACAGTCTTTTTTGGTGTGTCAAAATTTTCTGGCAGCGCACAGGTTTAAAAATAATACACTAAGATGAATTCAATAATTTAGAGAAAATTTTATCACGTCAAAAACAAAAATATTATTTCAGGGTCATGCCATAGGTATGTGCCCAAAGGATAAATTATTTCGTTCGTATGTAGATACGGAGATACAATTGAGGCAGTTCGACAGAGCCCGGACTCTCTATGCCAAATGGTTAGAATATAATCCTTGCAATGTTCTCACTTGGGTAAAATTTGCGGACCTCGAAACTATTTTAGGTAAATATTTCCATTTAATTTTTTATTTTTTTTTAAATGATTAACCTAAGTCTGGATAGTTATTTCTTGCTAAGGCTGTGCAAATCTTGATCCGATATTTAGGTTGATATTTATTTACATTTACACTAACAATAAAAAAATTCTAAATTTTTGCTCTCTTTCTTTCTTTCTTTCTTTCTTTCTTTCTTTCTTTCTTGTATAAAAAGATAACTGATAAGGGTATTTATTTTTATTTTCTCAAAAGTTTAATCATCTCATCTAAAAATATGGGGAAATGTTTAAATTGTTGAGTAGTTAAATACTTTTGCATTTAAAAAAAACTAATTATAACACTTTTATAGCATTTGATGAAAAATCTATAAAAAAAACTAATACATTAAATTAAGTATAAAAGTTAATGACATGAAATTCATAGAGGAAGTATTTCAAACATGATAGGAATATATTTCTTGTAAAATCGGATTTTTAAATTTAAAAAAAAACACGTTCAAAAAATCATTTAAAGTTGAAAAAATAACTCATTGCCGCTAATATACATAATCATAAAATGAACAAAAACAAATTATAGTATTGAATATTTTTTTGAAAATATCGGGTCCAATTCGATATTATCAACACCACAGTCCTACTTATTGCTTACAAAAAATCAGTTTTGGAAATTGCCTAAGTTACATATATTTGGTTAAAATTTTTTAAAACAATGACGGGAAAATTTTAGGAGTAAATATTATGTTCAAATGTTTTATGAAATTTTAATAAATTTCTGGGATAATAATTCTTTTTATTTATCGAATGGGAACAATTATTATTATTTGCAAAAGAATCCATCAAAACTTGTTCTCGGAATTTGATAATGTTTGAATCATATTCACTTCCAGATTAATTGGATGAAGATTCGAGCTAAGTTCTATATTTATTTGTTTTTTTTTAAAAAAATAACTAGAAAAATTGGTTGAAAATTAAATAAATACATAATATTGAAAATATAAGTTATAGAATATTGAAGTATTATTTATACCCATATTAAAATGCAAAATTAAATGTATATATCAGAATGATGAATTTAATATTTAGAAAAAAAATATACATTAGAAAACTTTAATCTGCGTTTTGACAAACCCGTCAAAATTTAAAATTATAAATATCTCCACTTTCACGTATGAATAAGAAAGAATTTTAATTAAATGATTTTATATTATATGATCTACTTTATCAGGAGGTTAGAAATCTTATTTTTATATATTTATATCGAGTTAATCTAATCTATACGAGTTAGGCTTGATTTATAGTAAATGCGTTATGTTCAAGAGTTGCGTTATTTAACGCTACCTAAATCACAGCTGATTCCGTTTTAAAAACTAATTTAATAGGTATCTAATATTTCAGAAATATCGTATATTATCGAATTTTACGCTTATTTATCATCGCATCGCAACAAGTATTTTTTCATAATGCTTCTTATTTATAAATTATTCCTATTTGTTGGCTTGATTTTGTAAATAACGCACCTCCTAAACATAACGTTTAATATAAATTAGGCTTTACACAAGTCTTACAGCATTTTATATTTTAATAAATATGTTATAAAATACGTAACTTTACTCAAACTTTTATTTTCTTTAAAACTAATAAAAATTAACAACTGAAAAATTGATTTCCAATAATAATAATATTTCAATACATGAAAAAAAATCAATAATATTTTAATAATAATAAATAAACAAACATATGCATAGAACACCTCCCTTATTTTTAAGAGGCGTTCTCAGGTTACTACATATATATAAAAAAAAACTACTTTTCATAATATTATTCATTATCTTCATTTATTCCCATCTCGGCAAATTCCTGCTGAAACTCCTCAGCTCCATTAATCTTGGACGGAACATTGACGGGTTTTTTCCTTGGGAATATTGTCCTTTTCATCAGCGTCTTCCTCACTCCAAAACTTTTATTTCTATTCATAACAAGAGTCAACGGTGCTTGCCTTCCTCTGATTGCAGTAGACCGATCCAGAATTGGGTTAGAATGATCAGAATGCACATTGTTAACAAATTTATTTGTATTATTATCATTATTGTTTATAACAAATGTATTGCTGGGACATTGAGCCGCTTTATGCCCCTCAGTTCCACAGGCAAAGCAAGTTAGACGGAATATCGGTCTGTTGAGCATGGTCTTAACGTTCATCTTTGACCTAGCACCGTTGACTCTTGTTATGAATAGAAATAAAAGTTTTGGAGTGAGGAAGACACTGATGAAAAAGACAATATTCCCAAGGAAAAAACCCGTCAATGTTCCGTCCAAGATATGGAGCTGAGGAGTTTCAGCAGGAATTTGCCGAGATGGGAATAAATGAAGATAATGAATAATATTATGAAAGGTAGTTTTTTTTTATATATATAGTAACCTGAGAACGCCTCTTAAAAATAAGGGAGGTGTTCTAGGCATATGTTTGTTTATTTATTATTATTAAAATATTATTAATTTTTTTTCATGTATTGAAATATTATTATTATTGGAAATCAATTTTTCAGTTGTTAATTTTTATTAGTTTTAAACAAAATAAAAGTTTGAGTATAATAGTTCGAATATAATAATTCATAATAGTTCGAATATAATAATTCCTGAAATATTATTATTATTGATTATGGGATTTTTTTAGATTTTGGAAAATAAATATAATCTCAAAAGTTAAAACAGAGTTTGAAATGCTCCTTAAAATAAAAAATTTGCAAACGCTTTTTGTGAATATTCGAACAGGATTTTGAATCGAATTTTACCTTAAATTTTATAAATCTATTTTGTGAAAAAAAATACTTATATGACTAAATCTTTTGCGGATTTTTGCGCATGAAAAAATCTCTCATAGTTATATCACAAATTTTATATATTTTTAATCTTTAAAAGAATATTCAATTTTATCAAAATATTTATTTTAAAAAAAATTTTGTTTTAAAAGTAATATAAGTTAATAGAATGACTATGATATTATGAAATCTCGACCATATCCAAAAGTCATTAAATTTTGTAGGCCAAACTTGCGTGGGATATTTGTTCGGGCCGATGAAAGGGGGTTTTAATGCATAGAAAGTGACTGCTGAATCAGCAAAAGTCATCGATTGTCAGAGTGCCTATACCCACTGCAAGGACTTCCTTGGCGTTGATGGGTTGATGTCAGATAGGATTGATTGTAAAAAAAACCTGCTCCATAATTCCAAATAATTATATGAATAAATGATAACTAAGTGGGCATGATTATTTGATATTCAATCAATATAATGGAATAGAGACCTCTAATTTTTTTCCTAAATATACAAGTGCGGTGCTAGGCCTAAAATAGTTTTAAGAAAATGCCCGGGCTGAGCCATACGTTTTAAATCGTCATAATTTAGTATGAAAATTATAAGAAAATAAATTTCTGTAGGTCTCTAGAAATAGTATTATTCAATTAAGAATTATAACTTATATTTCAAGAAAAAATAGTTATTTATTTTTATAATTCCATCAAATTGAATCTTGCATATATCCTTGAATTAACAAACCAAAAATACCCAATATATAGTTCGCTAAGATTAGATAGAAATATATATTATTTTTAGATAAAAATGAGAAGGAATATATTCCTTGATCATTTTTTACTGTATTATATCTCTAGTTTTTCCCAATTTGGGGTTTAAAAAAAATGTAAATACTTGTAGTGAACAGTTCTCTGAGATAAGAAATAGTAAATTTCGTATAAAAAATTTAATCAGATCCATATAAATAATCAAGATTATGATATTTCTATATGTATATTTTTATTTAGGCGATTTAGATAGAGCAAGATACTTGTTTGATCTAGCCACCGAGTTGAGCAAGCTAGATATGCCTGAGATTCTATGGAAAGCCTATATAGATTTCGAGTTGGAACAAGAAGAATATGATAGGGTGAGAACGCTCTATGATAGGCTGTTATCAAGGACTAATCATGTCAAGGTTATAATTCAAACTTATTATATGTAAATATACTGATATCATTTGGGTTTTGCTATATTATATACTTTTAGGGTATATTTTTTTTTCAGAATAAAATTTGATTTAGAGATTTTGGTTACAATAACTCATAGAAACAAACAATATTTATTTGTGATAAGAGATATTTTTTGCACTTAGGAATTATTTGAAGGCCCACAGATCCATAAGATTTATGATTATGAAATTACGGATCATATGATATAGATTTTAAATATTCATACATTTCGCGAATTTATAATCTTGACCAAAAGAAAATTATTTATTTGAATGAAGAAAAATTGGACTTTTTTTATACTATTTACAAATGCAAATTTATAGGTATGGATAAGCCTTGGGGAGTTTGAAATGTCGGTTCAAACAGAAATGAAAGATGGCTCTCCAAGTAATTTTAATAGGGCCCGGGATGTTTACCAAAAGGCAAATCAAATTCTGGCTAAGTCAGAAACTGATAAAGAAGAAAGGGTGACATTGCTTGAGGCGTGGAAAAAAATGGAAGTAATATATCTTTTTAATGTTATTATAGGGATTTTAAATGATTGCAATGTGAACTAACAAACATAATTTTGAACCTCATATAGATGGCAGGAGAGGTCTAGCAAAATTGCGTTATTTTACTTTTGTATTGCTTATTTGTGTTTCAATTCATAGAATACAAGTAAAATATTATCGAATTAGGCCTAAATACTATAATGTATTTATCATTGAATTGTTTTTGTAATAATTGCACTAGCAAATGAGGATTTTAGTTAGCGTCTGACAAATATAATTAAATATCGGATTAGATCAATATAAGTATAAAAAATAAATGGTCATTTCAGTGGGCTCTTAATATTAAGTATTGCGCTTTGTATACTTGCATAGGATAGGGTTGGCAAAAATCATGTTTTTTCTATTAAAAAAAATAAATATATTTTTGATATCACAATTTTTATAAAACATAAATAATTATAAAATATATGCCTAGGACGTAAATAGTAAACAATAAAACATACATTCCTTTTTTTTAAATTACATTTCATCTGTTTTCTTGTAAAATTTATGAATATACAATAACTAAATTATCTATATTAGATTGATTAAATATTTGACATAATTCAATCAACATTTAAATTTGACCATTTATGATAATTTGATTAATTTTGAATGGTATATAATTTTAAATAAAACGAATTAAATCTTGGTAGCAACAAAATATGGAATATATTATTAAATGACCAGAATTAACGGAACATAATAGAATCCTTATTATTTTTTTGCCCTGAGCTCTTCCTGAATATTTTAATATTAAGCATATTTTATGTAAAGTATTATTAGCCCTAATCAAACCTAAATTATCATATTATTTTGATAAAAAATTATTCTATATTTCCATTTTATAATTTTTCTCAATAACGTTCCACTTCACGTGTGACTGGTTATAATTAAACGTTTTTATTTGAAAGCGAAAACTAATAAACATTAAAATGCAAACTAATTTAATCGTGCTAACCCTACCTAGGGGTGTGAATCTCTTACTAAAGCTTCCAATACTGTATTACATTTTAACACTTACGATATTGACAGTTTTTATAAGGCACATATTATTTATTTTTTAAAAAAAGCATTTTATTCAAATTAGTGATCTTCATTGGGCCTATATTTTAAGCCCGGCCCTAAATTTTTTTTAAAAAGTTTTACTGGGCCTGCCTGAAACAGAAATTTTTTTTAACAAAGTTTAACAGGCCCGGTCCGAATTTATTTAAATATAGAAAATTAATTTTTAGAAATACTCAAAATAAAAGATATATGTTATATGGCGTCTAGTTTTTATAAATAATACATTAAATATTCAACATAAAATTGTTAAATTTAGATATATTAAAAAAAAAATTCCTAGGGCCGAGCTGACCCGGCCTGAATTTTTAAAAAAATATTAGGCCTGACCCTACACGAAGCCCGTTCAAACCGAGTATGGGTCGGGCCTACTTTTGCAGATCTCTAATTCAAATCATCATTATATTGTTTGTGTCAACTAATTTATACGTTTCAATTATCGGAAATGAAAATAAAAAATAAACATGAATATTTTTTTAAAAAAATTATTTTTAAAACAAGTTGCAATGCGGCGATCCCGAGAAGATAAAAAACGTGGAAAAATTGATGCCTCAGCGAATTAAAAAACGACGAAGAATCATAAACGAAACGACAGGTGAGGAAACTCCCGGATGGGAAGAATACTTTGACTACGTTTTTGAATCGGACGAAACGCAAAAACCAAATCTCAAATTGCTAGCACTCGCAAAGAGATGGAAGAAAAGCGATGATACAGTCCCAAATGTGAATGATGGAAATGACACACAATAAATATTATATTGGTATTCGGTTTAAAAAAAATATTGTATTCGTTTAAAATCCCTAATTGTATTGCTATTGGTTTATACATATATAAATTAGAGAAGAATAAAAATGATTTGTTATTATAAAACTCTTGACAATCATATTTGGTTATGGCGTTACGTTGATACTTTATTTCGTAAAATTTTAAAGTAAACAATTTAAAAAATTATTCCATGTTGCCGAGAAGGGCAATATGAAAATCATTTCAATATGTTCAATAAAGTTTGATCCTTAACCCTCTAGTATAAAAAGGACGAGCAGGCATGGTTAAATAATTTTTAAAATCTTCATATATTAAATAAATTTTAATAAAAATATAATTTGTCGATTTTAAAATAAAGAGTATGGAAATCAAAATGTCTGAAATAGTGCTTGTTTTCTCATATAATCATTAGATTTTACTTATAACATACGCGAAACCAGAGATAAGAAAAATCCCCTCCCTCCACCCATCTTAACAAAAATTTTTCAAAAAATATAATAGATTAATTGCAAAGTAATCTATTTTAAATATTATATTCTATTTTAAGTATTACCAGAATGTTAAAATTAATTTAAATATTTTTTTCTTTGTATTAAATTTTATCACAAAAATTTTAAGCTTATTTTCTTACACTTTTTTAAAACCTTAAAAACTAATCAAAAAGAAATTTAATATATCTTTTAATAACTATGATTAGGTAAATTTCTAGTGTGTGTGAAATTTTCAGATATCCAAATAGACAGAATTTGCTTAGTAAAATTATTTATAAGGTGCTATACAGGAAGAAATAAACTACAAAAAGTTTGCCCATCAAGATGGAACCTTCGGCATCAAGCCGTTACAGCTCTTTTTGGATCTAATTCGCTTATTTTAAGTGCCCTCTGAGAAATATCAGAATTGGCTTAACCAGATATTTTATTTGAATAAGATATATTATTAGATTCCGACTACACATCAATTCGAAATTATAAACTAATCACAATTTTATCATGTATGAAATAAATTGACAATATTTTTAGTAATTTAATATCTCGAAATCAAATTTTAATTAATTCAGAAGACAAGTGGCAGGTTTTGACAAGGTATTTATTAGTCAATTTAAAGCTGGGTGTATTTTGAATACTAAATTTATAAAAACATTAGAAGTCACTGGATTGTCTATGGGCACGAATGATAATAGACGATTGACTTATTCTTTGTATATTTATTTCATCTTTTGGAGAGTATTATTTCAAAATAGTATTTAATAATTTAGAATTTCAATAAAGATAAATATTTTTAGTTGAGCATAGATTGCTTTCTGCTTTTGTTAATTTTGGATGATATTTTAAAGAATCTTACATCTAATTGATCTGCATCGAGCCTAATTTTTTAAGCCCGGCCTGAACCCGAACAGCCCGAATTTATTTAAATATAGAATGGCGTCTATTTTCTATAAATAAAATCACATATTTTTATTTTACATAAAATATTCAACATAAAAGATAAATGTAAATATTATTTTAAAAAATTTCTAAGGCTAGACCCGGCCCGAATTTTAAAATATTAGGCCCATCCCGAAGCCCGTTGGGCCGTGTACGGGCCGGGCCTACTTTTGCAGATCTCTACTTCTAATATAGTATAGTGACCGTAGGGTCTTTCTGACAGCTTGAAATTAAACATCATAGCTTTAAAAAGATACTCGATAGAACTGCAGTCTGCATAGTAGTGTTGTTAAACGGCTCGTTTTGAGCCGATTTTTAAAAACGGCTACTCAATATTTTAGCCAGAAAAATATTGCCTAAGTCTCGAGATTTCGCTAATAGTTGTCCAAACCTTTGTTCCTGCTATAAACAAAATCTTCATGCTTGCGTAATATTATTCTGGATGAAATATTGAGTTAGCCGTTTTTAAAAATCGCCTCAAAACGAGCCGTTTAACAACACTACTGCATAGAGAATCAGATAGATATTATCAGACCCTCCTTTTTCCTTTTTTGGAACGGCACATTTTTAAAGACGGGCTTTTTTGGGTACAAGTTTTTAAGGAGGGTCCTAAACTGGACTGGTTTAACACGAATTTTAGGACCGGACACATATTAACGCAATAAATTTTTTTATTCAAATAATAATTTAAATATAGGTTTTTTTAAATATATATAACATTTCGTTTTACAGAGACAAAATCTAATTCAACTTCCCCTGAAGAGTTATATATATAGAACTATTTTTTTTTTAAAAAATCGGATATTTATTAAGTTTAATTGTATAACTCGATAATTTGATTAAATAATAAACTATGAATTTTCATCAGTTTAAATTACAGCAATAAACTTAAACGCTATCTATTGGTTGCATTTTTGTAATATAAAATAGTATTAATTTTTTTATTAATCTTTCTTGATATATAAGTTATTGCTAAAACCGTAAAAAATATCAACTAAAAAATTAGACTTTTTATAATTTATGTTAAATAAAACATCATAAAAGTATCATGAATTGTGTCGATGTTTTAGCACATAAATATTAATTATTAATATCCAATAAAAGAATAATTATACATCCCTTTTGGTCCCTTTAACACGCATGGCAAAACTCTCCTCATCTTATTTTATTGGTTAAAATAAATTAAAAAATAGAATAATAATGTTATATTTAATTTTATTTTTTATAATATATTTTAAAAATAAGAAATATAGATACAAAATTAATTATATTAAAATAAAATATATTTAAAAAAAACAATTAAAAATATACATCATAATATTTTTTTATATAAATAAAGGGAACTATTGTAAATAAATTTTTTTTTACATTGATTATGGGAAATTGATGAAAAAATTATTAATCATTATAATTATAAAAAAAACTTATATAAAATTATATTAAAATGGGATATACAAAACATGTAAAAATAACATTAAAAACGGTATAAAGAGGATGAATAATATAAAGCCAGGATAAAATAGGTAAGAAGAGTCTAGGATTGCTCTTTGGCCAGTAGACTACTATAAAAGCTGTTGTAGTTCGCTTTAAGGATGGCTGTGGCAAACCTTTCTCCTAGAAAAAACCATTCTCGATTCTTCTGAGAGTTTTCTAATTTTAAGTTTTTGAAGAATGCTAGAGCGAGTTTTCCGTTGGTGGAAAGTGTGATTAAAATGATAGGAATGAAACAATGGTAATTTGAGATTTACATGTATTTGGATATTTTAAGTTGTTCCTGTGGGCAATGATGTTGAGGGTTTAGCTGGATGCCCTTTCCTCCATGGAATTTGAATGCTCGTTATATGATTGTATTACATTTTGTATGCCTGATGAAATGACCGTTGCAAGAGCGAAAATGTAAACTGTCTTCCATTCATGTCAACATATGCCATTTTTATATTACTCCAAGGGCCCTCAAAATAGGCTATTCTCGATGTATTCTATGCTGCCATGCAAGGCAAGGAGGAGACGTTTACAGCATGGGTTATGCGCATAGCCAGATTCAATAAAGAAAGCAAATATGGTGGCATACAATTTACAGCAATGAAAGAAGATGAATAACTAACGAGACCAGTTCAAGGGAACGCTAGACCATAAGAGTCAAACATTAAACATTTACCCAAGCATTTAGAAGACTATATCATGAACATCATATTCAAAATTAACATTTTGTTTTTTTTACCAATCGTTATCTCTTACATTTGACTTATGTCAAGCGGGGCTTTAAAACTTAAAAAATATAGATTATTAGATAAGACCCTTAAATCAGTACACAAGGAATTTTATTTTTCAAAACAAAATATTCTAACTAACATTTTAAATTGTAATTATACATGTTTTTTTGGAGCTCGTTATCGTAATTCCGTTTTTAAAAAATGATTTTTTTATATTTATTTAAAAAAATTTGTTTTATTTTTTTTAAATCACCTTAAATTTGAAATATGTTTCCTAAATCCACTCCATTTAACACAACCTGTTATTTGACAAAATTGAGCATATTATTTACCTCCCTGAACATCAATCCTTTTTTAAATTAAAACCAATTTTAATATTTCCAAAATCCTCTAGGCCCTTAGATTTACACCAATATACAAATGCAGCGATAGTTTCTCATGAAATCCATATCAAGGGTCTCCTCGGAAATATATTGAACATAAAATTTTTATACTCGTCCTGGTTTCAGACCACCTTTTCTAGGAAGTCAGATGGAATTGGCATCGGATCCCTGCTACAACTTTCTCTTTCAATCCCGTCTGGTTGATCAAGTTATTGTCAATAATGTATCAACTTATATAGACTCCTGACCTATCTCCTTACCTTTTGGATATTATTATAGTACTAGATCTATGAAACTCAATTAAATTATTTTAATAAATATAGTGTAAGCAAACCTTAAAGCCCTTAAAAAAATCCTGAGCTAAATAAACATAATAGGTTCAAATGAAGCACTGCCAAATATATCCAATAGAGGATCATCTAATTATTTCAATTACGGCATCGGTTGAACGTAATGGCATAAGCCCGCCCTGCCTTGTATATTTATCCCTAAATTTTTGAAAATGACACGGCATCCTCTTTTGCAAATAAAAATGCGAAGAGAATAAAAGTTCAAACTACTATTTTTTTTTACTATGCGTTACTCATATTAATGATTAAAATTCAAATATATTGTATCATATTACACCTCTTAGTTTTTGCCAAATTATCAAAGATGCCACCGAAGGTTTTTGAACTGAGCCGTCAAAATTCTTGGCACAACGCTAATCCTATATGTAAAATATGATGTTAGTTTTTCATCAATTATATTGATTTTTCTTAATTTTGACTTATCATATTTTCAATAAAAAAAGTAATTAATCAATTAATTTTGTTCGTCATGGTAAGTACTAATTAAGTATCCAATAATTAAAAAGTAATAATAAATTTTAAAAAAATATATTAAAAAGGATATTTTTTAAAATTAGTTAAAACTTTATTTTAAAGTCAATATAGTTTTTATTTCTAAATTTTTCCCGGTTAATTCTGTTCACACAATAGAATTTTGCAACTTGGAATGTAAGGGAGACCTGGATAAAGCGATTGACGGGGTAGCCTGTTAACGCGAATAACTTCTTAACCCTTGAGCGTAAAGATTTTAAATTTGGTGCGAAGATGTATTTTTATATCTAATTTCTTTACCTATGTTAATCTTTTAAAAAACTTTCTCGGTTTGACATATTTTGCCAAAAAAACTGTTTTTTCCCCAAAAATAATAAAATAAAAACCTTTTAGTATTTTTTGTCTTAACAAAATATTTTAGGACTCAGAATTTAAAAATTTAACGAAGTTTATAGCTTAACTAGAAGTTACATAATAACGATTTGTATATGTCACCCGGATAAAGTTGTTATTGGTAGTTAAAATGTTCCATCTGATTTAAGTTGTAAACAGTTAATTTTTAAATATTAACGAACGACACCATAAAAAATGATATTTTTAAATTTCACGAAAAGTCGCAAAAAGGAAGAATATTTTGAAAAGTGTCAAAATTACAATATTTTGTTCAATTAAGCAATATAGTTATGCTAAATTTATTTTTACCACTTCACCTTGGGTGGTATAGGATAAAATGGCGAAAATGACACACATCATATAATTAATCACAATTCCGAAATTATTATAGGTAAAAAGCTACACTTTTTTTTATTATTTTGATTAGAAATTTAGCTATATATAAATATACAATTTGTTTTCTTTGGCTAATGTTTCAAAAAATTTTGGTAAAAATGCAAAATACGAATCCCCCGGTCTCCTCTACGTAGTACAGATTAAATATACAAAAAAAAAGATTATATTATCTTATAAAACTAAATAAATACCATTATAAAACAAGGTATATTTAGAGCTATTTTATTAAACTCTCTTAAAATAATATAAAAAATAATATATCAATGTTGTAAAATATGTAAAACAACTTACATCAAAATATAAATTTCAAATATTTTAAAAACATAATATAAAGACCCATTATTTCATAATATAGTATATAGTATATATATATTATATTGAATTATGAATAAATATCTATCAAAAATTGCACAATATAAAAATAAATATATTATTTGTATGTGATTTAATCTAAATAACAGAGGAGATTATAGTAGCGTTGTTAAACGGCTCGTTTGAGCCGATTTTTAAAAACGGCTAACTCAATATTTTAGCAAGAAACCTAAGCCTCGATATTTCGATAATAAATGTCTAGACCTTTGTTTTTTTCTATGAGCAAAATCTTCAGGCTTGCGTAATATTTTTCTGGGTGAAATAGTGAGTTAGCCGTTTTTGAAAAATGGGTTCAAAACGAGCCGTTTAGCAACTAGATTATAGATTAATATTTATTTAAAAAATTTTTTTTGGCGATTTGTTTCTAATAATTGGGAATATGTTGCCACCTGTTAGACTTAGAATGCGTGAAATAAAAAGGGAATGACATTATTTGCGTCTCTTTCTTAATTCGGAATCATAGGCTATAAGTTGCTGTAGAAATCCAATGTTAGGATGCACTTCCCTCTTTTTGCGTATCGCGGTTAGAGCTTGGTCTATCGTCATACCTTGATATTTCATGAGGTATCCTAAAACGATTGATGTCGATCTACTCATACCCATCATGCAATTGACCAAAATCTTGCCTAAACAAACAAAATTACCATTCGATAAAAAATATATCAGAGAACCAGCAGGCCCAAACGAGCCGGGGTTTAAAAAATTGACCTATGCGACTGTGCAAGTTTTAGGTAAAAAAAATCGATATTTTAGTTTACATTGATATTATATTTAATTGTAATAAAAAATAAATTTTTTTGCCTAAATAACAAATTCTCAAAAAAAACGTGAACTTTCTAATAAATATAACCTAATTATCTGGCCAATACTACAAATATCAGATGCTATAATTAAATCAAATTTTTTTTCAAAATAAAAACATTTTTAATTAAATTACCGGTATTTACTTTTAAAATTCGAATTTATAATTATTATATATTAAAAATAAAAATTCTCTAATTTATTTATAGGTAATTTTAAAAAATAGACAGCAATTATTTGGGCAGTTTTTTTTATTAAGAACTGGGCAGTAAGAGAAAAATATATGGTAGGTTTTTAAAATTTTTGGACAGTATTTAGAATAATTTGGAAGGTTTTTAAAATTTTTGGTCAGTTATTAAATAATTTTTTAATTTTTTTTTTAATATTTATATATATATATATATGGGGAGTTTTAATTTTTATACATTAATTTTGAAAATGAATTTAATGAAACCAATTGATGAATATTGTTAAAAGATCTTCAAAAAAATTCTGAATCATAGAAATATCTAAAGGCTATTATTTTTAAGGGCAGGAGCAATAAAAAAAATAACTTTTATTTTAACTGAAATTATTCAGTATTTATTTGAAAGCTGTTAAGTCGTTAGAAAACAAATATCTTTTGATTATAGACGATCACTGGGTCATTCCATGTCAAATGAGCAAAAAAATCAAGATTTTCGGCCGACCCCTTTCAATTTTGATAAAAAGTTGTAGACTGGTTATATATGTTTCCATTAGATTATAAACCAAATTTTAGCGCATTAGCAACTATATTAACGGAGATAATCGGAGTTAAAGGTCCAAAAAACGCCTTTTTTTTCCTTTTTACTGATGTTAAATAATTAGTTTTTAATTTAAAACTAATTATGATAAATATTGAATCTAATATCAATAGCTAAGTTAATAATTGATAATTATGGCGAAAACATCAAAAATAATTTTTTTTAAAATATGGGTCATCTTATGGTCAGTTGAAAACTTGAAATTAATATTTCGAAATGTATATGATCTCCGATTTTTAATTTTTTTAAGAAATATTATCCGTTTACTATTTTTTTAATAATTTCTTTAACAATTAGCATGGCTGGATATTTATTTAAAAAAATATTGCGATTTTTATACTTTAAAAAAAATAGATGGCGCTATATATAATAGTTTTAATATGTTAAAATTCATTTTTTTTATTGATTAAAAATATTTTAATGTAAATATATCATAAAATTCGATTATATAACTTTGTAAACCTTATTCCCCTGAGATATTCGCAGGATAAAAAATTTTAATAATTTTTTAAATATTTCATTGTAAATTAAAATAATTAAAAAATCGGACTAGCACACGAACAAAAAAGCAGGATTAAAGGGGTGCAGAAAAATTATTAAGGGAAAAATCGAAAATCGCATTAATTACCAGGCCTACCCCCAACCCCCTATCCACCTCCTCCCCAGACTAAGTCATACCCATTAAGACCAAGAATGTTATGAAATTGTCATTATCTTACATTATTAAAATAACCAGAGATAAAAAAAATTTCAAAGATTTTGAAAAATTTTTTAAGCAATAAAAATAACAAAATTATAGTTCTGATGAAATAAGCCGACTCATGCCTGGAATAAAAGATTGTGTATCTGTTAAAGGCGAGAAAGAATTAGCAAAGATTTATATTAAATAATCTTAAAGAAATATTCAAGATGTTTAAGGAAGAATACCCAAGTATATCAATTGGATTCCCTAAATTTGCCGAACTTAGACCAAAAAACTGAATTTTAGTTGGATGGCACACACACTGTTTGTGTCTGCGCCATTCATCAGAATGTGAAATTAATGACAAATGTAATAGCTGAAATTACAGCAGGAGAAGATTACTGTATAAATTCTTATAACAATCTTTTGGCGCAAATTATTTATAATCCATCTCAGCCAAAATGTTATTTAACAAATTGTGATCAATGCCCTGGTATAGAATCTCTTATGGGCCAATTATACGAATTGTTTCAGAGAAATCGTATAGAATATGTCACGTTTAAACAATGGATCACGGTGGATAGAGCAAATCTTGAAACTATTATAAAATCCATTGATGGTTTCATCGAATATCTATTATAAAAAGTTCAAATTTTACTGCGTCACTCGTTTATAGCTAAACACAAAGTTTATTTTTGAAGAATTCCAAAGAAAATTTAAAAGATGAGGAATTTTTAACAATTCTAGATTATTCTGAAAATTATTCCTTCATTTTACAAGATGAAGTTCAGGGATTTCATTGGAACAATGTGCAGGCCACTATACATCCATTTGTAGCATATTATAAATCTGGAGAAGAATTAAAAAATATAAATTTTGTTATTTTGTCCGAATCATTAAGCCATAATATTAGTGCAGTCAGCCAAATTTCATTCTAAACCATAAAAAATAATATATTTTTCGGATGAAGCCGCGTCTCAATACAAGAATCGCAAAAATTTTCTGAACATATGCCTTCATAAATACGATTTTAATATTCCTGCCGAATGGCATTTCTTTGTCTCTGCTCACGGCAAAAATGCATGTGACGGTATCGGAGGAACTGTCAAAAGATTAGTTGCCAGAGCTAGTCTTCAAAGGCCAAATAAAAATCAAATCCTAACCATTAGAATTATATAATTATGCTAAAGAAAATATTAATATTCAATTTGAATATGTATCCAATCAAGAATATATCGAAGAGGAATTAGCGTTTCGTAAAAGATTTAATTCTGCACTGCCCATACATGGGACCCAAAAAATTCACGGGATTATTCCCATTGATCAAAATAAACTAAAAACCAAAATATATTCTAATTCCAAAAAATATAATATAAAACAAGTTCCGTTTTTAAATGAGAAAATTATATTTTAAAATATTAATGAATATATAACATGTGTATATGATGATAAATGGTGGTTAGGATATATAATCGATAAAAGTTATACAAATGAAGAAGTAAAAATCCGATTTTTACACCCTTGTGGACCTTCAGCCTCATTTAAATTTCCTCTGAAAGATAATATTTTAGTGTTGCCTAAATCTCATATTCTCTCGCTGGTCAATCCTTCTACTCCCACCAGTCGAACATATATATTATCTCCTGAAGAATCTCACAAGCTAGCCAGGCTTTGTATTCCTTTAGATGAAGTAAGATTTAATTAATTTATAAACTCTCTTAATTAGGCAAAATTTGTGAAGATTTTAAAAATTTATGATCTGAATTACAAATAATATATATAATGCACATTGTAATCGATTTAGTATGATATATATACATTAAAATATATTTAATCAATAAAAAAATAAATTTTAACATATTAAAACTATTATATATAGCGCCATCTATTTTTTCTAAAGTATAATATTCCCAATATTTTTTTAAATAAATACCCAGCCATACTGATTGTCGAATAAATTATTAAAAAAATAGTAAACGGATAATAATTCTTAAAAAAATTAAAAATCGGAGATCATATACATTTCGAAATATTAATTTCAAGTTTTCAACTGACCATAAGATGACCCATATTTTATCAAAAATTAATTTTGATGTTTTCGCCATAATCATCAATTATTAACTTGGCTATTGATATTAGATTCAATATTTGATCATATTTAGTTTTAAATTAAAAACTAATTATTTAACATCAGTAAAAAGCAAAAAAAGACGTTTTTTGGACCTTTAACCCCGAATATCTCCGCTAATATAGTTTCTAATGGGCTAAAATTTTGTTTATAATCTAATGGGAACATATATAACCAGCCTATGAATTTTTATCGAAATCGAAAGGGGTCGGCCGAAAAGTGATTGATTTGACATGGAATGACCCCACTATGAACGAGGTCTTAAGGCCATAATAAAGCGTTCGAGCCCAATGTCAAAAGACAGGCAGGTAAAAAAACCGAGATTTACAAAATACCGCTTCGTGGATATTTTCAGCGCTTTGCAACGTCAAAAAATATATAGCCTGCTTACAAGTCGAATTAATTCTGAACAAATTCGGCATTTCAAAGGTAATATGGATTCCACGTGAAATCATTCAAATCACCCTGTGTTTTGGATAACCTTTTTTTTAAAAATAAATGAAACTTGGTATCAACAGTGAATATGAATAGTCGATGATGCACCATACTTTTAACACAGTTAAAAGGTGCCAAGACTTGAAATCGCGAAAATTTACTAAAACATTATATTATATATTTTTTAATGTTCTATATCTAACTCCTTCCTAATTTTTATGCATAAAAAACCTTTCATGAAATCGAACTGGGACAGGGACAGCCTATTTTGGTTTGTTTTAAGTGTTGGGTGGCATTGTATTTTTCTCTTATTTTTCATTTTTTTTTCACCTGAGGCTGTTTAGTCGAAGCTATATAACCGGTTAAACAGCCAACTGTTTGCAAATAAGTCGAACCAAGACACAACCTTCAACTTGTTTTTTTTTTTAAAAAATTTCCCATTTTTGTAAATTTTCAAATTATTTTTGTTAATATTACAACTATTTCATCCTAATTAATCCATTAAAAACCGTGTAGTTTTCAATACTATTTTTAAATTTTAATTTATAGGTATTAAACATTTCGTAACAAAAAAATATTAATTTCTCAAAAATTTTATTGCTTTGTTTTTTTATACCGGAAATAACATTTCCATTTAAGATTTTATATTATATAAATAAAAAATTAAGGAGATTTTAAATGGCTACAAGGTTAATATATAATTTGTGGTTAGCATCAATAGTAATAGAAAATAATTTGAGATTTAAGGAAAGCATGATAGCATAACATAATTTTGGACTTTAGGCCGATATCTCAAAATCTATTTGAGCTAGCTCTTTCTCTCTTTCTAATCCATTATATAACCATCGCACCGAGTAGTGTTGTTAAACGGCTCGATTTGAGCCGACTTTAAAAAACGGCTGAATTACTATTTTATCCACAAAATTACTACGCAAGCCTGAAGATTATGCTTATAGATGACACAAAGGTTTGGACATCTATTAGAGAAATCTCGAGGCTTAGGCAAAAATTTTTCAATGAGTTAGCCGTTTTTAAAAATCGGCTCAAGAGCCGTTTAATAATACTAATACCAAGTTCTATTTACTATTAAAAACGATTGTATTGGTTGTTATTATTGAATTCCCGTAATAGGTATACAAGTTAGCGGCATTATGTTTTTTTCAACTTTAAATCATTTTTTAAGCGCGCTTTTTTAAATTTAAAAATATGATTTTATCGGGAAATGATCATGTTTGGAATACCTACCCTATGAATTTCAGATAATTTAGCCAAGAACTTTTGAACAACAAAATTTATATAGATGTATAATTTATAAATGACTCAAAAGTCGGAGTTGTTAACGCTCCTTTTTAAAAGTAGCTAGCTCCCGCTCCAAGTAATGGAATGCCACTCTAAATCATTGCAGAGTTCCGGTGAACTAGTAGATATTTTTACACCAGAATTATATTTTCTTAAAAAAATTAATCAATTTGTATTTTAGTTCCATATTTTGTGCATTTTATATTCATTCCCAATTTAATTTGAATGCAGAATGGATAATAACCGCAATTATATTTTTGTTCATTATAAACATTTGAAAATTTTAAGCGGTATTAATATACAGCTTATAAGAGACTCTACAAAAGGTTGGCAAAACTCTAAATCTGCGAAGTCATTTATTTTTTGAAGTAGGAAGTTTAGAAATTGTTGGAGTTAAGAAACCCATATCCATATGAAGCTCCCCTTCAAGAATTTTTAGATTTATTTATTTCAATAAGATAACGATTATATTAATATTTACTTAGCTATACTCTCTAATAAATTTACATTCTTGCGTTATAACGTAAAAGTCCATTGTTATCACATAGTCATCAAGATCATTTTGTTTTTCATTTAATATTTTATCTAGCAAAATCATAGATTCAAAATACGATTTCCATCTAATGGAATTTGGGCATATCAGATATCTACCGAATTTTTTGATAATATTATCTGCCATAATAGTAGACATATTTTATTTATTCCATAAGGATTGACACTTTTGTAAGGAACTTTGAGATATTATTTTAAAGTTTCTATCAGCCAAAACTTTCTCTGCATCAACTGTGGCCACCAAATTGATATTGTGGCAGGCACATCGTGATAAAGTCTTCTGAGAAAAAACAGTCACTATTAAATTTTAGTCAAATTATGAACCTCCAAAAACTGAAGGAGATAATGCATAATTGATTATGTCATTGAGACACTAGTTCAATTATCAACTGTAGACAATCCTATCTTTGTGGTAAAAACATTTTCACCCATAGAAGGTGATGTGCCGCCAAACACTAACAGCAAAGATTTGTTTGCGTTATGATAAAATGATGGATGATATTATAGAAACGTTTTCTGAAGTATCTTATGTGTGTACCATAGGGAGTGGATATAAAAGGTTAGTGCCTATCTTTATAAAAGTGTTTGATTAATTTAACTTTTTTATAAAGGTCTTTCTTGGGTGTAACAGCTCATTGGATTGAATCTGCAGATTTAGCCTTAAAACGTGTTCAAGCACACTTTAGATGATCTCGCCAAGATTATTATTTATATACATAAAATTTCATTAATGATAATGGTAGAAACTTTGTGAAGGCGTTAAGGTAATCTTAATTATTTATTTTAAAATAATATTTAACTTTCCTTTTATTTTATTTTAGAATGTTTGAGGATAAAAGTTCTGAGAATATGAAGATTTCCAATTTGTGGATGGTCTTGATAACAGGACCGAAAGCTATAATTATCTACCACAAAATTCACGATGTGCTTGCCACAATATCAATCTATGGTCTTGATAGAAAAAATATTAGAGGAACAAAAGGACCTCGATGAGTTATGAGATAACCATGGTCTTATATGTTTTAACTCAAGAACGTAAATTTATTGAAGAATATAGCCAAGTAAATATTAATATAATCGTTATCTTAGTGAAATAAATAAATTTAAGTTTATGGAGTCTTTGAAAAAAGCTCTAAAATTTCCTAACTCCAACCATTTCTAAACTTATTTCAAAATTAAACGACTTAGCAGATTTAGAGTTTTGCCAACCTCTTATGTCTATAAAGGTTTATAATAAAAAAATAAATTGTATCTATTTAAATAACTTCATTGCAGATTTCTAAATGTTTATAATGATGAAAATATCATTGCAGCTATTATCTATCCAGCATTCAAATTAAATTGGGAATGGATAAAAATTTACAAAATATGGAACTAAAATACAAATTGATTAATTTTTTAAGAAAACAAATACCTGATGCAAAAATAGCTAATAGTTTACGGGATGCCTGCAATGATTTGGAAGATTTTTTTTGGATTCTATGAAATTGATCATCTATATTGGACAAATATTTTTTAAATAATGATACCAAAATTATTATTCTTGATAAATTCCCTGAATAATATCTTTATAAAATACAATACTCCGCTTCCCTCTAGTGCTCCTGTGGAGCGCCTATTTAGTATTGCAAAACAGGTCTTAAGGAAGAGGCGTGGATGTTTGTTAGATTCTAATTTAGAAAAATTTATTAATTTTTAAAGCTAATAAAAGATTATAAATATTTTGATATATCATTTAATATAAATAAAATTTGTTTCGTGTACTTTCTAAAAAAAATAAAAATCAAAGGAGCGGCTATGGAGTGGCACTCCATTGTTTGGAGCGGGAGCTAGCTCCTTTTGAAAATTTAGTAGCGGGAGATAGCTACTTTTAAAAAGGAGCGTAAACAACTCTGATTTTATTAGATGAAAAACCAATATAAAACTCGGCTCAACATTTAGTATTGCATAAATTTAAATAAAATATAATTTCATTTTTATTGAATTCTAATTTAACAAATAAATAGATTTATTAATATTTAAAAAAAAAAATTTATTTTATACATTAAATTTAAAAGAGCGGTCGAGCGGCGCTCCCCTATTCCAACCCTAAAAGAACTAGCTACAACTCCTGATTCTTAAAAGGAGTTGCGTTCTAGGTGTTTTTGAAGAAGTGTAATTGTAAAATTATCTGGAATTTATAAGATAGGTATTAAAAACACTGTTTCAATAAATTTCTACTAAAATCAGATTTTTAAAAACTACCTTGTATAATATATCTAACCAATAATATTTTATTTATAGTTTTAATTTCATTTGTTTTTATAATTGACTACCCAATCGCTAGAATGTTCCAGTATATGGCTTTAACCCGGTAAAAAAATATAGGGTGGAATTATATTTCAGGAGGAATAAAAAAAATGGAAAGCCTCGCGATTGTACCTTTGCTTTGAAGGGCGGAGTCGATAAATTTTGATCCTCTCTCTAGGAAATTAACGAGGGGAAAATTCCATGTATCATCGATTTGCAATCCCATGTAAGTTATGCCCACGTCGTCGTAGAAAACTTGACTGGTATTGACGCAGCCTAAATATTGATGAACGGGAGACGGCTCAGCGCAATTCAAAACGTAGCTGACGCTTAATTTGCACAATTCTTTTTTATTTTTAGCAATCGAGCTGAAAATTTAAAAAAATAGAAAAAAAAAATAATATTTAATAAATTAGCAAATTTGCCCATTCGATACAATGGGTAATGATATATGACGTTAGACCACTTGCTAAACAAAGACCTTTAAATTTGACGAAATCACGTGGTAGTCCGATATACTATATATTATTCCCCCATCCCAAAAGGACGGAACCATCGAGTTGACTTAAGAAAAAAAACATGGCCCTTGATGGATTTGAACCCAGAACCATTGGTTTTCTCATCATGAAATGTTTTTTGTATATAATGATATTATAACACTATCTAATATTTATGAAACACGTAAAAATTAAAAAAATAAACCTATATAACGAAATATAACGGGGAATAGATATCTTAGGTAAAGAAGCAAATATCTAATTTATAGTGTCGTTCAATTGTCTTATAAATTTTGAGAAAGTAACATTGAAAAGATGGGTTCAAATTTGTTTAGTGATGAATAAAATGATTATTCTTAGATAAAAATAAATAGTAGTGGAATAGAAATCTGGAAAAAAAGCTTATTGAGGAGTACTTATTTTAATCCAAAGGCCCTTCCTTGAAGTGAAAAATATTCAGATAACTGATAAAATATAAAAAAAAATCATCGAGTCAAAGCTTTCTAATCCCCTTTAAAGAGGATGACGCTGAGCTTCCCCCCCCTTTCCAAGACAAAAATATAAATTGATTGGATCATAATTTTAAAAGTAAGTGTTTGAAACAAAAAAATTAAACATAACTATTTAATTTGTCCTAATCTATTAGAACATAACCCCCCCCCCGCCCATATTGGAAGGCATTTAAAACAACTATAGCTTAAGGAACCACAACCCAATTCCTAACATGATCGGCACGTGCCATATAAATCGATAGAAAAATTAATTGCCCGTTTCTAGCGATCAATCAATACTCTTATTTTTTTTCTTTCAAAAATTAATAATATTTGAATTGTGTTCGGTTTATACTTTAAAGAATGCCGTTTAAAAGAAGAACACGATAATATTAATAAAAAGTAATAAAATCAAATGTAAGTTTTTACTTTTTTTACATATAAAGTAGTACAACACAATAGGTAAGGTACATGCATACTAATTAATTATAAACAATAAAAACACATTTCTATACCAAAATAATAAAGAAAACTAATTGTTTTTCATCTCGACAAATATCTAATAAAACAAAATTTGAAAAAGAACAGGATTGAAAATAATTTTCCTTAAAAAATAATAATGATATTGAAGAGGAAATGAATACGATATTACAACAGAACTACGAGGAGATAAGGGAAGGAAGAAGAAAGGGGAGTATAAATAATTAATTTAATCAATTAATATTATGAGATAAAATTTAAAAAAAAATGCAAATTTTAATTATACCATATTATATATATAAAGCAATCTTTGTTATTTGATTCGATTTCGTTGGCAACAATGGTTAAAAAGATGATAGATACATTTTTAATGAAATTATTTTGATTTTTTTTACGACCAGTATTTCTGAGATTAGAGAAAAATTCGACGTAATTTACCAGCGGAAAGTGGTCGCATTTCGCCAAATTGGATCATAAAATAATCAACGAAATGGCGACTGATAAATTTTTATTTACACTTAGAATTAGATTTATCTGTAGAATTAATATTAAATTTGTTTATATTCCTTGCTAAAATTTAAATGCCATCTTATTTTTAAAAAAAATTAGACAATGAATTGTAATGAAAATAAACACATTTATTAAAATACGTTAGTAACATAATTTCCTTAAAACAAGACCAATAAAAAGGATGGCAGCTTCGATATAAGTAACGGTCGATACTTTCAATTTAGGTTAGTATCGGCCAGAGTGGCATCTTTGTAACTGTGCTATGGATTAAAGGAAAGCGATATAATCCAGAGAAAAACGGGAATATAAAAAAATTTGTATGCAATATTAAAATATAAATTTTGAGTTTATAAATTATTTAATCAAAATGTGTTTCGAATATAAAAGGGATTTTTTTTGTCAATCTAAAAATCCTTTTTTAAAAGAAAAAATATATAGACAAACTAAAACACGGAATTAATTTAATGTTATATAAGTTTTTTGTTTAATGGACAAAACATATAACTTCCCAGTTTAATGTAAATTTTAATTTCGTAATATTGTGTTCATTGTAATTTTTAAAACTTTTGGAAAATCATAAGGATCGGAACAAACTGTTACGTGATTGGTTATAAACTTAAATGTTTTCCACTAAATTTATTTATTGACTCGAAAATCGAATATCGAAACATTTTGAAAATCTTAAGGTTCGGACCAAACTGTTTCGCGATTGGATATAAATTTAAATGTTTTCCACTAAATTTATTTATTGGCTCGAAAATCGAATCATTTAATTTAAAGAGACTTAAATGGACAACAGGGTAAGGACCTAATATTAACGTAGGATATTAAATGCATACTCACCTCCGATATGCCGGTTAAAAATCGGCAGTGGTATAATGTTAAATTTTGCTCTTATCAATTTCTTATGGATTTTCATCTTTTTTTTCTAAAAAATATCTTCCCATCTTCGAGATATTTTATGAACATGGTTTGATGAGCATAATAACCGCTCTATTGGGTATAACAATTTTTTAAGAGTGATTTTCTACAACTGGGAAAGGCTTCATTTTAGTGTGGTAAAAAAAAATATGATCGGATCAAATCTAGTTAGTGTTCAAGAAAGAGGCCACAGGATGATGGTTTGACGTGAATTAAAAATGTCAGAAAAGAATTCTAGGAACTCTGGGCATAGCAAGGAAGTTGGCTGAGCCATTATTATTTTTTTTAAAAAAAAAGCTCTTATAGAAAAATAATAAATGATAGATTTTCTGAGCTGACAGATTGGCACGTCGTTCATTTGGGTGGCTCTGATGGCAACGGATTTTTACAACGTCGGTTCAGGTTCGGATTGGCAAAAAAAAAGAATTTGTTTTAAATAACTAAATCATTAATTAGATTTTCAAATCTTTTTCTGGTTAAAATCTCTGTTGAATTTAGACATATCACCAAGGATCCGAATCGTCACGAATATAAGTTAAATTCAGGCTCTGATGAAAACATCGGTTAGAAAGAAAGAAAGAAAGAAAGAAAGAAAGAAAGAAAGAAAGAAAGAAAGAAAGAAAGAAAGAAAGAAAGAAAGAAAGAAAGAAAGAAAGAAAGAAAGAAAGAAAGAAAAGAAAGACATAAGAAATAATAATATCGGTTCGATTTGAACCATTAAAAACCGGTTAGAACCTACTAGCAAACAAAATTTTTAAAATTAAGTATAGATATAGCACTAAAAATTATATATAAAGTCTACCAACATTTCTTTCATCGCATATACAAATTAAACTCTAAACCAGGGGCGTGGAAACCGAACGTTTCGGGGACGGAAATTAAGGCACATTACGAAACGCGAACGAAACGGTGATTTCCCGAACAGTTCTGACACGTTCCAAAATTTATTTATGATTATGCGTAATTGTAAAATTGTTAAAATATTATTTACAATGGCTCGTTCATAAATATTCGTTTTTATTTATTTTCTAATTCCAATCCTGTTATTGCGTTGTTGAAAGGTAATTTTCGACACTCAAATTTATATTAACCATATACTCATAAATGTAAAAAGGTAATGATAATTAAAATAGATTGAATAAAAATTGTGTTAGGCTTAATTAGGCATATGTTCAAACTGTACTTTATTTAACGCAACGTTGTTTACAAAATCAAGCCAAAAAAATAAGTATAATAATATATCAATAATATAATAAAATTTAAAAAACATATGTTGCGACGAATATTCCAAAAATTAATAACGTTATGAAGAATTAACTGTGATTTTGATAGCGTTAAATAACGCTACGCTTTAATATAATGAAATAGAAACAAAATTATAAGGTTTTCGGAACGTTCCGAAACGTGGAATGGGACATGAACGTTTCTTTTTTGATCGGAAGGCAATTGGAAAGAAACGCGAAATGAGTTGAGAATTCCTTTAAACGCCAAATAACTAAATACATAAAATGGTAACTGAATATTTACCAAATAATTGAATTATAATAACCTTTAAAACAGTCGAAATATCAAAATGTTAAAACCGATTCATATACATTTTTTTCAGAGGTTCGGGTGACAAAATTTTTTCAGATTCAGGTTTGGTTTAGTTTCAGTATATAATAATGGTCAATACCGATTTTGGTTGGACCCTTGCATAGCATCAGGATTTTAAAAAATCAGTGAAAGTTTTAGTTGATTCAGATAAAATTTTTTTTATAAGTTTAGGCTTTAGGTTAGATTCATAAATATAACAATATCAGCTTGGTTCGAACTTTGAAAAACACCGTTTTGCTTATACACTTAATTATAATGATTAGTGTCAAAAACGATTGGGTTTATGAGTGGTCTGGATCCCTGATTTGTAGTGCTGTAAATATTACTTCAAAAAAGAAACACGATACTAGTTACGTCTGAAAAAGGTACGCGTTACCGTTACTCTCTAAAAAAATGAAAGTGCGTTACTGGTTATGTAACGTTATACAAAAAATTTTTTGTTCCCCCTATATATATAATATAAAAATAGAATTATACAAAAAATAATATATAATAAGATATCTCTTTATAATAATTTTTTATTAATTTTTAAAATTTTGATCAGATAAACAATAGTACTTAGTGCTCAACATAACTTTCACCATGCTAAACCAGGTTATATTGAAAATTTCTTTTAAATGATATTGATTTTGAAATTAATGCTTAGATCATCTTCATTCAGTTCCTCATTCAATTTGTTTAAATCTTTATTAGAAAATAATCTGTAAGTGTATTGTTTTTTAAAGGAATAAAGTCTAGTAAATAAGTTTGAGCTCTGACATCTAATTACTGATAGCCTTTATATTTGTCATGCAAAATTGTATTTATAAGTGGCTCACAAATTGAAATTATTTAAAGACTTAAATATTATAAAAGTTATTGCGGGAGTGTGATTTCCCAAATACTTCTTTCTTCTCTCTCTAAAATCAGAATAGCCATAAGTACAGGTTCCATAACCTATTTAATCATATGTATAGTCATCATCTATGGAAACTTGTCATTATCTAAAAATCTCTGTAATTTGGATTTATCACAAGGTTCATCAAATTTGTGGCCATTAATAAGACAATTATTTTCACGGAGTTATAGAAATTGTCCATCTTGCTTATAATCAGTTTAATAGATACCTTATTTTTTCCATAAAAATGGCTGCACAGTTTAGAGGATGCCCATATTTATTCCATAATTGAGGTTAAAATATTTGAGTTGGGAAACAATTCATTGTACCTTAGTTTTCGTTATTGGTGAAAAACAATGTTTCATATTGGAGTCAAGGCAGGCCTAACTCATCTTCATCAGAAAAAAAATGTACAAATGCCAGAATATTCTTTATAAAATAAATTATAATATTAAAGATTAAGAATATAACTTAACATAAACTTATTGATGCAATATAAATTAGATTCAATCTTGAATGAAAATTTATAGTAAAAATGAAGAAATTTGATATGATATGAATTAAAAATCTCAGTTTAAATTATAAATGTAATTTTATATTCTGTGATCAGTCCCACACAAGTCGCATGGGAGAGTGATGTGGGGAATGCTGGTACTGCAAGAAGAGGAAGTATTTTACAATATAATATAAAATATTGTCCCATAAAATTTTTCAAAATAGTTAACAAAATTATGTAAATATATTTTTCCTTAAGTATCATTGGCAAGGAATCAAGAGACCTACATGTCCTCTGTGATCAGTCTTGCACAAGATGCTGGGGAGAGCAATGTGGGGAATGCTGGTATTTTGTTGGAGGAAGATCAAGATACTGTACCTCCAGTGATAGACTTCCCTATAAATTTACCTTTTAGATGAAAATTTTATATGAAGAAGATGTAGTCGATATCTCCATTGCAGCTGTTTTATATTATATTGTAAAATACTTCCTCTTCTTGCAGTACCAAATTTATTAGTAACTATTTTAAAAAAATAAGAAGCCAATTAAGTGGTTTCCTTTAATTTTGCTTAAAATGTAAGATTATAAATTATCATCATATTTGGTAAAATCAAGTGAGATAAAGCTAAAATAAATATGATGCCAATTAAATACATGATGAATGTATAATGATAGACAATTTGGTTACTTATATTAATTCAAATCAAAATAATTATACCAATCCCAATTTTTAATCTTTAATATAATGAAAGATAATAACAAGTCAAAATAAACTATACATTACAAAATAAAAAGTGACGAATAGGTATTATTACAAATTTCTTAACAGCATCAAAGAGATTTCAAAACACAATATTGATGAATATTAAAAAGAAAGAAAATTAGAGTATGAATTCTATTTATTAGCAATAATGGGTAAGTTACACAGGACAGAGAATAATTTATGTGAAATATATTCCATCCACAGAAAATAAGATTTATTAATCTTGTTATATATAAATAAAAATTGACAATCAGGATAATTTTAAACTTTTTGTTCTTATATTCCACTATAATAATTATAAAATAATTGAAACTGTTCAGAAATTTATATATTGGCACCCTATATAAATGTAATTTTAAGCCCAAGCTGAACCTTCAAAAAATGTAATATTTTAACCTTAACCAAATATGTATAACTTTAACTTCCTAGAACCTTAATCAAATTTGAATATTAAAAGATCGGATATACAAAAGAGCATTAATACAGTACTTATACATTTTTGTTAAAAATACTTATATAAGTTAAGATATCAAATGTGTATAAATAAATCTGCATAAAGAATGTGCAATAATCACTTAATGAATTAACAATTACTTACTAGTTTCCAATATAGATATTTGGAAAAACTTCATTATAATCATCTCCGCAGAAGCGTTCAGAAAAATAATTTTTGATATGAGCATTGTAACTGGGTTTAATATGAGTTAATATTTTATTTAATGATTCAAGCGTACAAGGAGAATGAGAGGTAATTTTAGTAGGATGAGAGGAATGCTGCGATGAATGTTTTTTATGACATTTTAAAATGTCCATAAATTTTTTAATGAAATAATTTTTTAGAGCAAGCGTTTTAATAAAATTAAAAACACTATTGAATTTGAATTTAAAGTGACGGATATCTGACGTTAAAATCATTAAGATCAAAGTTGAGCAAAAATCAATATACATTTGATTTGACCATAATCAGCTCAATATAGTAAAACTTGGGCAGACAGAAAACGATACTTATACGTATACTTTTGAAATTTGGAATAATTGAAATAAGAATTGAAAAATTAATGGATAATTAATTTGAAATCATTTTCAAAAAATAATATTCATAATAATATCAATCTCTACATATATATAGTATTTTAAAGTAAAGTAATTAAAAGTATTTGAATAATGTAATTAAGATAAGGAAAATAAAAGTATTAGCCTTTAAAAACTAATGTTTTCTTTAAACAAATTAATTGAAACAATATTTTTTGTCGGACAAGTCAATTTAAATAATATATTAGTAAAATACTAAGTATTTTGTTTTCAACAATATCTAAGATACTTTATTTTAAAAAAATATTTGTCTTTTTTATTTTATCGACAAAATATACTTTTACAGTTACCTTTACATAGCTTTGTTTAAAAAATTTAATATTCCCTTCCCTATTAACATTTTTTTCATAGGATTTTTCTTATAATTTTGATGTTACAACTGAGATATTAAATTTATGATTTAGCAACATTTCATATAATAATGTAAATATGCCTATTCTGACAGTTTTAATTATTAACATTATTTATAAAATTTCTATTTTTTTAAAAAAATATTAAAAATGACATATGATATATCTTTTCGTGAATAGAGAAGTGGAAAGGGATGGGGGGGGGGGAAGCTGTTATTTTTATAGCATAGAATGATATTTTCGAAACATACTACCAAGGAGATGATTATCCTTTGGTAAGGCGATGATTACACCTTGAAAGACCTGTACCCTATGTCGCCGACCATTTAGGACATTTATTGCCAATATTAGGCGGCGTTGGACTTATATAAAATATTTTTAAATAGAACACAAAAATTTGTATTAAAATAATTATGATAAAATTTATATTTATACCACTATCATTTATATTTCTTAGAATGTTAGCTTTAATATGATCTGTTAATAATTCTATCACCTCAAACCCCTACTCTTAAAGTACAACTTCTTTAATTTATTAGAATTTCCAATGCCATCTACACAAAGCATACTTCCTATGAATAATTTATCAAATTTCAAACGAATATTTATTTGTATTGGTTTTAATATTTTAGATCAGTTATTGACTCTTATAAATTGTTAATATTAAATTTAACAACATATGGAATATAAATAAATATTTTTTTAAATAGATTTATACCTAAAACTAATTATTCGCTATCGTATTTTACAAATGCGAATAACAAAATTTTTCGCTTTGAATCGGATAAAATTAAGGAAAATATATTACCTATCGAATAATTTTTCATCTATTATTAGATCCAATTATTAAAAAAATTAAATTTTAAAATTATTCATTATATTCAAAGTATTTGTAAAAATTCAAAATTATTCGCTAATATTCGAAATTATTTGTAAATATTGAAAATTAATATATTTCAATTATTACAAAATATTTAACATGTTCGAACGTAAGAAAAATATGTAAATAAAGATGAAAAGGAAAAATTATGTTGTTAAGATTATGTTTATGTAGGAATATAAAATCTAAAATTAAAGACAAAGGTAACTTTCATAGTAGATAGAGATAATTGTGTTTAGTTATTTAAAGGTGATAATTAGGAATTTTATATTTAGAAGTTACTGGTAAACTAAAAACCAATGGAATTTTGAAACTAATAAAGACTATAATATTTTAGATTTTAGAATTATTATCAAGTGATCACTAGAAATAACTTTGACAAAGAAATAGAAACATAAATTGCGAAAGTTAATATTTAACTAATAGGTTGCTGAGATATAATAATTAAAAAATTCGGTGAATAAGATTAGAATATAACTTTATTGTTAGGAAATAGTTGATTAAATTCTTATTGAAGATTTACGTTTAACTTTTATTTTAAGGGCTGCGAGAGATAAAACAGCCTCAAGGATTAATGTGAATTAGTATATTAGGTTGTAGATTAACCAAAAAATCTTCATAGAGAGAATCGGCTTTTCGTCATTAGAAAATTTATGCCGCAATCGAGCTCAATTTGAGATCGGATTTTTTTTTATTTTGAATCATGAATAAGATTTAAGAAGAATCATACAATATTATTCTAATAATAACAAAAGGAAAAACATGCTTTAGAAATATACATATCAGTTTTCAACAACGGTTGTGCGAAAAATTATAATGATTAGATTTCATAAGTTCTTCAAAGACGTGGGGTGAAAACCATAGTGATTAGAATTAAGAGGTTGTTCATAAACGTAAGTATGAAAACTTTTATGATTAGATGTCATTGATTTCTCAACAACGTATGTATGAAAAGAGATTTATATATTTCAGCAGTTTTTTTTTAAAGACTGAGTGTCAAAGAGTACATGAGGAAATAAATACACAATGATAATTTTATTAAAATAGATAGGTTTTGATATATATTTTAGAATAGGATAGACATGGCTGAAAAGAAGATGGGATCAATAGCTAAAGGATGAGTACAAGTAAATTTTTCAATGAAAATATGGGTCTAGGCTTCATTAAGGGGAGAGGGGTGATAGAATTTGATATATTTATATAATTTATTATATTGTGCTACGTATTATAAAATTTAAGATTTAGTATAATTTACGCCATTGATTAAAGGCAGAATTAGTTTAGAGGAGATAAATGTAGATATGTAAATAGATTATTTCAGGTAGAAGTAGATTGTGATTACCCGATATCTCAGCAAGGGCAAACTGTCGTAGAAGACCCGAAAGTCTGAAAGATAGATACAACCAATCAATTACAAGAGAAAGGGGGAAAACAAGCAAATTGATAGAAAAGAGGGTTAAGACGTTATGCTACAATAGTTAATCGCGGATCAATAACAGCCAATTATTATCGAGACTTGAGTCTAAGATACGGAAATCGACAATCATAGGAACAAGAATTCGTGAAAACCATCGTTTATCGCAGACCAATCGTTTATCGAGATAAAAAGCTAATCGTGGATTACAAGAGAATGATAGAAAACAAGCAAGCTACGATGAAACTGGATGGCATCGATAATCGTTCATCAAGAGTGGATCGTGGAAAACAAGCGTTTATCAAGTTCGTCAGTGGCCTACAGAGATAAAAAGCTGATCATTTCCCAGGGTGACAAGCGACAGATATGAATTCAAAAATTTCAAGCGACAAAGCCTTCGTTAGAACTTAGAAGACAGCAAAAATTAAGAAGAATAAGTCGAGATCGAAAGAAGATTGATCATTCGCAGAATGTTGGGTCTAATTTAAGTAGGGAGGTGTTGTGAATGTTAGAATTTGCATAAAGATTTCTTTTGGATTTTGTTGTACTTTATGGAATTTGCATAAAGAATTTTTGAGGATTTATTGTTATAACGCGTGATAAAAAGATTATATTTGAATAGTTATAAAAGAGTATAAAAAGGCAAATTTTTACGAGATAAACAATCTTTGTTTTTTTTAAATTATTAACTTTTTTAATTTTATTTAATTTTATTTTACTTGGGAAACTTTTAATTTGTTTTAAAGGTTTCATAAATCAATTTATAAAACCATTTTTTTATTTTTATTTTTAATATTTTAAATTCTACGAATCAATTCGAATAATTTTATTATTATTCGTAAGAATACGATTTATGAATTATTAGAGTAGTACCAATATCGCAAATAATCGATTAATATTTTTGTAAGAATAAATTGTATTTAAATTATTAAATACCTCATCTAAAGTTGGCTGAACAAATAGAAGTACTAATTCTAAAATATGCCAATATTGTTCTTCATTAGTATCTGACTTTAACCAGTATTGGTAGCCAGCATCAGCGTCTACATGACAGGATTTTCACTGGATGCAAACCCCCTTCAAAAACCTTTGCTTACCCCCCTAAAAAATTCCCGCCGTCTTCGGCGTCGGTGTTTCCCTATTTTTAATTTCACTTTTGTGATTATATTGATATTCTATCAGAAAATTTAAAAAGAATAACTAATTATTTTATCTCTACTACTAACTATCGACATTTTGTGAGTATAAAGGAGTTATTTTTTAGATAATAAATGCAATTAAAACCCCCATCATTTATAATGAATTCCTTATTATAGCATTATATGCTTTAAATGCATAAACCTTTTAAATTACATTTATAAGGATAGCAGAAAGTTTTATTTGGAAAATAATGTCTATGATTGTTTGATAGATTTGGTTGATGAATTGTATTATAATAGGTCTAAAATAAAAAAAGTATTAATTTTTCCAATAATAAATTTTGTCCTTATTTGATCTCAAAATTTAATAGATAACCCCCCCCCCCCCATTAAAGGCGCCTACCCCCTTCCCCCCTCAAGTAAATAGTATGCGAACTGTTCCTACCCCTCTCCGTTCATATAGACGCTGATTTTGGGCCAGGCCTCAGACAATTTTTTTTAAATAAAATCTCGGGATGGATTTCAGGCAAATTTTTTAAAAACTTTGGCCCGAGCGGGATAAAAAATTTGGCGAGCAAAGCCGGGCAACTTATGCAAATTTCCTTTATGGTTGAAACGGCTGGGGCCTTGCAGATCCTCATAATATTAACCGATATCCATCCTTTAGGGCTAGGGGTACTGATATGCCGGTCACAATTCCTCCTAATTTATATTATACATTTTAAAAAATATTGTAGCTACCAACTCAGTCGAAAGTATGGCTTTAACTATAAACTTTATTATTAATTTTTTTTTTAAAAAAAATATTACATTTAAAAAAAAACAATTATTATAAATGAATATATTAAATATAAATATTAAGAATTGTAAATATTTAAACATTTTGATAATTTATAAATAAATTTGCTTAAATAAAACGCTAAAAAATTACACGTTATAAATAATGGAATTATAAAATAATGGATTTATAAGATATGAAATTATATATTAAAGAGTGTAAATTTGGATTGCCATGGATGATTGCATTTCTGTCCGACTCAATTTAAATTGAACTTTCGTTAGCCATTCCATAAATGTAGAGCTATGGAAAAAATTATCTTTGTTCAATTCTAATTTAGGAGCCCAGTTTAATACTTTATTCAGCCTGATTTGCAAGTGGGAGGGCAACTTGATTGATACACGAATAAATAAAAAATATGTGTATTTTTATATAAATATATAATTCAAGATATATGTTTAGAAATAAAATAACATATACGATTTGTAAAATAGTTTAAACTTAAAAATGACATTATAGAATATTATCTCAAAGTTATGGCCTCCTTTGATTGTAAAAGCGATATCATTATTGATATGTATTTATATGAGGTAATTATTCAATTTATGTATCAGACAATTCCAAGTAATTTTTTTATCCTTAATTTACAGCAATTAAATGAACTAACCAGAAAAGTGGACTTTACGATCAAATGACTTTAAGATCATAGTTAGGCAAATCTATTATAACACAACATTACTCACTGACCATAGTCTGTCATTAGGAGATAAAAAATACCAAATCAGATTTAATGATAAAACAATTTATTAGTTAAACTTTATTAAAATTAACATAAAATATGTATTAAGATATATAAATATATGAATTAAAAATTGATATTTAAATAGCTAAAAAAAATGTTTCAATAATCTACAGACCTTCCGGTTCGGGTTTCAAAATCGAAGATTATTTTGTTAGCGATTTTGCGAACAAGGAACCTAGCGAGGACAGCTTTTTAGACAATAATTTAAATACGGGGTATTTTCGAACCGGGTCGAGTTCGGACTTGAAAAATCGTTCACTATTAAGTTATACAAAATTGAACGATGGGAAAATTATTTTAAAAAAAAACTCCTGTACTTGTTCTTGGTAATAAAGAATAGGACGCCACAATGGAAATAATTTGATGAGAGAGGAAGCGTTAATTTCTTGCAAAGATTCAATCGTATTCAACAAATGCAAGCTAATCATTTCAGGATACTGAAAAAAAAGAAAGATTTTTTTTTTAAAAATCGGATTTGGAAAATTGTGATATGACCGGAAATGCCTTCCAGCAATTTCTAGATTACCTAACCTATAAAAACCTGGTAATTGTCGCCATAAATTTATATATATATTTTTTAAATTTATATGAGAAATCTATATAAATTAAGACTAATTCAGAAGATTTTGATAAAAGTTGGCTGAAACACAATGTGAAATACATTTCCGATATTTTTTATTTAAAATGCGCCCTTTAGCAAATAATTTAAATTAGAGAGATTCGGAATCCCTATACTATATATATATGAATAGAAACAAGATACTAGTATTAGAGGCCATCCATTTGAAATGTAATGTAGTTTTTATATGGGGGAAAAAATAGGATAAATCTTTGATTATACACTTTGCATGTAGTGTATACGGTGTCAAGCTCCTAACCAATGCCCCCCTCCCTTCTTTACATAAAAAATTTGCCTGTTCTAGTAAATATAATTTTAACCTAATAAATTATTTTTACTAAGCCCAAACCCCCCCCCCCCCTCCTCTCCCATATGTATATATATATCACTATAAGGAAGAATTTGAAAGAAAAAAGCAGTAAACCTTAATAAACATTTAAAAATAACGACAATAATTCATAATTTAAAAAAAATAGCATTTTTATTTTTAGAGAAGGTGGAAGACAAATGATATAGCCAAAGGCCTACAATAAGTGGACCAAAAGATCTCCAATAAAATTTATGGGAGAAATACCCATTTAACAGTACCCCCCCCCCCTCAGCCTAAGCCAACGCTATAATTATAATTAAAGAGAATAAATTATTTGTAACATTTAAATTGTTTTTAATATATTATCCATTTAAATACTAACGAAATTATAATGCGAAAAACTAGTTCATTATTCAAATAAAATATATATATTTTACAGATTTAGAGATCGTTAAAAATTGCAGTATCCCGGGAATAATTTGACACCAAAAGCTCAGTAACGCATTTTCGGCCAACAAAGTAACTTCGCTCTCTTCCCGATGAATGGAAATGATATATTCATTGTAGATTGTCCAAAGCTATTATTTTTTGAAAAATAAATGATTAATAATATAGAAGAAAAAAGCTAAAAAAGGGTAGGGTTCGTCCTTGCGCAACTCATTTTTGAGACCCTAAACATCTTTTAAAATGACACCCTATTTTAATGGCATTATTATTCATGTTTTTTCTCACCGAACATAGCCTTAGGGCTTTAAATATAGAATATTGGATTAGTGCTTAAATAAAATATAACAAATAATATTAAAAAATATATATTAGAACTTGGCACAGAATAAAGCCGTAAAAGAGCGCCGTGGTGTGCAAAACACTGGATTGAGAAAATTCTGGAAACTTCATAACTAAATGCATAATTAAATCCGATATCTTGGGATGATGATCTAACATAAATGGTTGGCATGGGATATTGGAAGATGATTTGGCTAAACAATTGTTGTGAAGGGAAGCCAGGAGAATCCAACAAGATAACCTAATCTTGGAAACGCAATCCGTAAAATCCTTGAGCCTATTAATACACAAAAAAATATGGATCTTTCACTGAGTAAAATTTTACATAGATTAACCAATTATAATTTCAAAACAGAGTTTTGCAAAAATCTTTAAAGATTTTTTATGCATGAAAATTAATATAACTTTTACTAATAATAATTAATTAAAATAAAAATACAACACTTTGTAATTTTCAATTTTCTTTATTTCTATCGATAAAAAATTAATAATGTTTTTTATCAATAATCCGATATATTACTATTTCTATGATTGACATTTTTTCTAATTAATGTTTTAATTATAGTAATATATTACTACGATTACAACAAAAATCACAAAATTTTACATATAAAAAAATGCCTCAGTAATTAATTCGGCAAAAATTCTTGAAAATAAACAAATATTCAGACATCGCTAACGAAATTTTAATTCTACTTGTCACCAGTACTCTTGGTGTGATAAGAATTCTTTAAATTTATCATGTTATATGGTAGAAAATTTAGCCAAATAAGTAGCGATTCGTAATGAAACCTTCTATTTTAAACAAGCCATTAAAGAGCTAATCATTGGTTACATATAACAATGCATATAAACCGATCTCTCAATTGCTTTTTTTTTATATATATGCGTTATAACGTTTATCATATTTACTTGTATATATGACCTTTGTTTTAAATAAGCCTTTCAATTCAATTATATTTAATAACCCCCGCCTCTTTCCTTGACTAAAATTTTTATTCTCAAAAAGAAATCAAATTCTTTTCTTTTCTTAATGTATGCATATATCAAAATTGCAAAAAAAATAAATAAATAATTTTTTGCAATAGATTTAGATTCCTTAAGAGGAAACGACTTAGAGAAGCCACCCCGTAAAAGAAGAGAACTACTGTTCTGAGGCGGTCCCAACCTTAAGGTATTTTATCGTTGACTCAATTACCCCTGTTGTTCGTTGCTAAGATTACTAGATTTCCCTCCGACATTTCCAGGTCCGGTGTAAGAAGTTTTGGGATTGATATCATTTTTGGTCAGGGTGAGATTGGCAGGCCATTGATTAGACGAAGTAATGTAATTACCGTAGTTGGGAATGGAAGAAGGGGGAGTAGTGATGGCTGATAAGCCTATTTTGTTTTGAATGAAAAAAATAATATATATTTGAACAAATTTCGTAAAATAAGAAACAAATAAAAATTAATTTCAAGTTAATCTTTGGCCAAAATCGATAGTCGGTAAATATAGTCCATACTGGAAAATCGTGATGTTGCTTATTGTGGTAATTATGTAATAATCTAAAATTTTATTTTAATCATGTCTTTATCTGTTATTTCTCTCCTTCTATATCAAATACATTTATTTATTTATTTTTAATACATTAATTTAATTGAATACAATATATCATTTTATTATGCCTTGAAGGTATTCTATTACATTTATATAGTATACATAATAGATATGCATAAGATCGAAGCAAATGTTGACTAGATTTTGTTCAAGGTTATAATGTTAAATTTCGCAATTATTTTATCTAATCTCTATGATTTCCTCTAAAACAAAATTGATTAGGAATAGGGTCATAGTCATAAGATTTTCTTTTAAACACAAATAAGGTCATAGTAATAAGATTTTCTTTTAAACACAAATAGGGTCATAGTCATAAGATTTTCTTTTAAACACAAGAAAATAATCAAAAATAAAAAACTTTTTTTAGCGTAAAGAAAAGCAAAATGGGTTCTAAGCCATGCCGGGCCCTGACTGGCCACGTTGGCAGAAGGCCCTCCGGTTCCTTTGTTAACTGCCCCTTGAATGGATAAAAGGTTGGAAGTTAGAGTGGAAAATTTTTCGGACTCGCGCGACATTTCGCACGCTAAAACCTGGGCCAGGCCCATCTTGACGTAGGCGCCCAACTGTTGGTGGTAATTTTCGGATTGTATCATCAGATGCTCGAAATAATTTTCTTTGTTAGACCTATTAGATAGGTCAGAAGTAGAACTCAAGGAAATATTTTGGTAGTCATCGTTCTTATCGTCACTAATAATCGCGCTCGTGATTCTACACGTTTTCTTCGTATCCACATCTTTTTCTTCTTCCGAATCATCTTCAGAATTTTCGGTAACGTAACCGTTTTGATCGGGTGATAGGGAGGAAAGATAATAAATGATCGGCGATTTCGAAATTATCTTGGCACGTTGTTCGGAGGTTAATGTCCCGGGTATCGGGTTGGAAGCCGCCGGCCTTTGGGGGGAAGGGGTTGTGGAAGTGGCGAGAAAATTGGTAGATTTAAGCGGTTGCTGCAAGCGAGTGATGGAGGCTATGTCGGAAACAAAATTGACAAATTCGTTCGTGACGTGTTTCACGCTTTCAGAGGCACCGGAATTGATCTACGATTAAGCGGATTGTTAAAAATAATTAGACAATTTTATATAACATACATATTTCGTGGATCTATCTCGAATTTTACATTTATATTTAATCAGTACTTAAAAGGAACGCGTATATATTTGAACATTTCTTTTAGCAAAGGAGCCAAGTTCTTTTTGTTAAAAAAAAGAGATGAGTATAAAAATGTACTATAGAAGCAATAAACTGATGGGCATGTAAAACGGAAGGCAAAAGGACGATTGGTTAAATAGATGCCGTTGGGTCGGAAGTGGAGGGAACAAGACCCAGAGAGCGACCAAAGACAAGCTGGATGATAGTGCTAGACTCTAAATTTGACCCGGGGCGATGCCCAAAACCGTGGAAAATAGAGAAATGGATTTAGAAGGGAAAATGGCAGATATTTTAAAAATATAATCGATGAGCTATTATTAATTATATACTACAAAATAGGAATTTGCAGACTTTAAGGAATCATAAGAGCTGACTAAGTAAAAAATGGAGATAGAACATTTAATAACTCCCTGGGCATCAGAAATCATAAAATGTGAAAAAAAATAGCTCGTCATTCCTCACCATAATTTGTGGGTCAACAATATTGTCATCGACACCGAAATCCGTCTCGTTAACGCTCTGATGAATAAAGGCTGGCATTATATTACATCCCAGACTACTTCCCATATCTATTAATATGAGCTATATATATAAAAAAAAGACTTAATATATAGTTAGAACATATGTTATAAAAATTTCGATATGGTCATATTGATTTAACCCCCCCCCCCACCCCCCACGAACAGGAAATATCTCTAATAAACCTGTATAATCATGAGAACGTTAACGGGCAAAATTATTTTTTTGAACGTCAAAACTTGAACGAGTTCGGAAACGACGAGGCGAGAAAAATATTGCTTGTCTCTGTCCTTGCTGAAACATATGTTAGAATTGCAAAGAAAGCACATTTCCCACAATTGTTCGATATCGATAGGTGCGGTGGCCAGGCAAGCCGTCAAAATTTTGCCAAAGTAATCAAAAAGATTCTTTATTTTTTTTAAGAATAAAGTGATAAATAGAGGAAAAAAAAATTGAATTGATTATATTTAAAAGATTATTTGAGATAATTATTTTATGTATAAATTATAAAAAAAAAGAAGAAATTATGAAATTAAATATCTTTTCTGTTAAAAATTTTGAATAAATATATCAAAAATCACAATCCAACTAATAATTGTTTTATTACAAGGTGAATAGGTCACTTATTTAAGGTATATTTAAAACATTCGTCGACTTATCTTAAAAGTTATCATAATCGACATATTTTTCAAAATTTCTTTCATTCATGTATATAGAGAAAACCTTAAATTGTGAGACGATGGGTATCCTTAGCAAGGATAACATGACATCCATAAGGGTTCTACTGACATCGGCGCTAAAGAGATCTATCTTAGACTGAACTGGGTTCAGGGCAACCTCGGATGCCAGGTAAGAGAAGAAGGTCTCGAAAAGGGAAAAGAGATGGCTCTTCCAATAAGCCGAAAATTTTTCGCGCTTGCTCACGCAGTCCAAGTAATCGGAAAGGTTCGCGAGTAAAGTGGTAAGTTTGCCGCGAGATAAGGTTGTCAATGCCTTTTCTCGGTCGAAATCCTTTCATTAACAAAATATAGAGAACTAAGAATTTTTTTAAAAAAAAAATTACGTATACCTTGATGATACTTTAACGATTATTCGATATTGTAAATGTAATCTTTTTTAATACTCAAGAAAAGGTCTATATTAAGACTAATTATTTGTCTTGGGTATAGTTGGGTAATGGCTAAATGTCGGGTAATTCAATCTACGGGCGCGTGCCAAGGCTATTGAATTTATAATAGTTTCTTTCAAATTTTGCTAAATTTTTAAGAAAAACCCCGGTCTATAAATTTTATTTAGCCAAGCTAGAAATAAGTTTAAAAGGACCCAACTATAGTAGACTTTAATGGCATGCAGAGATTTTCCGACTTTGGTTAAAGATATTTACCGAATTATTTTAACAACTCTTCATCTATTCTTATTTTTTTAAAGTAAAAAAATTTAATAATTTCATATAAGAATCAATATGGTTTATGGACCTTTTCATTATTTCATGATCTGGCCTATACAAAATAAATTTAGGGTAGAAAATCAATTCAAAATATGGCATCTCGTTGGCCCTAATATTTATAGATAAATCAATAATAAGGCTCAAAATATATTATCAACTTACTTATTGCTTCAAAACCTTTTTCTGTTTTATGAATAAATTTTTTCTTAGAAGTTCGTGTAAATTTTTTAAAGTATAAAATATTATATTCCAAAAAAGGGGTAATATGGAACTTATTTATAAATTCTGGTTGTTTAAACCATAGATAATCTCTTTATGAATGTCTAATTAGTATTAGATATGTTTATCTTTGACCCATCGAAATTTCAGAAAATAGGATTGGGGTATTAAATTGCTAATCAAGTGATCTAATTTATTTAGCAATCACGGCAAGAATTATTTCCCATTAACTATCATAATATATATATATATATATACACCTGTAATAAGCAACTGAGGGGGTGAAGTGGAGTAAAATCTGTGAATCCCTTCAGCACCTCGGTCATAACTCTGAATAACGAGAAGAAGGTGTAATCATGAGATTGGGCCAAAAAGGAAGAAATAGAGGAACTGCTGGAACTGAGGGTAGTAGAGAAAAGGCGCAGGAAGAGCCTGTTCGGGGCGTATTGATGCAATATGCATCGTAGCATTTGCTGAGCTATGGATCTGCAATGGCCAGGTATGAAAAACGAATCTCTATAGTTATAATTTGTAAAAAAAAATAAATATTTATATAGAATTTCGATACAAATCTAAATCGTTATTACTCGATGAATTTAATTTGGTTTAGAATTTTTGTCATTTATATTAAAGATATATATATAGGGCCATAACCAGTTCTTACAGGGAGGGGAGGGGAGGGGGGATGCAACTGTTTACTTAGGGAGTCCAATATTTTTTTGAAATAAAATAAATAGTTAGGCACTCATAGAGATATTTTGCAATTTTTATTAAAAATTTTTAAATATGAATACAAAAAAATACTATATTTATAATACGACAATGCTAAATTTTGTGTTATTCTTTTTTTTTTCATAAGCCATTAAGATATTAAATTTTCATCGATTCTCTAGTGTTAGAAATATTTTAGTGTAAAGAGAAAGAGGCCTCACAAGAAGCCGTTGATATCCCAATGATGATGGCTGTTGAGTAGCATTACAATTCTTTAAATGCAAGATGATCACTTTTTTATAGATAATATTTATGATACTCTGCTAATAATCCTTTTACTATTCCATTTCATGATGAAATATCTCCACATCTGATTTTAATGGGGCCCTTTTATATGACAGCAATCAGGGTTAAGGGGGGACAATGAATAAAACCATAATAGAAGATTAAAATACATCTTGAGTAAATCTATCTAAAAAACGATCCATAATAATTTCATAATTCGTTTTTAGAGAACTCCAATTGGAGTCCTTTTCACAATTAAATTGCAATTTGGTAAATCTCAAAAAATCTTGAAGATTTGAAAATGTTTAACGAACTCTTGATGATTTTTGAGGGGTGAGTTAATAATATATCAAATCAAAAGAAATATCACTTTTTTTATTTTTTTAGATATTACTTGTAGAATCAATACAATTTTTATCCCCCACTATATTATTACCTACTGACTGAAGATACTTATTTAGTAGATCAATTGTTATAAATATTTCATAAATTATAATTGCCAATATAATGGAATTTATATTATTGCATTGAGATAAAAGAATCATAAGTGGAAACCTCTGAGTCAAGAGTTCTATTAGAAAAGTAAAATAAAAAATCTTAAATGGCCTCAAAATTCTCATAAATAATATGATATTTTAAATGACCAGTCCACCTCTGGTCTAAAAGTCTTTAAGAGTATGACCTGACAGGATACGTTAAATCGCCTATAAAAATTCTACAATGCATTAGATAAATTTAAAAAATCGAAATGATAACATTATTATACAAAGGCACTATTTTTTTTTTAAAGCAGTGTTCATACTCATCCATTTCGCTCAGACAAGAAGTTTGCACCATCATATGCCTGGCTCATTATATTCGATGAATTAATGTTTATTTCATTAAGTTGTTGTAAAATACAATTAATTATGCTTTCAACAGAAAGATGTAGTAAATTAATGATACCTGTTAAATTTATTTTTCCAAAATATAACGAATAATTATGACCAGGTTTAACCTGATGCATCTTTTGTCTCATCAGCCTCAAGATAAAAAAAAAGTATTACAGTTTTGTTATATTTTTATGATATATATTCCAGCACCATATCTGCCATAATAGATTAGACTAAGTTTTATAATATGGGGTGATATATACTGTGCATTCTTTAGTATTCGTATTAAAATTTTTAAATTCAGTTGGATGGTGCAAATAAATTATATTTTCATCCTTTTGCAGCATCCGTAATTTTTGTTGAACTAGCCCTAGGAAAAGGTAGCTAAGAAATAGCATTAAATCATATTGACTTAAGATAATAACGATTACGATTAATTTGTTAGGCTTACCAAAATTGTTGTTAACTGAGTGTATCCTTATTTATATTAAGATTTTTATCATGCACTATTGTCATGAATTTAAATGAGCTTTTGAGCTTTCGCGTTATAGCTGCCCCTTCTTTGCAGATAACATTTTTGTTACCAATTGCTGAATTCCTTTTATCAAAATTTATCACATGGGCGGCTAATGAATTAAGGTATGTTTTATAAGTAATATTTTTATAGATATGTTCTTGTTTATTAATTTGTATAAATTAAATAAATAATATTTTTCTAAAAATTTTGTTGTATTTTCATTTAGATTTAATTGTTAATTAAAATTTAATAATTAATAAATTTTTTTTTAAATTTGGGAGTCGAAAATATTTTGGGGGCCATTTTTAGGGGGCCAAAATTTTTTTGGGAGGGAGCAAAACACCGAGGGCCGCCCTTAAATAAATGTGATTAAAAGATATAATTTTTATGGAGGCTTTTTACATGCATATCTTTACGAATCGGTCGATTGAGTATTATAGTGTCCTATGTACGTATTTTTGCAAAAATGCATCTATTTCTATAAATTAATTCTTCAATTGTTCCATTAACACCGATAAAAATGACAAAATATAATCTTTAATCCTTTATTTGCCTTATTATGAGAAAATCTCTCTTGAAAAATGGATATATAGAACACTGTGTTACTTAGGTGACGAAATATTATCTCTATAGGTTATTACTATACAAACTTTCCAAACTATAATATATTTTTTTACCGATTTATAAGCGGGCTCGAATTACTGGTAAGATTAGATAGCAGTACGTGGGGCAACGGTCGGTCGTGGGGCGTGTTATAAGTATTGGGGTCTGTGTGCGCGGAAGAAGCGAATGAGGTAAGCCCTTGATGCACTAAGAAAAAATTGGTAAACGGATTTAATGAATAATCTAATTCGCAGTTAAAATTTAATATCATTACATTTAAATATATATATATATATATATATACTGTTTATTCTTTCTTTCTGATAAAAATGGATGTAAAAGGTATTGCAAGAGTTGAAATGTTTCGTAAGGACCGTAAATACATAGTACAATATAATACTAAATGTGGATGGGAACAAAATATTTATAAAATTTATATGAAAATAAAATAAATTTTCAAACCTGGACTTAGGGAAGACGCCCCCGCATCAACTCTGCCGTAAAACGATGATTGTCCGCCCGCAAAATAATTTGAAGGATTTAAAAGATCAAAGTCACAAGGATTTTCTTCTCCGGGGTAAAATGAATGGGTCGAAATCCTGATAATAATATAATTAAATTTTTTTTATTTTTAGATTATAAAATAAGAATTCGGTTTTACATAAATCGTAATTATATAGATTTGTAATATTGTTATATAAAATAAAAAGGACAAGTGATGGGTATAGTTGGGTAATAGCTAAATGTCAGCTGATTAGGCCCAATTGATACGCGCGTGTCGGAGATAACCCTTTTATATCAATACGCTTTAATTTATATTAGTTTCTTTCAAATTTGAGCTGCTATATTTATAAGAAAAGCCCCAGAGGCCAAAGTAATAATTTTCGGTTAAAAATTGGCTTAAACGGCTAAAAATATATATATTCCAGAGTTGTTTAAGTAGTGCGCTATCTTTTTTTCTTCCAATAACTTAATTTCCTAGTGCGCTCCTTTTTTATTGAAAGTAGCTAAGTAGCGCGCTACTTAGCAAACCTAAATAAGGTGTAAATTATTTAAAATGTCATAGCAAATGGTTACCCAAATCGATGTGAGTCAGACAATTATGATATTAATGAAATGGAAGGTACCCTGGACGAAAATGTTCTTGATAACAATAATACAAATTTTCCATCCAAAATTTGAAAAATATTTTCAAATTAATGCAAAGACAAAAGATAGCTATAAATTTATTTTTTCAAACTGTAAAAAAAATATAAATCCTCAAATAAATCCAGTAGCTATAACCCCAAAAAACATTTAAAAGTAATTGTCATTTTTAAATTCTAATAGTATTTTTATTTTGTAAGAATCTTCATGCCAACAGTTTTAAAGAGATAGAAAAACATCTTAATAATTTTGGTATAGAAGAGACTACATATAAAACGACCAATTCATTTCAAGCTAAATTGATTTGCACATGTTAATATTTCTCAGAAAACTGGCTGATAAAGTTATTGTCGATTTTATAATTGATACATCAGCCAATGTGATTGGTTGATGATCCCTCATTTATCATGATCATTAAAACTCTATACTCTGATACAACAATTTTTTGTCGCCAGACATTAATGATTGAAATAGCAGACAAAAATGCCTTAGCTAGAACCATAAAAACGACTTCCACTGATAATTTTTAAGCAAGTGGATAAAACCCAAGTCTTTAAAAATATTCAGAAAAACTGGACTTTTTAGTTTTATTTTTCATAAATAGGCGGGCATTTAGAACTTATTAGTTAATGGGAGAGGCGGGGGGGGGGGGGTGGTAATAAAAATATACTATTAATGAACTTAGGCAGAAAAAAACCTGCTATTAAGAAACAATATTATCAACCTGACCTCAGCAATTAAAGGAGTACAAACACAATCTCATATTTTGAAAGAATCTATGAGTGACAACTTGACAAGCCCAAAGAAGAGAACTAAGAACTTATACTTTTATACTATACAAGAAAATAGTAACTTTTGCGATATTTATACTTCCCTTATTTATTAAGATAAATAAAAATAATAATTTTTTTTTCTCCTCTTGGTAGAAAATGGATGCATGGAGGATAAATTTTACCTTGACAACTGACAAGGAGTTTTTATCAGCAATAAAACATTTTATTCAGCATAGGATGAAAGCATAAACGCATCATCGTAATAATAGCAGATGTGCGAGTTGGTTTTTTTGTCGCAATTTCTCCGAAAAATGGTTTATATTTATGGTCAAGATAAAAAGATGGCGTCCGATAAATATTGGCACAATAATGTGGGTTAATGATGCTTACTACTAAGTGAATGTATGAAAATATTTTAAATAACAACCTAATTTGCTAAATACCGACCAAAATTTATTAAAATGTAATAAGACCCTTATTATTTAATATATTAATACGGAATCACGTGGTCGAGTCCGGCCTCCTATATATTATCCCCCTAAGGATGGAACCATCAAGTTAGATTAAGAAAAAAAACATGACCATTCCCGGGATTCGAACCCGGGACTGTGGGATCAGTAAGCCAAGCTCTTGCCTACTAGGCCATAGAGGCTTTCCAAAAATCACGATTTTTCAAATATATATTATAAATATATTTGGTAGTGCCTATCCAAAGAAATGAACAAAATTCAAATTTGATAAGTAGTACCTTAGGTAGTAAGCATCATTAACCCAATAATGTGCGGGAGTTGAAATATTTTTTTTTTATTTAATTAAAAATCTTTATCTAACAATGTTTTAAATTAGTCTGAATCTAACTATATTAAATAATAACTTTACTTGGAGGTCAACATGAGTATATCGACCAAATATTGACTGGCCATGCTCTGGCACCTTCTCACGAAGATCTCCAAGCACACGAGAGCTAACGCCAAGGTATCCTCTTGATATTCACCCCCGTCCTTGATCATGTCAACTGTATCACTATTATTAACGTTCATCCTGTCAGAAGGGGCCAAATCTGGAAATTTATTCGAGATATTCGCATTTTTTCTGCCACGAGTTTCCTTGCCGGTGACAGACGCGGTGTGCTCGTAATCTAAGAGAGATGACGAGGCGGTATCGGTGATATCCAATAAATCCGCAGACCCCTATTTTTTTTTGTATGTGTGATATTTATCCGGAAAACTCAATTTCTAATTTAAAATCTTGATTAATCTCCCTAATTTGACCAAAATTTTGAGTCCCAATCAAATTCCTATTAGCTTAATAGTAAATCTTGATAAACTGGGTAACTGACTAAATTGGCCTAAAATTCTAGTCCCAACTCTGCTCTAATTAGACCGGTTTTACCGTATTTGTATATATTTTTTTAAAAAAACATTTAAATAATAAATTTTTGTTTTTGAATTTTGAGTAACGTGATAAACCTTATGCTGGGGAGATTTTTTCAATATAGAAGCCAAGGATTCGAAGGAAAAAGCAGATGAGAGTCCACCAGTGTGTGATTTTGAATGAGTAGCGTATTCATCATCTAAATCATATATAATAAGTATATAAACAACCATTTTAAAAAAGTAAAAAAATATTAGATCATAAAGCCAAAATGGTGACAATTGTTGGGTAATAGTTAAATGTCGGCTAATTCAGCTCAATCTACAGGCGCGTGCCGGAGAAAATCAGTTAACATTGAGGCGTTTTAATTCATAATAGTTTTTTTTTCAAATTAGGGCTGGTAAAACTTTTAAGAAAAACAGACCAAAGTTATAGTTTCAGGCTAACAACTCGGGTTAGCCTATATTTTAGCCGGCCAAAATTTGGCGTAAACGGCTAAAAATATACTAATTATCCAACTATAGTGACAAAGTCCTCAGAAGGAAGTGAAAAGGTTCCGAAATCGATGAACCAAAAATGGCAAATTAATATAAATCAGAATGCGCAGGCGCGGACCAAAGAGTGGCCAGTGTATAAGAGCCGGCCGTAAAATGTATTAAATAGGTCTGATTTTCATTAAAATTTAATAAATTATTCAGTTGGATTTGGAAAAAATCATTCAATGGTAGTGTTTGACATTTAGTAACTCATTTATTGCTCGCTCATATTTTCCATTTTCCTTCGTAGCAATTATATAAAATAGAGCCAAAATTTGATCAAAATAAAATGCAATTTTAAAAAAAAATACCGAATGGGGCTTAGAAAGTGAATGTGTTTTTTTTTTGGAAATTGGGAGTTAAACTGTTAATGGAAAAATTAATAAATATAATTAATTAATATATATAATAATTAAGTAATCTTATATATATATAATGTGAATGTATATAATTTAAAACACCATTGATAATTTTTACACTAAATCTAATAGTAACTTTTATATAAATCTATGATTAATTTAAATTTAAAATATTATTTTGAACAATTAAAAGACCTCTAATTCTGGATATAGAATTAGGCTTCAGAAAACTCGCGAATTTAGTGACGGGCGAAACGGGGGCCAAATTTTGAGTGACATTCTGACTATCGACGGTATGTCGAAGTAGGCTTGTGGGTGAGGACCCTCTAATTTCATCGACGGCTCTTGAAAAAGTTAATATTTAAAAAATATATATTGTTTAAAAAATAAAATAAAAATTGAATTGGTCATTATAATTAATCGGGTAATTGTTAGATAATATCATTTTTAGAGCGAAATTTATCCAGTCAAAGAAAAATGCGAAATATTAGTGAACTCATATAATGGGGGAAGGGGGCTGAAAGCATGATGCAATAGCTTGGGTTTAGGGGGTTAACACGTCTAAAAGTGATAGCTAGATGTTTTAATTTAGCTAAAAAATACAAATTTTAAGAAATATTTAAATTACCCTATTAAGGTACTAGAACGCAAAGTTTATTTAATAAAATAAATAGAGCGTGATAGGTTAAATTTTATCGCAATTAAAGAAAGAAAGTATTTTACGAGTAAGTGAACGTAGGATGTTTGGCGGAAACGTCGACTTCGCCCCTCTTGAATTCAAAAAATTGAGAGAACAGGGTTTGGATAACAATGACGGCTAATGACTCTGCTCTGACGTACAAAGGATTCTCATCTATTTCATACTTAAATATTTATTTTTGTCATATATCATTTATCATTAATATATCTATTCTATTCTATTCTATCTATCTATCTACCTATCTGTCTGTCTGTCTATTAATCAATCAATCAATCGATCGAGTTACGGTCTTACTATAGGGAATTTCTAAAAATAACTAGAACGTAGCAAAAGATAAAAATACACTTGTTCCAAGTAGAGGTCGGAGTGACCCGGCCCGCGAAAGATTTTTAAAAAAGGTCTTTCGGCTCGGTCCTGTAAAACAACTTTGTACAAGTTTGTCAGGCCTTATATAATCTTTTACACAGTTTGGAATTTCGACTCTTTTAAAATTCCCAGAAACGCGTTCTAATGAAAGTGCGAGTAAATTATATTATAATTGTTTAAAAATATGTTGCATCGTTTATTTTAAAGGGTTTATTTATGGTTTAATTTATTTTTGGTTTGCTTTAACAGTTCAGAACCGGAAGTACTTGAACAATGTCAAATGTAAGAAAATTCTGTTTATTCCCATAAAGGAATACAAATGATGCATAATTCTAAGCTTTAAAATTTATTTAGCGATATTTGGGCCGAAAGGCAAAGGAACAAATTGTAAGGAAAATATTTTGACCACGTTACCCGTCCGAAAATCGCTTTATTACGGTCCGCGTTGACCTCTAGTTAATATCCCCTACTTGGATTAAATAAAAGGTTAATAAATTTCGAGAAAGAAAAAAAAAAGGAGGATGCACGTGGAAGAGAAATAAACGAAAATGGAATATTTTACTTAATCCTATTTTATTTTACAAGCGAACTGACATAGAAAAAAAATGGAGGGAGGGGTGGGGGGGGGGGAGGAGGGTGCATTGGAAACATTTTCGTATAAAACGATTTTTGTGAATCGATATAATAAAAAAAAATTAATTATATATATATACATATGTATATACCTTGAAAAAAATGACGTTAAGTGCTGTCAACCACAATTTTTTCTGCGGTTCGTCCAACAACGCTAATGTGAAATATTTGGGGGGATTATCGGTAGCGTAGATTTGAGGGGAAGGTAGAAAAAAGAGCAAATCCAAAACCAAGGGCATCATTTTATAACCCACGGCGACGTTCGTGTCTAAAACCTATAGAGAAAAACATATCAATTACGTGATTATTATCATTATGATAGGCCTGCTAGAGTTTAGTCTATTAGTATTAGGGGATGCCCATTTTCGTAGATAAAGAAAGAGTCACGTGTCCTTTTACCGATTATCATAATTCAATAAACAGTTTTAAAATTATTTTGATTTTCTTTTTAGTTTAGTTTAAATATTTAAATGTTTCAAGATATTCTGCGATTCCCACCCGTTCGGTTAAATTTATATTTGGCGCGAGATTTTGAAAAGAGATAAATACAAGCCAATTCTCATATAGTTCAACTAAAAGAAATTGTCGTTAAAACAGCTGATTCATTAAAAAAAATTTTATTCGTCCATTTAAAATAACATGACCTGTTTTGACAAATTATCAATAAAAAATGATTAAATTTTTATTAAAAACTATTTTTAATATTCTAACCTTTAACTAACCCTAAACCATATTTATCTAATTTTTAACTTACTCCTTACATCAGAATACCTGGTTTATTTTTAAACGTATTTCATCGAATCAAAAAATAATCTTCAGATCCCCATTTACAAATATTTTTCTTAACAATTTTTTTTTATTATAATACCTGATATATCGAAGATAAGAAAGTATTCACCAAAGGATAAAGCCTGTAAAATATAAAATTATATACTCAAAAAAAAAATAAAATAAATTGTTTCAATTCACTTTTACAGTATTAAAATATGAACTTTTACTTGCTTTTAAAATTATTTTAACGAAATTTTGAAATATTTAATTAATTTTCTTATAAAAAAAAAGAAGTTAATGAGTATAAAATGAATCAAAAGATAATGAAAAATTTATATAAAATATTTGGTTTATTTAGAGATGATTATGGATATTTGCAATAAAATTGGTGATCATATTGTAATTTCCTCAAGGACTACATTAATTAGTGTAATCCCCCCCCCCCAAAAAAAAATCAACCTAAACAATTTTTTTACTCCCCATCCTTATGTTCCATTTATTCGCGTTTCATCTTGAACTCCTTTATAAAATTAAAACCTTAAAGCTTTGGGAGTCAACGCGAAAATCCTATCGTTAGGGCGATACAGCAATAATTGTTGGATGTAAGAAACTGCCTCGTTCAAAATGTAATTAGTCTTTTTCTCCAATTTTCCGGTATCGGCCGGAAATAAATTAGCCAAAATCTTATAAAAAAAATATAATTTAGCAAAAAAAAAGTGTTTTTTTTTAAAAAAAAAACGGCTAATCCCAATTTTTTAGCTTAGAAATAAAGAATTATAATGCAAGTTCGGAGATTTTGCTCATGGATGGCAGGGCATCTTATTAAGGAAGTCTCGCGATTTTCTTAATATTATTTTTGGTTAAATCGAGCCCTTTGTGCACAAATTTGTAATTTAAAATGTTATTATTTATTACATGAAGAGTCAATTCCAAAAGGGTTATCAATTGTAAACTCAAATCGACGTCGCTGATTATGGAATCGGACAAGGTAAAGATCAAACTCGACAATTGTTCCTCGCTAAATTCCTTGAACACATTTTCTAAGTATATATACATATATATATAGTTTTTCCTAAAAAAAAAATAATTTTTAAAAAAAGAAAAGGTCTTTGACTTGAAAAAGTCTATATAGTGTACACGTTCATGGTTTGCCCCTAACTCTAAAAAAAAAATAGAAGTATAATTATCAAAAAAATATTGCTAATCAGTGGTCAGCAAATGACAAAATCTTTAGGTCCGGTCCTGTGGGAATTTAGTTAATGACCGATCCGGCAAAATCTTGGATAGTTGTTGAATTTAAAAACACTGTACTTTATATTTATTCTCACTTTGAAATATCCGAATTCATCAAATATATATATATACAAAATTTTTTTGCATGGCCCGGTCCATTATTTTTGCCCGGCCCAGCCCCCAAAAAAGATTTTTCCGATGTTGCCCCGCCCGGGTATGGGGCTGGGCATTGCGGATCTCTCTCGCCAACATAGTACAATAAAATAACAGAAATGGAATCAAAAAATGAATTTGAAAACTCGAAACAAATCAAGAATTGTTAGTTTCACGTGCAAATAATAATAAAATAAAACCCTAAAATGGAATAATATTTGTTTGAGGTTCGGATTTATTAATTTCAATATACGAAATTCGAATTTAGTCTTGAATTCATGTCAAGCACTTTGAATGCTCTATATGGTTGGTCTAGAATTGGAGTGCTTCACTAGACATTTCTAAAATTTTTGAGTTAGAAGTGGATAATAACTTATTCATTCCCAATATATATAAAAATAAAAACTAGATTAAAAAAAATATTAATTTTTGTCCAAGTTATTGTCAAATTTGATCAATAACTTTTTCCTATATTTTATTTTAAACTTTAATGTTGATTTTCCTCATTTTAAACATTCAAAAATTTTGAGTTAGAAGTGGATAATAACTTATTCATTTCCAATATATATATATAAATAAAAACTAGATTATAAAAATATTAATTTTTGCCATATTGCCAAAATTGATCAATAACTTTTTCCTATATTTTATTTTAAACTTTAATGTTGATTTTCTCATTTTAAACATTCAAAAATTTTGAGTTAGAAGTGGATAATAACTTATTCATTTCCAATATATATATAAATAAAAACTAGATTAAAAAATATTGATTTTTGCCAAAGTTGTAGCTCTATCAAAATTGATCAATAAACTTTTCCTATATTTGATTTCATAATGTTTATTTTCTCATTTTAAACATTTGCGCAAGAGGAGCACTCCAATTCTAGGCCGACGATATTATAAAGATTACTCTTTCTCCACCCCCTTTCTCGCTTCTTCTCACGTTATCTCAGATCATTAAATTCAATGAGGAGCGAAAAAAAAAATAATTATATAATTATTTAAAACATATATATACCATATTGTTCCTTTTTAGGCCTAGGTGACAAATTCTCGTCGTTTTTGGTGGTAGCGAAAGAATCTATAGAAAAATCTTATTTTTTATTTAAAAAATAAATAAATACAACTCGTTTTAGTGGACGAAATTTGCTGTCAAAGAGGGAAAGTTCATTATAAGAAGAGATTCTACTGCATATTTTCTACATTTAAAATGTAATACATTTTTTTAATTAAAAAGTAACCAAATAGTGCTCAGGCAGTTAATAAAATTAATTTTTAAATATTTTTATTAATTGGTCAAAAACTAGCGACCCAAAAATATATAATGAATCGCAAAAATATAAATCAAGTAGATTTTGTTTATCAATTGTAATTTACATTTATCGGCTAAGAAGGAGAGGCGAGATTCATCAGAATCGGTTTCGCCATGCTTTCGCGTCAATTGAAGAGTCTTGTGTATTGAAAAAACAGGAAAAGAGGTAGAATAAGCTACCAAGACTTCGTTGAATCGAGATATTTGAGATTTACGATCCTTGCGTAGGGGCCTAAAACCTATTTTTTAAAATTAATATTATATTCTTTTCCTTCCTTCCTTCTTTGGTACTTTCTATTGTAATATATATAATAATGCAATAAGGAGAAGATAGAAAGGTAGAAAGAAAGAAAGAAAGAAAGAAAGTAAAGAAAGAAAGAAAGAAAGAAAGAAAGAAAGAAAGAAAGAAAGAAAGAAAGAAAGAAAGAAAGAAAAAAATGTTTTTTATCTTCGCCCATATTAAGTAAGTTGGAGATTTCGCTCATAATTACAAAAAAAAAGTTTGGCCATCAGTTAACAAAAACCGCGAGGCTCACGTAATATTAATTTGGTTAAAATCGTAATTCAAAATTAACATGACAAAACCATCTAAAATTTAGGGAAAGCACTGTAAAAAAATAATAATACAGATTTGATAAAAAATACCTGGATAATTTATCTATTTTTTTGCGAATAATGTGAAATATAAATATCAAATAAAAACTCTAAACCGTAAATTGGAGTCATCTTAGTGTGCGAGTAGGTGGGAAGGTACTGTTCTATCAGCAGCATCTCCAAGTGCTTGATGACGAAGTCGAACGCGTTTACGTAGAAAATGTAAACGTAAAACTCCGAGGTGGGCCTTAGGTTACAACGCGTTTTGAAGATCAACAACAAGCTTTGAATCAGGTTCAAGATCACTAACCGGTCCACTCGGCAGTATGCGAATTGCCAATCGAGATATTTGAATATTGTCTTGTAACGGATATATTTATTGTGGTAAAATATAAAATAAAAAAAAGGACTTAAAGTCTGGTTCATTCTTCGAGACTACTAAATCGATTTTTCAAATGGATTTTAGTATATCTAATAGAGTGGTGTAATAGTAAGTGATCGGGAATTGGACCCCATATCGTAGAATACTAAATATTCTCAAGATCCTTATAGGCCGGTAGCCCGCCCAAAAGAAGAGTCGATTAATTCATACACGAATATTTAAGGGCCGAGAAACCGGGTAAATTTTTATAAGCCGGTTCCATACAAATAATATTAACCTTGTAAGATCCGAAGGGTAAAGAGTGAAACGTCAATTTGGTATACTGAGCCAAGTGCAAGTTCGAATCGAATATGCTATATGCCAGGACATAAAACGCGTAGGACATGCAATTTTGACATTCTTCCTTGCCACGAATATCGTCGCCAGCGAAATGGATGAGTTGAAAGAGGGAAAACAAGCTATTAACTAATATATAAATTTTAGTTTATAATAATAATTTTTTTTTTGTAAAAAAATAGGTATGAAATTATTTTGTTTTCATATTATGCAATTTTTCTTCTTCTATAAATGAATAAAACGAAATTATAGGAATGGTTGACTATTCGAATTCGACAAGTTATTGAATAGGCCTAGTTGATATCTATTTTCGCTAACGAAAAACTATTTTAAAGCTCGTTTCCTTAATGCTATTAAAAGAGGAGAGTGACTAACTTTAATCAACACAAAACGAAAATAAATATAAAAAAACTCTAATAACGCTGAAGAAATCGTAAATAAAAGGGGAAAAAAGACAAGTTTTAACTGATAATCCGCCCTTATCCGATTTTTTTCTACATACCGGTGTTAATCCTACGCTTCCAATCGTTGTTGAAGTAATTCACGGTTATCAGTTTCCAAAAAGAGCTTCGACCGTTAGGGAACGTTAGGCACTTCAAGAAAAGCGGTATGATCAGCTTAATAACCGATTCAATAAAAAAAAAATGAGAACGAAAAAAACAGTATCCTATAAATAATTTAATGTCGTTTTAACTATCTTGGTCTAATATATACTATTTCTATTAGCGAACCTGATTCAGGTAGGAATCGAAAATGGCGAGCAAAGACCAAAGGGTAGGTATTATCAAATTTTCTTGAAACCATATAACGAACCCCCTATTCTCGCCCTTACTATCCAACAGGAACTGCCCCGAGATGATGGCGTCGTTTAAAAAATTCAGGCATTTGTAGAGGCCAATCACGCGATACTTTAATAGAATATCCAAGTTCCTGGAGGGTACTTTCCAGCTAGTGTTAGAGATTTGAGACTCCGCGTCATTTGGGGTGTTAGTAGAGACCGCTAGAAAAATTGAAATATAATATATATGTATACGATGAGAGCGAAACCCGAGAAATATAGTATTTTAATCATCCATTACTTTCCTAAAAATTTGAAAATAGTCATTAACAGGCTTAACTTTTCCATATTTTTCTCTCTATTGCGTGCCTACATTTATTTAATAAAGAATCAGCATAAATATTCCTAAAGAAAGGTGGAGGGGGGGGGGATAATTTAGTAAAGAGTCGAATAAGCAAGTACAAATTTAAAAAATCGTTGAAGTTAAAGGTAATCAAGAATTACGGATATTTAAAATTACGATATTTTCGAATCAATTTTTGGAAATAACAATTTAAAGGTTTGTTACCTCGTTCCCCGGCCATTTCTCTCGATTGTTTTACGTTTCTGTTCAAGCTGGCAACGACCTTAAACACGGAATGTATCAGCTTAAACCGCGCGGGCAGCTCCGCGTAAATAATTTTGAACTCTCCCTGGCTCGTTTTCCAGAAGGAACGGGTCTCGTCCAAATCTGTTTTCTCTTCTAGATTTTCCTCGAATCCCACTTTCTCTCCCGTTTCCCCTTTCAGGGTTCCCAAGCTATCTTTTGAGCTTAGGTCGTAAATATTACGTGTTGTTCCTTCTTGGCCCGAAACAGCGGAGATATTTACCCTAGAGGGCTCATACGTTTGGCTGGAACTAGGACCTTCGATCGGAACTAAAGCGTGACTCCCCACGATATATTCTGAAAAGTTTGAGAATAAGGAGGAGGAGTTATATTAGATAAAAAAAACAATTGGTTTTTTTTCCTACATAAAGTTTTATAACCACTTACAATCTTTAAGTAAAATAACAATCTACCAATATTATGTTTAAGAAATTTCCAATTTCACCAACAGCCATCAATATAATTCTAACAATATTTTATTTTATTATTACAATCAATTTACAACTGGCTTATTTTGTTATTAAATGATTTATGTTTTTTTACAATAAAATTAGTTTTATAAATTAAATTTCTGTTTGTTTCATTCCCCGTTTTATTTGTTTTTTTTAATACCCCTATCTCCCAGAAAGGTTTCTCTTATCAATGTGTGACGACAGATACCTCGTTGAAATCAAAGAACACAAATATTCGCGAATCGCTATATACGTGAAAGAAAATAAATAAATAAGGGGCTTATATAAAAAAAAAACCTCATACAAACTTACCGGTGACGTGTCCTTCCAAAACTGTAGGTTCTTGCATGCATACGACCGAGGCAGACGCCATTTCTGGCACGACATATTGCAAATCATTTATTTGTGAAGATTCACTGCTTGTACTTGCTACATTAGCGCCATTTTCTTTATTTTCGTCATCATTATGTGACCTTTCGTAAATTGTGACAGATTGAGTGGGTACGAGTACCAAGGATTCCAGCATCTCCTCGTTTCCAACGTTTTCCACTTGCTCTGTTATTTTGTTTGAAATAGTAATTTATCATTATCAATTCTCTTTCCTTTCTTTCACTCTTAGTTTCGTTTTTTCTTTCACTCTTCTCCTTTCTTTTTTACACACTTCGTTTCCTTTCTTTCTTTCTTTCTTTCACTCTTCCTTCCTTTCTTCTTTCACTCTTCCTTCCTTTCTTTCTTTCACTCTTCCTTCCTTCCTTCTCTCTTTTTCCTCTTTCCTAACCTCGTTTCTTATTAGTTTCAATAATCAATAAGAATTTATTTTTTTATTAAAGGAAACCTTCTTGGCCTAAGATATGGTGGCTTTTATCCTCAAGGTTTCCTTGATTTACTATGTAAGGTTTTTCTTGTTGGAGTTTCACAATTTCCGGAAGGGATCCCTATTAACAATATAGCGATTGAGGGTTAGAACTCTTGAATAGAGCGAAAGCGGAGTTTGAACCCCGGATATAAAAGTATTCCGGTTTCAAACTCTGTTAATAAACAAATTGTAATTTAGCAATAATGGCTGACCCCGAGTAAACCTAGAAAACTGCTATTAAATGAAACCTTACCCCTCCCCTCAATGAAAGGCAACAAAATTTCTAGCAATATAGCGATTCATAGAAATTTTAAAAGATGTACAGGTACTTAAACTTGTCGCGGTTCTCTGGTTTCTGGTACCATGCTCCGCTCGAAGCAAATATTTTTCTTTTTTTTAATATAAGAAAAATGTTAAACGTCATCCGTGGCAAGCGTATCCTCGTCCGAATAGTACATAGAAACAGTGGCGGTCATTATTTGCAGAGGGCCTTCGCCGACGCCGGAAGCTCTTTGAATTTGTTTTTTCAACAGACCCTTTTTGTTTGCGCTACACACCCGCGTCATAGTCGCTTGGGCTTGAGTCGCCAAATTTAATTTGCTCAACTTGTTCAAATATATAATATTATTCAAAATATTTTCTTTATATATCAATAATTTATGGTATCTCAAGTATTTTTTGAAAAAAAAAAGAAAAAGGGGAAAAGAGACATTTCCCTCCAATGAAAGTTAGTTGCGCCGATTAGCGCAGGCGCACTAGAGAATTTTTTTTAAACGAAATAAACCAGTTTAATTGTCACGTGTGTATTAATATTTTACGATGAGTATCTACCTCAGGAAAAGACGATATTTTAGTGGTGAGAGTTTCTTTATGTTCTGAAGCTGTTTTAAGATCGAGTCGTTTTTCAGCGATTATTCTGTTATCTTTAGCAGGTTCGACTTCTTTGAAGTGTTGAAAACTCTAAAAAAAAATTAAATATAGCTTTAAATTTTATTTTTTAAATATTGAATAAGTGCTTTTCATATAAATATGACGGCTTTTACTCTCTAAATACAGAGATCACGAACTTCTAAGGGATCTGTATCTAAAGAATATATATATTTATCCTTAAACAAAATTATTACTGAAAGGAATTTAATTTAACTTTTCTTAAACTGATATAATTTCTAAAGGCGAGTACTATTAATCGAATCTTATTAACGGGAAGAGATTATATGAAAGTTATTATAAGCCAACTATTATTTTTATAATAAATAAATGGAATAAATTACGCTAACTTTGTCTTTGATTCTAGATTTCGGAGTATCGTCCAAGTTAGGAACATAACGATTTATCTTACCTTTACCGCTAATGCGTTTGTCGCCTTTCTGGAAGATGTCTAATATAATGAAAAAGTTTAGCATTAAATACGTAATTAAAAAAAATAAACACAATTAGAAAGATAATATTTTTAAAATTATATTAAAATTGATGAATTATAAAAATTTATTATCATTATTTTTGCTCCATATTATCCATCAAAATCATTCTTTATTTGTATACATTAGAGGTTTACAATGGGCGGATTTTTAGCCAAAAAGCCAGCACGCTCTTTGTTTTGAAATTTATTTAACCCGCCCACCAGATCACTTATAATCTTTTTAAAAATTTACCCACCCGCCCGCTCGCCCATGGGCAGGTGTAAGGGGGGGGGGGGTGAAAAACCAGCCCAATACAGACCTCTAGTATATATTAGCTTGAACATTATGCTCTTATATAATAACCTCCATAAATTTAGGGGATTTTTTTTTTTAAAAAAAATATAATTTATTATTTATATGATAAAAAAAAACGAAAATGTTTAGAAATTCTGAATTTATCGCCCGTCGATGACAAATCGCTCCCGTAATCTCTGCCCATATTTATGCCGCTGTCCCCGCTAGATAAGGCGTCCTCGCTTTCGGTAGATAATAGAGAATCTCCCACTTCCGACGATTCGCTTCTGATGTACGAGAGAGTAAATTCCGGACAAATGAATCTCAACAGATCCCAGCAATGTTGAAAACTTTTAGGCCAGAATAATGGAAGAAGAGGGGAGGTAGGGGATATTTTTAAAATTATCATAAAAAAAAAAAAATCGTATGGTTCCTGGTTTCGGTTCTTAAAACTTGGTTTTAGTTCTTAAATTTAGCCCGATTCAAAGGGGTTCCAAGTTCTGCCTCCAAACACTTGTTAGAAATAAATTTCACTCAATTCGGTTAGCGCATTACCTATCTAATCGCAAACGGAGAAGCATCAACTTTATTTTAAAATAATCGAGGAATGTGTTATTTATTTCTTTAAAATTATTCTATATCTTCAGACGTGCCAAAACGTAATTAAACGATAAATTTAAATTTATCGGATCATACATATTTTTTTTAAAGTTACATTTATTTGATAGGGTAAAGTTTATTTTTTTAATCTATTACATCAAATCAAGGGAGTGAGTTCGTACCCAACCAAACGGTAAAAGGGTTGAAAACGGGCTCGGTTGGGTGCACTCGGAACGAATCGAGCCTTTATAATTTACTGAATCATTATCGAATATATCAAAATGCTTTAATGGATGAAAAAACCGGCATACCCGAGATTCAAACCAGCTGTTCATAATTTTTATTGTAATTTACGACTTTGTTTTTTTTTTATCTTTTCCTGATGAGTTTTGACTTTTGAATTTATTTTAGGATATGTTCAAAATAAAAAAATTAATTTTAAAATAAAGATTTGTTTAATTAAAAACATCATCCGAAACTAAATATTATCAAAAATACATTTTATTTTACAAAAATAAAAGGATACAAATAGATTTAAAATGGGAAGTGGGGGAGAGGGGGGGGTCCATTTTTAAATTTCCAAATATGATTATTTCAAATATATATATTATATACGTGTAATTCAGTAGATGCCAATAATGATGGAAGAACGATTCGCTTTGATAGACAGTGATATCGTGCGAGTATTTAAAGGTAAGGGAACTGTAAGCCAAATCGAATACTGATTGCAAAATTGACGTGATTTCTAGAACTCTTTTATTTTCCGCTACGTAAGGTAGAATCAGTCTTTGCAATTCAAACTATTAAAATCAAAATAACGGCATAATATTTATTCATTTTAAAATTTTTAAAAAAAAAACAAAGTCATCCCATAGACGTAGCTAGGATTTTCCTATAGGCAAGGGAGCAGTAAGCAAATTATTCCGCCAAATTTTAATGGTGGTCTTTGGGCTCACTTATTGCTAACATTTGGCTATGTTATAACATTATTATAAATATAATTTTGAATCGCTTTATTTTCCAAAAATTTTGAATAAAAGTCGTTATTTTGAATAACTGCTAATACTTATTTGTCTTTCAAATTATTGTTATAGTGATATATTGTAAACATTGGTAGTGATGGGGAGTGTAGAGGAGAAATTTATATTAGCTTAAAATGATATTTACGCGAGAACAGGCAAATTTCCGACGGGGTGGAAAATTTCCTACCCTTTGGTTACGCCTATGAAGTCATCTAATTAGCTATCTTGTAATTTAGATTTTTTAACATTTCGTAGAATTGCTAAAAAATAGGCAACTATCTGGCAAACAGTTAACAAACGCTGTTTTTAAAAAAAATAATATATATACTAATCTTTATCTGCATCCCCAAATTCTAACAAAATAATATTTCTTAAACATTTATTGGGTTGGTTTTAGTCATATCAATCCTAAGGCATTTGCAAATGCAAAGTTTGAAATCTAGAATAAAAAGAAATAAAACTCGTGGTGTCTAAAAAAAATTAAAAAATGAGAGGGGGGGAGGTCGGCTCTAAGAAATTTTAGAAGGAATTTCCTGTAACTTGATTCTGATTCAGTTCCGATACCTCGTTACTAAGTTTTGGTTCCAAATTTCTATGTAAAGATATTTTAATATCTGTAAACAAGATGTAACTTTAGTTAAATTACTAGGCCTCGTTTATAGTCAAGCGCGATTCGCTTAATTCACAGCTGCGCTATGATAAAATAATGTGTCGCGAGAACTATTCACAAATAAATACAATTGTCATAATGCGTCCAAACAAAGAATCTAAGTTAAAAAAACTAACTTGACGCTTCAATACGCGAACTAGCATGGCGACGCAGACCATGATGGGGTTGCAGGCCCGATCGATTTGGAAAGCGGTAGCTATATTATTGAAATTGGAGGAATGAGAATCATTGGATTTGGATTTCAAGTGAGCTCTCTGTTCATTTTTCCAAGTTTGCCAGTCAGTGAAATTTTGGTCAACTTTCCGAAAGACAAAATGGGCGTTATCATCGTTGATTTTATCCCGCGGATTTGTTTCGACATTCGATGATAAGGGAGATGTAACTCCGATTATCTTTATTTATTTTTTTAAAATAATATATATTATTAACAAGCATCCAAGTTAAAAATAAATATTTGTCTAAAGGATAAATTAATATAAGACGTTGAAATTAATTTGGTATTTTATATTTATTATAGGAATGGAAAAGTTAATTTAAGTGGTATTATAATATTAAAATTAACCTTCTAAATTAATTAGTTGTTCTTTTTACTATAATACTTAATTATTTATATGATTATTAGTTACTTGTGAAAACATTATATATATATATGTGAAAATATAATATAGTATTAAAATCATAAATAGTTCATTGTTAGATCAATATTATAAATTAATTCCCCCTTTTTAAAAGGATGCATTTTGCTTGTGGATTTTTTCCTCAATAACATCGAAACATTTATTTAACAGGGTATAAATATATATTCCAATTTTATATAAGTAATAATCTCCCAGCTCTATATTTGTGTTTTAAGTGAAAATTAATAAAGCAAAGTTAAATTTCACCTTTGTTCGGGGGATGAATTAATACAGGCGGCGGCAGTGTAATTTTTTTCCATCCGCGATTTATCAGCGCGCCGTATTCGCAGCCGCCCAATAAATGACGTCTAATTTTAAAAAGATTTCTACTTGTAATAATCCCAAATAATTTCCATATTTCAAAGTAATAGGTGAACACATATATTTTATAAATATGTATAATTACTATAACGCTCTTGTATGTTCTAAACATTGCTCATTACAAAGGGTAATGTTTAGAACAAGTAATCACCAAAAAACATTGCATGCACTTGACTTATATTTATTATTTAAATTTCAAATATGAATGTTAAATTAAAATACATATGAAAGGATGGCTCGATTAGAACTGATTGAACGCAAAAATCGAAGACAGGGCAAAAAACAGGCTGTAACCAGGGTGTCCAGACTCACCGCGACCTCAGAAGAAGTTAGAATCTTATTTATTAAAAGCACAATAAACGTAATGCATTACTATGTAATATGTAAAATTTTATTAATTAAAAAAAATACAAGTAAAAATAAAAATAGCGAATATAAGACTTTTCTTCCCTTCCTTTCCTGCTTTAAAAATGCAGATTATATATGTATATGCACAGGACATCAGAGACTTCTACTACCCCCTCCCTACCAAATCAATATAAAAAAGGAAATCCAAATCAAGACAACTACTTCCAATATCAATGAAGAACTTGCGTCATACCCCCCCCCCCCTCACGGATATTGATCAGATATTAAGAATTGATGTCAGGCCAGTTCTAACTGGTTCTTAAAATTTTTTTAAGGATCACGTGAATCTTTAATGTAAATGCTTTGAATAAAATTGAATTTAGAAGATTAAAATAAATATCGTATGAATAAGGATGATTTGTTGAATAGATCTGGTTGAAAGTGGGAGAGGAGGGGGGGGGATCCATTGGGAGACCAAAAGAGAAGCGGATAAAAATATTGGATAATTACATAAAAACGTTAGGTTTTTAACCTGGGGCGATGGGTGGGGAAAATTAGAGAAAGGGAATTAGAATGGGAAATGGCCTACCTGGGTAAAACCTGGAAAAGGGTCAATTTAAATTCGTTTACCTCCAACCAAGTCAAAGCGTCGTGAATCTCCCGAACATCCTTAACCCGCGTTATTCGTGCTCGATCCTCGCATTTAATATTTCCATCATTTTTCTCGTCGTATTCTTCGTAATTCCTGCAAAGTCGATCAACGATAAAATTGTACATTAGGGAGGCCGGTTCAAACGGAAGCGGGGACATTTCAAAGTCGAACGTTTTTTTCAACAGCAGGCTCGTATTCTCGTTAGGGTTATCGTTGGTATAGCTGTATTTGTATAATCTGTCCTTGTCGGAATCGTCTGAGTGGTCGGGCTTAGCCAGAGATTTAAGCCACAAGGGCATGAGTATTTTCCAAGCGGCGGGCGTGACAACGTCGTAAGGAACGAGGCAGAATAGGCGAAAAAGGCCAGTCGATGAGGACAAGTGAGAGTAAAAGCCGGAAGCGAAAGCGGGGAGTAACGCGTCCGGGCTAAGGCAAGTCAGGAAGAGGCGCTGAGAGCGATCCAGACATATGTCATCTTGCTGCAATATATAAAATCGATTACGAAGAAAAATAAAGTTTTTTTTCTTTCACTCTTTCATTAGATTCAAATTTCTAAAGGGACTGGGTGGACATTAGGAATAGTATCTAGTTAAAATATCTTAAATAAAACCATCTTTTAAAAATAACTTTTGAAATTGATGTTAACATAAAAAATTTCAATCAAAAATAGAGTTTTTTTTTACAGACGATGTCAGACATCGATATATAAAGTAAAATGTAATTGATTTAACACGCAAATCTTATGTATGTGCTAGAAAAATTTAAATCGCAATATATATTTTTTTAAATAGAACATATTAAATTAATCAATAATAAACTAATTCATGAACTAAGGTTATATTTTTTTTAAAATTGTAATTAAAAGTAAAATAACGCTCTAAATAATTTAAATCCAGACAATTACAGGTATAAATTTTCCGAAATGACAATACCTTTAACTCCGTAGATAATTAAATCGGCAAAAGATTTAATTTCAGATATTTAGGTATAATAAACCTCATTGGACGTTCTCTTATTTTCATCTTTTATTTCAGGCTTTTTCGCGTTTTTTTCGAAAAATATTTCGGGACAGAAAGATGTGTTAGCTATGAGATCCTTGGTGCTAGGCAGGGACAAGAAATGGGTTTTGTCCTGTATCCAGGGTATTAGCTTGTCGGGCTTGAGAGCCTCTATAGAAGAGGCTAATCCTCCCTCGGGGAGGTAAGCGGTTGAATCGAACCACCTGAATAGAGCGGAGAATAAGCGACCTAGGTCTTCCTGTGTTCGTTCATTGGTCGAAAAAAAGAAAGAAAAGGATTGTGTATAAAAATTTATACGCCAATGAAAACCTCAAAATTACGACTCATCTTTCAAACTAGTAAAACAAATCACAAATTATCTGTAAGTTTAACAAATTAATTTAAACTTAACCAACCATTATTCCGATAATTTTTTTAAAATCCATTTTCCATTTTTCCCGAAAAATTTATTAAATCGTAAATGAAAACGTAAGGTGCCGATTCGTAATTCTCCGTCAGGCCCAGCAGCAGGTATATGCCGTACCGGCTGAGCATTAATCGCTCGTCGAATGAGAAGGACCTGTTCAAACCCCGAATTTTGACTGAGGCGAGGGCGTTATATCCGGTTGGATCTTCGAATTCGTCGCTCTTTCCACCCTGGTACTTTACCTTATTCTTATGCTCTTTACCTCCAAAATTTTGCCCGCCTTTCTTTTTGGGCTTGGTGTGGTGCGGTTTCACGTTGACTATCAATCTGTGCCATGTGTAAATGGTATAAATACGATTTAATATGGATGGCATTAAAAAAAATGAAAAATCTATATAATTTATCCACGAAATTAAAATAAAACGAAAAATACCCTAAGAATATTATATTAATATCTATGATTGTAAAACCTATTGCAATACAATATTCACAATGTATATTGTGTAATTTTAAAATCCAAAAATATCAAAATTTTTATAGGAAAACATGTAATTTAGTATTATCTAATTTCATTAAGCCCTTTTTTTGATTAATCATCAAACAATTATAAAATGCTAAATAAAAAAAACCGAGCGATAGCCTCAACCACCACAAAATCTAGATTCCCCAATAAGTCGGCCACAGTCTTTTCGTCCTTTTCACTATTATCTTTATCAGCATTCTTGGACCAGAGGATCTCGACTGGCTCCTGAAAAATGTGAGATTTTTTGTCGCTGCCAGCAATGAATCCGACATTATGCTTGGCCCCGAAACAAAAATCGCAAAGTCTTAAAGGACGATTTGAGTTGGCGTTGGTGCATTCGGGAGAAAAGCAGGTGTGAGTGGCATTTTTGAGAGAATTCGGGCAATTCTAGGTTTAAATTTTTTTTAAAAAATTTGAAATTGTTAAAAAGAGCCTTTTCTTTCTTTCTTTCTTTCCTTCCTTAATCTTTCTTATCCTACCTTCTTTTTTTTTAAATTTTATTTATCCATTTTAATAGCTCAGTTTTTCATATCTATACAGATTAAAATATAATTAAAAATTTTTCTTAAAAAAAAATGTGTAACTTTATTTTCGCATTTCAAGGCCACGTATTCGAGCGGATACACCAACTGGATAAATTGCGATTCCGCCAAACTCGTTCCGTATTTATCTTGCGCGTAATTCTTGATGCACGACTCACATATTATACATGGAGGAGGTCGTTCGGTATATTTAATCGAAAATTCGGGATTGATACACAACTAAAAATGTTTTTTTTGTTAAAAAACCATTCAATTCGAATAAAATATAAGGGTTTGATTGACATTCCACCAAAGAAATTCGAGAATCTTTAATGCTCAATTTACCAATAATAATGATTTACTTGTTTGTTATGTATGCAAAATAAATATATTATAATTTTTTTATTTACAAATTAATAAAATGACTTTCACTGTTTTTGTGTCTTCATAATAATAGTCTAATTTAAGATTATTAAACATCATAAATTAAATTGATGAATGACCAAAATTATTGAATATTATAACATTTAGATAATGATTCATAAAATTATTAAATATATAAGTGGTTAATTTTATATTGAAATAAGAATGTTCAACATAAAAATAAAGATAATAAATTATAAAACATTATCATTAAATTTAAGAGTCTGATGATAAATTGAGAAATTAGTGTATAACTAGATTTTTAAATACTTTAAAAAATGAAGAAATATTAATATAGGTGCTTTAAAAAGTATTTTATATTGTAGTGTTGTAATATTTCATATTTATAATAAAATTATTATATAATATATTTTGGAAAATTAACACATATTATATTACCAGTTAATACATACCATGTTTTGACTAGCCAAAAAAACAATCACATAACCTAATCTAACTCAAATATTATAGATAGAGCTTTGATTCATATTTTATTTTAAAGATTAAGGGCTACACATTGATATTATATATAATTTTTGACCCAATTCTTAACCCCCTTTTCATGGCCAGTCATACCACATCTCCCACCCTAAATAATATAGGATTTATTATTACTAACATGTTTTTTAAGAGATATTTTGGGGGAGTTGTTAAGCTAATACAAAAGATATATTTACCTTTTCTCCAAAGTTATCTTTGCCACCGGAACATTCGATAACTTGACATTTTGGTCTCTCCCATGCTTTTAATCAAAAGTGAGTAAACATGAGTGAGAAAAAAATAAATAAAATATAACCTTTAGCATTATAAAATATTTTAAACCGTTTTCTAGATTATTTTTACCGCTTCTTTCTTTCTTTCTTTATTTATTTATTTCATTCTTTCTTTCCTTCTTTCTTTCTTATAGTGCTACAGAAATCCCTATAATTTAGAATATTTGTCGAGTTCCAACATTTCAAATCTGCCCGTTTATAGTATTATACCTTAAACCATATATTATTTAATATTATTTTCGGTTACACATAAATTTGGTTTTCCGTTCCGAAGGCACTGGGTTCAAAGCGGGCCAATAATTGAACAATATTCTAGTGGAGGCGTAATGAGAATTCTCGTTGCCGTAAGCTATTACCCAAAGTATGTCCTAGTGGATTAAAAAAATATGTGTAACTATAAAACACACGATAAAAATTTTTCAAGTTTTGCTCTAGAAACCTGAGTATAAATAAATTTTGTGAAAAAAATATTTGATCAATCAAAATCAAAATTATGAATGTTCCTAGATTCATATTTATAACCAGAACCTAATAGGTTTAATTCAACTATATATGCAAATATATCATGCCTTCCTTACCTTTTCTTATGTGAAGGAAAACACACAAACAAACATACAAATCATAAAAAAAACTATATTATGATAAAAACATGCATTAATGAGAAAGCTTGCCGACAAAATGATGCAATCATAGTATGAATATCAGTAATTTAATCATGCTTCATTCTTTTCCCAAACATCAAACAACGTTTATTTTTTCTCGAAGATGGCAAATATTAGTTGGTCCATGCATGACATAATGATAATGAACTACCTCATGAAAATCTTTCTTATACGCCATTATGGTTTCGGCCAATTGCGATTGAAGAGCTAGGGTGTTTTTTTTTTAAAAAAAATTTATATTTGTAAAACATTTATAATAGGGTGTCGAAACGATTTGTCTAACTATGATCGCAAACTCATTTGATCGTTAAATTCGTACACTTTTTTGATTGGCCCATTTAATATTTGTAAATAAAGATTATATCTTAAATATTGCTTAAAATATTTTTATAATTATCTGAAAATGTTTGAATATAATATTATTGGCATAAAAATTCCTATTAATAATGATGTCGTCCATTTCGCGATCAAAATCTTACGATCAAAGGAGGCCCACCCGTCGAAACGAACGGGACAAAATAAACCTTCATAAATTCCTGAACCGTTATAAGATTTTGAAAGGAGAGAACCGAACCGTTATAAATATTTTCGAACCAGTTTTACCCAGTTTTTGAAATTATATTTATTTAATTCAATTGATTTGGCATAAATAAAAATATTTTTTTTAAAAAAAATGGTACAAATTTTGTATCTGCTTAAGTTATGTTAAATAATTAGTTATTTTCTTACGCAGGTTTTATAATAAGAAATTCAACTTCGTTTTCTTTAAAATTTTGTTTAAAAAAAATATTTTCATTGAATTGTTAGGTGTCAATCAAAATGATATATGATGATCATTAAAAATCCAAAACCTAGATTAAAATAACCGTAACGAATCGATATAGATTTTGAAACCGGAACGAATCGGTTAAAAAAATAAACCCGAAAAGGAAATCAGCCGTTTTACATTTTCATAATAAGAACTGGAATAGATGAAACTGCGCTGTTACATCGGTTCGACACTCTGGTTTACAGACGCATACCCCATACCGTGATGATCAGTATCTGCCGATCACGTGTTAATTATCGATGTTACACAGACTAGAAAAAAGTGGTTGGCGAACTTTGGTCCCTAATAATATGAGTTAATTTTAAACCACACTTGTTTGATTTTGAAATCTGATAATTTTGGTAAAACAAATTTGGACATAAACTAATCTTAGGTAATAGTAAAGGCTCGTTTTCGTGTTCTTTGAGTCCAATTTAATGAAGGAAAAAAAAATATTTCAATATATTTCCTATTTAATTATGTGTAATAAACCCTGCCTTATTTAGCTATTGTTGGGACCAAGATTTTTAACAGTTGCCCAATTGGTAAACATTTTTTTAACTTTATAATAGTGGTTAATAGGAATTTGATTGGGACTCAAAATTTTGGTTATAATTAGTTCAAGAACTTAAATTAGACAAGTTTTACTGTATATTATAGTTACTTGATTAGATATAAAAATGGGAAATAAAAAATTATTTGTAATAAAATGTTTATCATTGGATCAAAGAAGAATTTTTTTTGAAAAAACAAATAAAATAAGGATATAAAATTGATTATTATATATTTTATCGCATTGCCCAATAAATATTTCTCTGTAAAATGGGGTAATGATGAATTCAGGAATAGTCAAAAACAAAGCCTCAAACATAAAATTTTTATTCTTCATTATTTTGCCTAAGTTTGCTCCTAGTTTCTCATCTCATCACAACATCATCACATCTTTCCTCCTCAATACCAGCATCTTTTAATGGTATTCCCTTCTAAACTGTCCCTCACTAATCAAAGTTTTGCCCCTTTTCCCAAGAGACAACTCACTTTTTAATTTGGTTTTCTACGAATGTGATTTTTTCCTTCAATTATTCATCTTGTATATCATTCCTCACAACCCAATGCACTGAACCATAAAAAAGAAGCACAGACAAATATTGAAATATATAAAAAAAAGGTGACTAATTTTAAAAATTATATGCTTTTAATTCAGAACATGTTTTTTGATATTTTTGAGACTTTTTACCTAAGGATATTTGACTTTGATTCATGAGTTTGCAAAAAAAATTTTTTTTTTAACTTTGATTTTATCTTGAAAATTATTTTATGCATGAAATACAATAGATTTACTTCTAAAACAATTTTTAATTTTTTTTTTGATTTTTAGGTAAAATTAGATCAAAAATCTATGTTCTTCGAACTCTGTTCAAAACACATGTTGAAATGATTTTGAGTAATTAAAAAAATTCATATTTAGATCCTTTTTGTAAAATTGAGCAATTTATTCTTTTTATAGCTAAGTCTGGGGTTTTAATGTTATCTTTTGCATTTACTACCAGATAGAAGAGCCTGTATTTTTAAGATAATATCATTTAAAGGGGCTCCTGGTTAAGATAGAGATCTCTGATGTATAGAGATATGATTAGCTAATTAAAGTAGCCTAACACTAAAGAAAATTATTTATCAGTAAAAAAAAAATATATTAGTTAAATATGATAAAATCAAACCCTAATTAAAAATTTTTTATCCATCTGCTGGATTATAAATTCGTTATATATTTATAATTATTGATATTGAATTTATTTATCATAAATATTATTAAATAAATAAAACCTTTTTCTTGAACATAAAGATATACATTGGATAATATAGCTGGTATAGAAGAGAAGTTATTATTTGGATTTTCATTACCTATTTAATTTAGAAATATTATAAAAATGAAATGAATGTTTAAATTTACATAATATCAATGGAAACAATCTAAATGTCAACAAATCTAATATATCTTTGTATAACATATATGGAAAAATTGCAAATAAAGTCGATATTTTATATGGAATTTCTTGAAGTTGATTAAAATTAAGGAATAGAAATATTGCTTCAAATGAAAGTAAAATATTTTTTCCCAAAACTAAAATAAATATTTTATTTATATAATAATTACTGTTTTACCATATTGATTATCGTTTATCAGAGTAAAGATTAATAAAACTTTATCTAGGGCATTGATGAATCCACTATAATTTAAGCTTGGAAAATTTGAAACCCTTTCTTCACTCTTAAAAAAACTAAACATTTCAAGGCTCATATTTGTCACATCTTTAAGGATACTAATAAGAAGCATGTATTTTAAAAAATGTTATATGAAATAACCTGTTCAATGTCAATATAAAATACTTTAAGCTATTAGTAATTTCTATCCCACTCGGAACTGGCACTAAATTATTGAAAACTCTCGAACATAAAGTCTCTAAATTGGTTACTTTAGAGTTAACTATGATATTACATATGTATAATGAATTATTTTTGAAAATATTTACATGATATAAATTTTGTCCCCATTTCGCACTAACATATGATTTTAATGAATGAATGAGGATAATTTTGAGAAATAAATAAACATATGGTTTATTAGCTTTATGTTTTGAAGGAGAAATTAGATCAGAAGTTGTAGATAACATTGATTTGAAATTATTTTTTATATTTAAGCTTTATTATATTTTGTTAGTCTAATTTACTTTAAATTATTTGCCTACTTCTTATACTTCCTAATCGTTGGTTCTATCAATAAAGTCATAAGTGATCTTGGAAACTGATCATAAAAATTTTAAATTGCTCAACCCAGCCTGTCATTATATATAACAACAAAATCTATTTTACTTTGAGTGGGAGGACAGGACTTTGCTATTCGATTATTTAAAAAAACTAAGTGTATGGACGAAATAAATATCTATATATTCGGAAAGTTATAAAATACGATAAATAACAAATTTACTATAAAACATAAATTAAAAAATTGTTTTGAATACCAATAATTATTTCGATTTGTATATAAATAAACCAATCATTTTATTAATTTGAAAAATGATTTTTATATTATTATATATAAATTTTTTAAAGTATTTACTTTTTTGGATATGTTTACAATCAATAAAACGAAGTTCATATTGGAACATACGAGCGCCTTATTTAAAAAAATGATATTTCATAAATTGAGTTGTAAAAAAAATAACGTACTTAAAATTTAATTCGTCTACAAATACTGACAAAATCTTTTTTAGTATAGAAAATTTATTTATCGCTAATTTTTATTAAATATAAATCCAAAGAATATAATGTGTAGTCTTTATTTATTAGGAATTTTTTTCATATTAACTACATTTAAAAACATTTTTGAATAAACGTGTCGTGTTTCTTTTTTATAAATCATAGTTGAACGTAAATGACTTCTTTTTAAATTTAAACAATTAATTTTACATCAAAATACAATATCAGAAATTTTATTTTCATCTATCGGATTTATACTGTTAAACATATGGTTAATAAAAAAAAAAACTTAAAACTTTATTCGAAATCTAACTTACACACTAAAAAAAACCTAAACACAAACTAAGAGAAAAACAAAAACAACTCAACAAATTCCCGAAACTACAAAAATCACCAAGCAGACAAGAAATATAACTCGCGAAGAATGATTTTCTTTATTAATAATTCCCGAAATAAAAAACAATTTTATCACAATGAAAATCCGTAATTTTTATAGAAAAAGAAATAAATTTCATGAAAAAAAAATAATAATGATAATCATTTTACATATATGTATTACATCTAATCTAGGTTGATTGGCATTCCGCGTTAAAAAAAAATATAAAACATTCACGTATTTACAAATACGACAGTTAATAATTATGAATAAGAGGATTTCAAGAATCAGAGGTCATCTTGGCACACATCTTTCACTCTGCAATTGAAAGAAAGTTATAAGTTCAAATATAAATTAAAACTTTCATTAATCATTTTATATTTAATAATTATAAATGTTCAAATTTTATAATAACGCATGGTTGAAATAGTATTTTTAAAAATTTTCTTAAATTCCCGAGGCGCTTAAAAATATATGACAATAGGATATAATTTAATATCATTTTAATAAATTTAAAAATATTCCTTATTTTATGTTTAAGCAAAATAATAAAAATCACATGCTCAAATGATCTAGAAAATAAAGCAATTTAAGCTCTATGTGAGATTTATAATCTAGAACGAAACTTACCTCTCTTTTTAAATTGCAGCTTTTTAAAGTGTTTTAAACGCAAAGTTAAACAAGTTAAATGTTGTAGAAGGAAAAATAAAATTTATCTATTTGTATGAATAGTTATTACAAAAGTTATACTACAAAGTTTCAAATCTCTACCTGAAAATTTCCGATAATTTTGTGATGAACTCTTGAAATACTTTTAATTTTTCTGTGGTATTTTATTATATATTTAAAATTTTATAATAGATCATGACTAAATTCACTATGTCGGTATTCCACACATCCTGGAAAAGTCCTGCAAATTGATTCTTTTTATGGCTTGTTCCCTATTTTTAGATCTGACCTTAGAAACCATCGTCTTTTTTTTTTAAGTTTAAACCCAGAACTAGAATTTATAATTTAAAAATTAACTAATTTTATAGTTAGATAAAAATTACTTTTTCTCTAATTACTAATCTCAGATAAATTCTAATTATCGTTTATAATAAACGAAAAGAATGCATTATTTATTTTTAAGATTATTTTTTGCCCCAAATTGAAAATATATTAAACCCGAGTCCGATTTAATGTGAATTTACAGGACTTTGGAATATATTTTTTGATGTCATTAATATTTTTCTATTATCTAGATTAATATCTAAAATCGGAGTTTTTCTAAAGATCGCGAAAAATTGGTCCACAATCTTTGTGCTCTATTCCTATTTTGGCAAATTGCTCTAATTAATGATTGTTTTTATAAAATGAAGATCATAATAATTCTTTTATTAAATAAACGATGATACTTTTGATCCTTTTAAAAATTCATTTTTAATTTACATTTTCTATATCCATTTTTTTAAATAATTATACATGTGAGCATTAAAAAAAACTGTTTTCATATATTTTTAGGTATAGGAAGATCACGCCATCTATAATTTAAATAAAGAATTTTTTTAAATTATATTTGAACATTTTTATTTTATTGGTGATATGAAAGAATACAGTACTGAATGATTGATTCATCGAAAGAATAAAAAATAGATAATAGATCAGCCGATGATTTATCTAAGATGAATAAAATTATCGTGATCGATAACAAAATCCTGTATAAATTAAATACCCATTAACAAGCCTGTCTGTTTCTAATCCATACATGATAAAACAAGAATAAAGGTCTTACGAAGAGAACAGGGTTTCAGAATCTATAAGTAGTGGTCATAGTATTAAATTCCTCTTAATAACATTAGCAAACGACAAAATTAGAACTTATACAGCAATTTTATTAATAAATTTTAGAAAAAAATCTTTATTAGAACTTATTGAAAAAAATGTGAGGTACAATTAATATTTAAATTTTACAATAAATATTTTTTTAAATTATTTTATGAATTCTTATAGCCCTCAAGTAATTTTTCATAGAAAGAATTTCGAATCCATATAAAGTACGATAATCAACGAAAATATCCCATTCTTGCACGTGAAAAACAAATTCGTTTAATTTAAATATCACAAGTCTATTGTAATAATCTCCAGGTGTTGTAACTTTTAATTCGCCGTGGTGCCTTGTCGGGAATCCAAAATAGTTAATAACGCCCTATCATTACAATAATATTAAATATAATTATTATAGAATATAATGAGAGTATAATGAATCTTTTTAAAAAAAGAATTTTTTTGCTAATTATCAATTTCGGTGTATAAAATAATCAGTGACTTGTGTCTATCGAGTCAACAAAATCCGGTTTAATACAAGGAATATTCCTCCTTAAAATATATATGGGAAAATGAAGGTTCATACAGAAATATATTTTTTCTAAAAAGTTCTATTACTTACAATTCTATACAACATGCATGCAAAATTTAGTTTACTTTTAATGAGTGCTTTTTGAGATATCCAGGATTTTTAATAAATTTTGAACAGTTCCAAATTTTTAATATAATTCCTATATAAATGGGAATTTTGGGACTAGAAATAATATCGTTTCAAATGAGTTATTAATGATAAAAAATAAAGATAATCATATATTCTATGTTATCCTTATTTGTTGATAAGGTAAATTTTTTTTAATAGATAAATTAAAATTTCTTAAATAGGTTTATTCTTAAATATATATCATGATGAAAAATAAATTAATACTTGAGATAGAATGGTTTAAATTATTAATTCACACTCACCCCTCAAATGCTCTCGCGTATTTTTTAACGAATGTTTTTCAAGAGCTAAAGATTTAAAATGTTGATTTTACTTTCCTCCTTTTTAAGTTTCGACTTCCAGCTTAGCAGACTCCCAAAAATGCAAAATATTTTCCTTCTTATCTAATCTTATATAATCGCTAAATCCAGTAATTATTGTTCCAATACTTTTCTCAGCAATCGTTGGCCCTCTTTTAAGTATTTTCTCCTGCCTTTCTTTAAGTTTATCAATTTCTCTAAATCATCTTCTTGTTCAATAACTTCATCGGAACTAATATCATCAGATAAAATTGGCGTTGTTAAGCTTTTAATTCGTCTCCATAAATTGACAAGATGTTTTTTCGCACAAATCTTATCATCATCACTAAGTAATACCTGTAATATTTAAGGATTTATATTGTTTGTATTTAAATATTTCATAAAATAACAATTTTAATATAAATCTAAAATAATTAATTTACTAAGCTTTTAATTAACCTTGTATCTTGGGCCCAGGTATATGGCAGCTAAGAGAATTTCGTTCTTTATAAACCTTTCTTCTCTGTTCTTAAGACAAGAATATAGTAATTGAGCAAAATGGTTTGGATTTTTTTCCAGTTCGATGCAGCATCTTAACCATGCTGCATAAAAATCTGTCAGTGTTAACTGTTCAGATTGGAATTGTTTGGTTGCGATTTTTAGCGGTTTTAAAATTTCAACAATCGTTATTATCTCTTTCCAATCTTCAGTCAATAAATAATCAGATTGCTCTGTAAAAAAATCTTCGATATTGGGTTTTAGTAAAATCAGCCTTTCTAACATATCATGGGTTGAATTCCATCTGTGGCAATCTAACACAGGCTTAGGGAGTTTCATATTTTTTAATAACTTTTGGTAAGTGGGATGTCTTAATTTTAAATTTAGGCTCCTAGCTTTTGCAATGGTTTCCACAATAGGTGATAATTTTATAGCATCTTGAAGTGCCAGCTGAAGTGTGTGCACACCGTACACTATAAATCGGATAGGATATAATAGTTGATAAAAAAGTATTTTGTATATCATCAATATCATATTTATATACATTTACATCCATATTTTCCTCATCTGCTGATTCACTCCTTATATCATAATCAGTTTCAGGTTGCAGGAGCTTTATAGCTCTTAAAAAATTACAACCATTATCAGAAGTAATTGTGTATATTTGTTGAATATTAATTTTATATTTTAGTAAAGTTTTTAATATATTCTCTTTTATATATTCTCCTGTACATCTCTCTTTCAGCTCTACAATTCCAAGAGTCCTCAAATTTATAATGGACTTTGATATAAATTGAATATTTACACCAAGAATTGACCTATCTAGTCGTTGAACTGCATCAACTTTTAAACTTATTAATTTTCCTTCTACCTCTCTTGATATTTTGTCTCTAATTGATTGGGCTGTTTTATTAATAGTTCTGGATAAATTTTCTTTGTTTATAACTAAATTGAGCCCAGATAGGAGTGGATTTATAATTCTTTGAAATCCCGAATCTTCAATAATTGATAAAGGCCGGCCATTTACAGTAACAAGTTCTAGTATAGAACTCATCAAATCATTAGATGATATATTTATACTTATATGCTATTTTGGAAAAAAGGTTTCTATATTAATTTTAGGTTTTTTTGCCAATAACAATTCCTGATATTTGGTTTTTTCATTGAAATAATTTAAATATTCATTGTTGTGATTTCTTTCCAGGTGTCTTTCGAAATTTGACAAGTGATTACCAGACATTTTTACTTTGCAATATGAACATATTGATTTTTTTTTCTATTTTATTAAGGGTAAAATGCTTATCAAATATGACTTTATCTTTAATCTTAAATCTATAAAAAGAGAACAATTTTTTTAAATAGCAATGATTTCACAATTAAAAAAGAGATATTTATAAATTTAATTTCATTTATAATATGCACTTCATTAATATCTTGTAAAAATTAAACTGAACCAAAAATAAATGATTAGCATATATAAATTTTAAAATCATTTTAATAAGTTCACAAAAACTGCCCTACATTTAACAATTTTTAAGTTAGATGTTTAGAATTTTTTAAATTAACAATATAAGATTTTAACATTAAAATTATAAAAAAGATAACATCCCCCTAATAAAAACAAAACCCAGTTTTTATTCTCCTTTCGTTTTTTTTTAAATACTAAGATTGGAATTCTATTAATTATAATTCATTTTCCTTAACACATTCACATATTAAATTAATAATGTTTTTTTTTGAAAAAAAACAATTAGTAGTATATAAAAACGAGAAAACAAATATAATTTTAAGATGACGAAAAGAGAATATATAAAACTTGATATCTTATAGAGTCTTTGAAATTATCGATGGAGAACATGAATTTGCATGCAGCAAAATGCGTCTTAGCCCTGTTAAATTTGATGGAAAATTGGATTTTATCGCCGGCATAGTAGGTTGGCCAATTGTCGAAGGAGTATTTTGAGTAGTTTAGATGGACAGGCGAATTTCTAGGAGAATATAAGAATGCAAAAATATTTAATCTATTATGGTGAAGTCTATATATACTATAAAGAGATACATAGAATTATAATTTTCGATATAGAGCGACAGTGGTGATCATTTTATGTACACACCATAATTATATTGCAACGCTAGCTTTTCAAGCTTGAGAAGCATATTTAATTTTTTTTGTTAAATTAACCCAAAAAAACATATTTGCTAATGCTTACTAAATATTTAGCCAGTACTCTAGAATCCATTTGTGACCCCCCCCCCCCACCCTTGTAATGTTTTTTTATTTAAATAAAATCGAATTATTTTAAAAAATATAGTTAGCTATCTGCAACAAAAAAAGGATTTAAATGCCAAAGTCGCATTCCGCAAGTGTTGTTAAACTGCGGATTCCCGATTTTTAGGAACGGCTAACTCAAGATTTTTATTCATAGCAAATTATCCAAGTTTAGATATTTTGCCCACATATGGCAAAAATTATGGCGAAATTTCGAGATTTAGGTAATAATATTTTCGCTAAAATTTTGATTTAGCTCTTTTTCAAAAGAACACTATAAAGAGCCCTAAGTATTGCCCTATCTTAACTGAGATTTAATTATTGAAGCAAAATAGACTTAATCATTTGAGATTAATTAGTTCTTTATGAATAAAAAAAATATTTATTTACTATATAGTAAATAAATCTATGTATCAGATCTGCTTTGTAGTAATTATTGGGAAAATTCGGATCTGATCTAAAAAAATTGTAAATTAGCACAGCCCTAAAATTAATTAAAATGAAAAATATTAATCAACTTTTTTTTAAATGCACCAATATTATATTCAATTTTAATAGAAATAGAAGTTTTCATAGATAACTAAAAAATGTTCGAGGTATCTGTTAAATTACGAACTTTGTTAACATAATTCTTCTATATTTTACACATAAAAATACACATCAACAAAAGCTGAAGACAAAGCTTCCTCAAACATGTATCATTTCTCTCCCATAATCCTCCACTAACATAAACTAACTTAAAAAGATCTCTCTTGATTTATATATATAAATATATAACAAAAATACAAGACTACAACAGTATCCTAGAGTACTTTAGTGATAAATTTATAATGTAATATATAAAACTCTATGTTTAGTACTCCCAGAACATCACCAGTACCGTAACGACAACAATGTTTTAGAATGTGAGGAGATTTTATGATGCCTGATTTAGTTTCGCCATCATGGAAATTCAAAGGATCATACGGGTAGAGATCTCTTAAATCTGCCATGGAATTACTTTTGTTATTTATTTTATAGAATTAAAAATATAAACCATTTTATAAATGATTTGGCAAGATAAAAAGTTTCTGATAAGGAACAATTATAAAAATTTGGATATAGCATTAAAAATATAAAGGTTGGTTAGACCTTAGATATATTTTCTCAAAAGAAGAATAACCATTACCCTGCTTAGCTACTTAGAAACGAAAAAAGCCAGAGACTCCTAAAAAATGAACTGTGGATTAGAACAAACTTATATTAGCCTAAAACTGCTTTTTTATCGGTGTGATAGTCCTATTCGAAAATGAGTGGAATAATAAATTATCGGTATTCAATTCTTTTAAACAAATTGAATAATTTAATATATTCTTAATTATACGAAAATCTCAAAAGGAATAACAATTTTACACTTTTAAAGAATAGTAAAATAACAGATTCGCTAAAAATAAATCAAATTCAAATAATATTTTTTATCCATATTCATATCCATTTTTTACTGTGGTATAATAACAAGGAGGCCATTAAAATTACGAAATATGGTTACTTCGAATTAGATTTTCATTTCCTCAATAAAGGTAACGATTATAAATTATAAAATATTTAATTATCCACCAAATTCTGACCTGACAGTAAATTTCAAGGTGGTGGCAAATTTTAGTGATCAAATTTTAAATCTTTAAGTAGTCTATGTTAATACAAATTTATTGAGGTATGATATGTGAATTTTAAGTGACCAAAAATTAAATCCTATGAGACCTGTTTTAAAAAAATTAGGTCATCTAAAGTTCTTCACAGGCAAACTGTCAATACAGAGATTTAACATACTCCCTCCCTAAAAAAAATGCCAGTCATTATCAAAGTCTCAATCAACGATGGGAGGGAAAAAAATATCCACCTAATATCAATCTGCAACGCCAAACAGTATTGATTCTACCTTATAATTAATTCAATAATTACGAAACATCATTAGTTAAAAAGAACTCGGAAATTGGTTTCCGGAAATTTGATAGAGATGACCACTTAGATTCTACCGATTTTGCGAAAAAGTGTAATAACTTAGACAACCCTCAATCAAACTTAACACTGCTCAATCTAGTTGATTCTGTGTAATTTTCATAATTTGAATGTTATACAGTATTGTGTATGAATAACACGATACAAGGTTTTTAATGAGAGCTTCATTTCCGACAAATAGGCACCACAAATATATTATTGAAGATTTAAGATCTATGTTAAATCGATAGAGCATTCTGTCTAGATTAGAGTCCCTAGACCCAAAGCTTATTTAGACCCGACTTAGTATTTAAATGGTCAAATTCCATTTAACGAAAAGTTTTTTCGATAAACGATGAGCTTTAAACAATAACTAATTTTTAATTCAGATGTCTAGAAGATTACTTGGAATAAGTCACCCCTCATTCATAGTCAGCGCGAATTAACGCCGAACTTTACGAATTACGCTGTATTTTTGTATTCTCAGTAGCGAATTTTCGTCAACTGTGAATGTATGGTAAAACTTTTCAAGTCATCAGAAATAAGCCGGAAAAATAAAACAAAAAATTATTTTCGTTCCATTATTTGTTTCAAATTTGATTTTTTTAAAAAATGGACAGAAATTGGAGTCTAATCTATATTCAAAAATGACTCCATTTGTTTTGGGGCCATACTCTGAGAGAAGATATCGAAGCTGCTTTCCTACACTTACACATATGAGATGATAATCCTTAATTCCCGAAAATTACGATAGTGGCGCAGATAAATTAAATTTCAATCAGAGATCTGCAAATTTTTTTAAAAAAATTGCCGGACCGGTCTTGAAAAAGAAGGTCTGATGCAGAAATCTCCACGACTATTCTGACTAAAGAAATATACGACGGGTCGAATTCGTTTAAAAAACTATATTAGAGGCATGCATTCATTATTCGAAGTAGTGTTGTTAAGTCGCTTAATTTGAACCGATTTTTAAAAAGGGCTAACTCAATATATTATCTAGAAAAAAATGTGAGGCAAGCCTTGAAGATATTGCTAATAGATGTTCAAACCTTTGTGCCAATCTATGAGCACAAGGCTTGGGTTATATTTTATCCAGATAACACATTGAGTTAGCCGTTTTTTTTTAAATGGGCCCGTCAACAACACTAATTTAGAGCGAACTATATATTTTTGTAGGTGTATTTCAAATTACTTACATACGTAGTTATTCGAGCTTTATCGATTATTTTAGGCAAAATTGTGTAAAGTGGAATATTTGCACTTATTTTCGATTCTAACACGATTTGGGATGGTGCTATATATAATATGTTGTTTTTTTTAAAAAAAAAAATTTGTTTTGAATTACTAACCTTTATATTTTCGTGGTGAATTTCATTTTTTTCATTAAAAATATAAATTTAACTGAATTTTTAATCCTATATAAAAAAAAATCCCTACCACCATAATAACCTGGAATTTATATAAATATTCTAACTAAAGTCTCAGTGTTAATGTCAAATTTAATCGATAGTCAGTATTGTAATATCAAACTTCGGTAGGGAGATAGTTTGATGGGTTGTTCAATTTTTTTGTTATTTTTTGCATATTAAATCCTTAAATGAAGGCTTTTTGTTAAAATTTAAAAATCTGATTTTGACGAAAATGCATTTCAATATGTGTTAGAATACCCAACCTATAAATTTCAAACAAATTTACAACAAACATTTGAAAAACTCATATTTATTTTATTAGTGTTTTAAAAAAGGGGGAAGGGGGTATGAAACTGAACCATAGAAATTGTAAGGAGGGGATAGTTATGATGTCGTTACATTGAATATAATTGAGATGGGGAAATGGAGGGGGGGGGGGTAGTTTTGATTTGGATTTTCCTATATTTTCTATAAATAAGATATTTTAAAAAATTAACTTAAAGTGGAAGAGGTGAGAATTTTCAAAGGGCTAAACATCGAAAGCATGACATCAGGTAGAATTATTAGATACATTTTATAATTTATATCTTCCTCAAGGTATGTTTCGATTTCTTTGATAACGTTCCATGTTTCAAAAGAGTAAACAAATGATCTAATCATAATTATTAAATTATATTTTAAAAAAATATTAATTTTTTTTAAAATTACATGGCTGGGTCGTAAATTTTGAATTTCGACTTTGATATGGCATAATCTTGAAGCCTAGAAATGAAGGCTAAACCTTCGGATTTATAGTTCTGGGACATGATGACAAACCAAAATCTCAACTCGTTATGGCTGGGAAGAGGAGAAGCTAGATATATTGCTTCTATATACTTGGCCTCCTTTTCATCTTTTGAGTCCTTATAAATGGTAAATTTTTCCCTCTATTTTTTTGAAAAAATAAATTATAAATGCGTGATGTTATAATATAGTGAAACGATAGAGGAATTATCCTTTTTTCTAGATTTAAACCACTAGTTGGTTTATAAAATTGTTACATTTTTTGGAACGTGACACAGACTATAGTCTTGTAGAGTCAGCGAGCCCGGCGGTGGTCTGAGACCAAAAATATACAAATGTATATTTTCTTCATTTTCTCCCCCCCCCCCTATCTTGTCTGATTGAATATCACAATAATGATCTTCTTCCTTCTTTCCTTCCTTCCTTCCTTTTTTCTAATGAGAAACCTTTACAAAAAAAAAGAATTCAAGAGGTGAAACATATTTATTTTTCTTCATATTAATTTTGTAATAAATAGACTATAAAATAGATAAAAATTCATGATAAGTAGCGGTCCGGTTATATCGATCTAGATCGAACCGTGCGGTTTGGTTTTTAGAATCGGTTTTATAAAAGGTTCGCTCGTCGGGACTGCGACAATTTTTTTAAAATCATTTTTACAAATAACAAATTAAAATATAAAAAAATTCAATTATTTTCAATTCTTAGCTAGGGTTTGAGAAATATAAATTATATTAGACATCAATCCAACTCACTTGCGTATCTAGGATTTTTCTATAAAAGGAGGGGGGAAATGCTAGGTAAATTTATTCCCCATAAATTATGCTGGAGATCTTTAAGTTCACTTATTATAGGCCTTTGGCTATTTAAAAATAATTTTGGGTTTTCACTTTTTTTTCTAAAAATTTTTAATTTTAGTGCTTTTATTTTAAAGTTATTAATTTTTTTATTCAAATTCTTATAATGATATATTGTATACATTTCTTAGAGAGAATGGGAGGTGAGAGGGGGTGTGATATGTTTATTAGCTTAAAATAATACGGGAACAGGCAAATTTGCTGGGTGGTGATTTCCCCCTTTCCACCCATTGGTTACACGCTTCATGCAACTACGTTTTGGTGAAATCTAATAGATACTTAGGGCTGCTTCGCTACCGGTCTACATGGTTCAGGTTAAGACCTAATACTAAGCTCGTGGATCGTGTAAGCGGTTAACTTAGGACCTCGCAGCAAATATAAGGATTAGTTTTTATTTAAAACGAGAAGAAATAGTTATTTTATTAGGTAACCAAACCCACTTAACGGTAAAATCGAATAAATAAATTATATCTTTAAAAAAACTTTTTAAAAAACGAAAGTTTAATCATCACTTTCAAATTGGAAAAATTTATAATATAATATATGATGCCCACATAAAAAAAAATTAACTACTTTTACGAGTAAATAGTTAAAGAAAGTTATTTTTTGTCCTGTCTTTTTATTAAATCATATTTATTTTTCAATAAATGCTTGGAAAATTGTTGTCGTACATATTTAATCATAGATAAAAATCACATTTTTAAAAAAATAAAAAAAATTACCTTATTTTTGGCCATCATGAATTTATCTCTAGTTTGATTTTAGCTTCCTAAATTATACAAGAATTATTCAAAAATTGGAGTTCGATATTGGGGAATTATTCCTAACTTGGTATATATCTGCTAAATCTAATTTAAAAAATTGAATGAATGATATATAAGATTTCTGATTTCACACTCAAAAATAATTATTTTTTTAACACTTTTTTTAAAAAAAAAGAATAATTTTTTGGCAATATTTTCTTACATTTTTTTTATTACCATTAAATAATTTTGTCCGAGACCACCATAGTTAATAATTAATTGTTGTTTTTTTTTTGAAAATTATAATTAATCATTAATTTCTTTATCTTTTTACAGGCTTTAATAAGGGTTAGTAATTCTATTCGAAATGTTTTTCAAAACTTTCAATTTTTAAAATTTTAACGAAATTTTTTAAAATTTTTATAGAAATTATATTTTGGACATGTTTACATATTTATTATTTATATTATTTTTTATTCTTATAAAATTTCAATTGCGATGATATCCTGGACTTCTTGATTTGAGACGATTTTTAAAAACAGCTGACTCAATATTTTAGCCAGAAAAATATTACCAAAAGCCATGAGATTTCGCCCAATAGATGTTCAAATCTTTGTGCCAACTATGAGCAAAATCTTCAGGCTTTCCTAATATTTTTCTGGATATATTATTGAGTTAGCCGTTTTTAATAGGTTCAAATTGAGCAGTTCAACAACACTATCTCTGATTGATCCTAATAAATTTTATTTTTAAGTAAGAACTAAGAATAGGATAGTGAAAGTGTATTTTTTTAAGTTGAGTTACAAATTTTTTTTTTGGCAGCATTGAAAAATATAATCTGCATAATCACAAGTGTGGATGAACCTTTGTATAATTCGAATCCCGGACAAAATAAATCACTGTACAAAAATACCCCCGGATAAAGATACCCAATTTAATTAAGAAGGGGTAATTTTTTAAAAATTATGATATTCTACACTTATAAATTTATTATAATCTTATAGAAATCTTAGCCTTAACCTATTAAAATGATCAAATTTTTAGACCTGACCTAGGGATGGGAAAACAATAAAAAAATTTTTAAAAAAATGTTTTTTTTTCAAACAACCAAAAATACGAAAAAAATAACGAAATTTTTTTTTTCTCTTTCAGTATCAAATCTTAGTTATGGGAAATAAGGTATTGAAATAAGGCATTTTAACCTTTTCTGCTGCTCTTCTCATAATTTTTTCTTACTCCATAAATATTTTTAACTGAAAAAAGGATGTCTAAACCATCTATAATAGCTAAATAAAACCATATGCCCTGCGATAATTCCACTCGTATTTCCTCTTATATCCTTTCCACTCTAATTTCTATTTTAATGATGATCTTGCATCATCTTCCACTCCGTGGCAGCAGTGTCTCCTATCATGATTGGATAATGAGTCGGCCCGAGACACATCAGCATTTTAGGATTAACGTTAACCAATCAGTTCACCTCTGGAACGATCATTACAAATATAATCCGTAAAGGGTAAATTTACAAGCAGAAAAATAATATATGGCCATTGCCGTGAGAAATTCCTTAACAAATTTGTAATTAGTCCACTTACCATATAACCATAGAGGGTAATGAGTTGGAATTTATATGATGATTCTAATTCTGTTAGATAAGATACTAAAAACAAGACTATATCTAAGTATATTTGACATTTGAGAAATATGTCCCATATTTTACATAAAATTAGAAAGAGAACAATTTCTAAAGATGAAAAAGTTATAGATATTTGAACCTTTTTTTACTTGATCTGTCGTATAACCCGGGAACTTGTGGTAAAAGTTTCGTAAAATAAAATACCGCGATAATTAGCTCTATTCGCTCTAAAGAGTTTGCGATTTGTGGAAACTAAAACTTTGATATTATTTTTATCATAAAAGTATCGCGCAAAAAAATTCGCGATGAACTATGTTATCATTGGCTTCTAAATTTTGAACGATAGCCTATATTTCTAAAAAAAATAAATATGGGAAAAGAGTTTTACTGTAAATGTTTTATTCATTTGATATATATATTTGGGCATGTTATTATTTCTTTTTCTGGTTATCTTTATTCACATAAAATTCTTATTATGGTGTCTTTATTTTTTTTTATTTAAAACGTGCTGTCCTTTTAGGAATATCAAAACAATTGCATAACCATATTAACAAAAATAGCTATACATCGATATGTGTATAAAAAAGTTAATAACCATTCTGATGCTCTTTATTTGTTTTAGGAAAGAAAATATGTGGCTTTAAATATGTGAAAATATCAATTAGTATAAATTTATTTTGTGTATTATTGAATATCATCATTGAAAAATGTATATTTGTATTTGTATTTGTATTTTAATTTTATTATTTATTTTTTTGTACAAAAATTTAATTTATATAAATGTTTATTAGATTGCAATAAAGAATAACATGAAGTCCAAGTTATACAAGTTAATTAAATTGTTTTAATATATATATAATAGCTTTATTTAATTAATTACAAGGTTGAGAAATAGAACAGTATCTTGTTTTTCTTTAATAAAATCCTCAAAATATGAGATAATATGAATAAGAATGCGAATTTTTATGAATATAGTAAGTAATCGCAATATTATTTTCTAATAGTATAATTCTTTTCAAAAAAAGGTTTAAAGAATATTATAAATGTATCCACTAGATGGCGTCATATATTATAATTTTTAAAATTATTATTCTATATTATGCTATAGATATGTATGTTCTGCATGACTTGAAAAAATTTTTTGTTTCATCTTGAAAGATTTAATTATATATTAAAAATCTTTTAAAAAATATTTGAAATTTTAAGATAAATTTGATAGAAAATTTTTCTTCTTTAACTAAAAATCGCAAGAACTCTACATGCAAATTAGTACATTTTTTCATTTGAAACAATTTCTAAAGATGAAAGTTATAAATATTAGCCTTTTTTTACCTGCCTTATCGTATAAATTTGCTGTGATTTTGTCATGAAAGTATTGCGTAAAAAAACGTGATGAACTTGATATCATTCGCTTCTATAATCTTGAACGATATACGATATTTGATATTTAAAAAAAATACGGGGAAAGAATATCACTGTAAAAGTTTTATTGCATTCATGACAAGTTTTTATATTTATTTCTGGCTATTTTATTTTACATGGAAACTTTCTTATTATGATGTCTTTATTTTTTTAAACATACTATCCTTTTAAATTATCTTAATAACTGCATAATTTTATTAATAAAAATAGCTATAAAACATATTAAAGTGATTACTTCATGAAGCAAAATAGAGTTCACTTTACAATGATACACAGGTTTTGAACTGAACCGCGAAACCGGAACGAACCGTTACAATTTTCAGAACCTTAAACCGAACATTTACAATTTTCTGAACCATATCCGAACCATTGTAAAGATATATAAAAGGAGTTAACCGAACTGCTATAAATATTTTTGTAGAGGTTCATAACGGTTTTATAAATGATTAATTTTAAATTATTGACTTAAATTTGAAATTTAAATATTCTTTGAGGGAAATTTAAATTCGAGATTTTCTTTCAAATTAAATTTTTTTTATACAATTAAAACGACTTTATCTTCATATCAATTAATACCTACCAAGATTATTGTTTTTACTTTATAAACTCAATTTATTAGCCAAATTGTGATTAATTAGATAGAAATAATCTTAAAACAGTTATTACACTAAACTATTTTTGGCTAAATCAACAAGTTAATTCTTATATATATTATTTATTAATTAGTTTTTACAATAATACTTGCTTTTAAAAACATATAATTTCAATATTCTTATAAATGTTTTTTAAATGCTGAAATAATGAAATATCTTACTATAAATCTTCAATTTAGATAAGTTAACTAACATTACATTAAAATATATTTGTACTTTTATTTTATTTATGTCTTTTATATTAAAGGGACTTACATTGCTTGTTAAAAATAATAGCAAATTAAACAATTGTTAAATGTTAAATAAAATAGCATAATTTAACCTATTGACAAAACATTGTGTTATTTTATGATTTGTTAATTTTATTTATATATATATTTTTTTTTAGAAACATGAGATAATATGAATAAGCAATGAAAACGAAAGAGATTTTAATCCATCGATATCTGTTATATACTAGATATATAAATAAAATATTGTTTAATTATATATTTGGTCATTAAATAGTATTATAAGAAAAATTTTATTTCGTACATTCGCGTAATTAATTAATGTACTCAATTTAATTTGCACATTAGAAAAGATAGTTATTTCCTATACTTTCAAAACTCTTTAACTAAATATCTAGAAGATATATATTTTTTTGTAAATAGAATTTTTTGACTTGAAAATAAAAAAAAATTAACTCAAATTAACAATATCAATTTCTAATAATATAAAAAAATGTTTTCAAAAAAGATTTTGTTATTTTTTATAATTACGCGGTAATTTGAATATTTGAACTAGAATTATGTTGTTAAATAATTATTTTCGTTTTAAATATTGTTAATCGAGTTTTCGACGATTGTTATTTAATATTTAGACATATTTGAATATTTAAGTTTTTGGAATATATTATTATATATGATGAACTTTAATTTACTTTCAATTTTTTTTTTGCATGTTAAAAATTTATATAAATACACAAAAATTTTTAAATAAAGTAGTGTTTTTTGATTTGGAAAATTTTGAGTGTAAATTATTGAAATCTCTCGTGAATAAAATCTTTTTGGTGTAAAAGTTGAAATCTCTCGTGAAAGTCATATAATAAGCTCGGTAATTTGCCTTAGTTAGTCTCACTTAAATCCTTCGATTAATATATTACAATTATACGGAATTGCAACAGATTTCAAAAATGTTTTCAAAATGTTTTTAAAAAAGGTTTGAAAAATTTTAGAAAATGAATTCACTAGATGGCGTCATATATATTCAATGTTTAAATATATGAATTTCTATAATCATTTTATAATATTGATATAGAGATATTAGTCATCCAGCATGACTTGATATTTTTTTTTTAAACTTATGAGAGTATAAGTTCACTAGAATTTTCAGATATTCACAAACTACT